CAAAGATTTAAAATTTTTGCAGAACGTATTTATTGTTGATTAAAGTTAAATTGTCTAACTAGTATGGAATCAGGTTTGGTCGAGATATCTAATGAAGTGTAAGTTCAGCCAAATTTATTCCATTTCCTCTTGTTCACTGTGTTTACGAGCTCTTTTTTTTCTTCCCTCTGTTGCCGTATCAGTTTGTCTAGGCCCAAAGTTAAAGGATTCATGGCAATTGATAACAAAGGCTTGTGTTTACAATCTGAAGGAATCAATGAAAATCTTTCCGGAATCTTTTCTGCCATTGCAAATTCGGCCAAATTATTAGACACAGAAGATGACCCAGTAGTAGAATTGGAAACGGATAAAGGGTGTGTTTCTCAATTATCTTGTTAATCATTGTTCCTTTTTACTAATTTTCCCAATGAAATTCACTGATTTGTTTTTCTGTTCTCTTCTTCTCATCTATTCAGACGTATTCTTATTCAAGGCAAAGGAAATGTTGTTACAACAATTTATAAAACTAAATAAACCTGATGTTTAAAGCATGTACATCAATATTTTTCAAACAAAACTCGCTTATTATTGAACCATCGATGAGCCTCTATCTACATGTACTCCTTTCTACAAATATGGTCTACTCATTTCGACTGTGCTCAACCATTTCGTATATTCAACTGTCACTCCATCACTACCAAATTTATCTGCACTCTCATCATATGGCGTCTCTTCAGTGTCATTAGATTGTTCATCACACATCAATATGATTGCTAAACATTGCCATTCCAAAGTTAAAAAGATTGATTTTCTAGACTCCATGAAAAGTTAATGTTGTAAGACAATGATGCTGAAGCAGTGTCATCTTGATTCGCATGTTGCTAATTGCAGCTCTTCATCATCAAAGATTTCACCGACATTTGAAAACCTGAATAATGAAATTTCAGTTAAAATCGATGACAACTCTGATAAGAATGCTCGTTTTGTTGATGCTGGCTCATCTGTTCCTGTCAAATGGTTTCCAGTATGACCGTTTAATGAAACAAAAATTTTTGAACAAATTGTAATAGCAATGACTCACAGAATCTCAGAAAATTAGAACCTGAGTAAATTATAATACCATTGTAAATAGAAATGCTCGTCTTTTTGATACCGGTTAATCTCAAAATGAATAATCAAAACAATGTAAATTTATAATAAAGAAAATTATTTATTGAATATAATTTTAAATACAAGTTTGTTGGAGTTAATACAATTAACCTAAAATTTTTCCAAAGGTTTTACCTTTAAAATAGCCTTTGAAATAAGGTTTAACACTTAATTTTAACATATTTGTTTTTTTAACATGTACCTTTGTTTCTTTTTTGTAGAGTTCCATAGGAGTTGCTGGCTCTTGAGTCATGATTGGCACTTTTTGTTCGACCCAAATCACCTTGTATTTGGGTTTTTCGGGGGTTACTTTTTTAAAAGAAACAATCGTCTTTTCAATAAAAATAGGCTTCTTCAATGCTGCTTTGGCGACACCTAGTGAAGTACCAGACACCAAACCAGCCACTTCGGACTTTTTCTTGATTCCTTCAGCTGTTGAGGCGGAAATTACATGTTTCCCTTTTGTTTTCTCCAAATGGAAACCAAGGGTACACTGAAAATAGAAACACAAAATAATGAAACTTAATAATTTTGACATTTTGGAACAGAGGAAGTAATTGACACAAACAATTCGTTCAAAATCAGGTGGACTTGAAATAGTTGAGAAGAGACTGAATGTCTTCAATGGCTTTAACATTTCCCTTTTATACTCACATTTGGGTGATTTTAGGAGGTGTTGACCAGTTCCTTTTGCCCGTAAGGAAATCTCGGGATTATGAGTCACTTATCCATAGAGTCAGTTGCTAACCTTTCTGTTAGTAAATTTTCTCAAATTCTACTCGCTAATCGATAAGCGTGGAATATCCGAGTATCTTTTACGTGTGTTCTTTGTTTGAAACAAACTTCCACATTAATAATTCCTAGGCCGGTTTATTCCATCACGTTTTCCACTTTTGTTGAGGTGTTGAACAGTTCCATGTGCTCGTAAGAAAATCTCGGGATTATGAGTCACTAATCCATTGGGTCCGTTGCTAACCTTTCTGTTGGTAAATTCAAAATTGGTGAAGCTTTTTGTATGGGAAGTCCATGAAAAGATCGGCACAAATTCTTGTTTACAAATCAATAAGGGTTCTGAAATTAATATTGCGTCTGTTTTATGTTGAGAGCAGAATGATTTTTCGGTCATGTTATGTGTTTATTAACATCTTTTTACACTACAGTATTTCCTTGAGTTTTTTGCTTTTTTGTTACACTGCCATCTATGTGAACTACAGGGGAGAAATAAATAAATTTACAGCTGAAACAATGAGTCCACTCAAATGACTCCCCCCTGGAGGGGGAAGGGTTGAAAGGCTAAAGGGAAATCACTAGACTGTATTGACTGTTTAAACTGTAAATTTACTTATTTCCCCCTGTAGTTCCCATAGATGGCAGTGTAACAAAAAAGCAAAAAACTCAAGGAAATACTGTATTTTATTTATTTCATATGTTCAAGTATAAACTAACCGCCAAAAGTGAAATAACTCCATGGTTACAGCTATTCACAAATGTTTACAATAAAAAATCAAACTTCTGTCGATGGACTGTCTTGTTCCTTTTAAACAAAGATTTAAAATTTTTGCAGAACGTATTCACCGTTGATTAAAGTTAAATTGTCTAACTAGTATGGAATCAGGTTTGGTCGAGATATCTAATGAAGTGTAAGTTCAGCCAAATTTATTCCATTTCCTCTTGTTCACTGTGTTTACGAGCTCTTTTTTTTCTTCCCTCTGTTGCCGTATCAGTTTGTCTAGGCCCAAAGTTAAAGGATTCATGGCAATTGATAACAAAGGCTTGTGTTTACAATCTGAAGGAATCAATGAAAATCTTTCTGGAATCTTTTCTGCCATTGCAAATTCGGCCAAATTATTAGATACAGAAGATGACCCAGTAGTAGAATTGGAAACGGATAAAGGGTGTGTTTCACAATTATCTTGTTAATCATTGTTCCTTTTTACTAATTTTCCCAATGAAATTCACTGATTTGTTTTTCTGTTCTCTTCTTCTCATCTATTCAGACGTATTCTTATTCAAGGCAAAGGAAATGTTGTTACAACAATTTATAAAACTAAATAAACCTGATGTTTAAAGCATGTACATCAATATTTTTCAAACAAAACTCGCTTAGCAATCAACCATCGATGAGCCTCCACCTACATGAGGTTATCCTTTTGTTTCATGCATTAAAAATATCTATGTTCAGATAATAAAATTAGTGCTCATTTTCATCATTGGACAACAATCCATATTGTTGATAAACAAGTTTACGCGACGTAAAGTTAACAAATTTATGCCAAGAATATGGAATATGATCATGTTATCACAAATAAATCGAATAAAGGAGACAGAAAGTGTCAGTAGATTACAAGTTTAGCCTCAAAAATACATAAATAGCAAGTACATCTACTGCTTAGCTATGCTGAAAGCAGACTGTGAGCCAACTGAAAGTTTCCAACAAGAATGATGCGAAAATAAAGGTCGATGAATTACAGAGAATTTACTGGCGCTATGTGGAATTGATAAACTAATGTATCATAGAGATCTAAAATGAATAATATTCATCATGGATTCTTGATAACAATGAAAGCAAGGTGAGAGAGCGTTTTTGAGATGATCATGTAAATCTAGGTAAAACAGGCAGAATTAAATTACCAAAAGCAGAATCCTGAGTTATAAAATAGCCAAAAGTATTTTGATGGGCATGATAAGCACTCCTTTCTCGTTGATTGCTATTATTGCTTCCTAAGCTCATGTTGTTATTGGTCATATTGATACTATAGTTGGTATCTATGAAAGCCTGATTAGTTCCGGGATTATTGGTGACTGAGGCTTGACCTACTAATTGGCTTTGTTTCAGCAACTGTTGCTTCTTCTGGACATCCTCCAATGCTCTAATACGGTCCACAGCTAAAATTCAAAATACAAACCGATTTTATTATAAAATATTGAAGACAAATTAATGTTTATTCATGTATTTACCTTGACGAGGGTTTGGCCCTTGAAAAGACATTTATCTGAATAATTGAATAAACTTCAGGTGGTCCAAGTAATACACCAGTTGATCAAAACTAAAGATGACCAAAACAAATTTAAACGGTCAGTATTGTTTTTTCCTTATCGAGTTGAACATATGATATCAGATCTAATAAGATCCAAGTATCACGTATATAAGTATCGGTTCTTTTAAATCATTACAATTAGTCGGTGTAATTATATTTCACCAAAAAAATAATAAATTAAGCGTATATCAATATCGATTCATGGAAAATCAACAAAGTTTCTAAAGCTTGACAATAATAAGCCAGCCAATGGTCAGTAATTGAAATTAAAGTGTTCCGGTAACCAGCGGCTCAATTATTTAACCGAGGTCCGGAGTTAAAGCTGAAGCGCGCTTTTAAATTTAATTTGCATTGATTTATTGCAAATTATTTTTGATTCTATCAAGGGTACCATTGGATTTCACCTACTGAGAATAAACTCATCACAAACTTACTTCTCTTGACTTGCTAACTTACTTCTAGAGTGTTTCATAGATTATTATCAGAGCATAAATTTTAACAAGTTCAATGGTCCTCATAATGATAATCAATTGTTAATCTCCCGCGAAAATGAAAAGATCAGATAGAAATGAAATTGATTGAAGCGCAATTGAAGGCTTATAACTAGGTTTCTTATCATAATAGGTGCTCTTGTTGTAGACGGATATGTCAAAAGTGCTCAATCGATAGATGAAGAGATGATAGAGAATAGTAAAGAAACTGTCACAGCGATTCAAAAAATTATCGTAAATCCGACTTCAAAATCAAGGTTGAGCAGAGTTATCAAATTAAGTCTATAGATACAGAAATCAGGCTTGGAAAAAACACCGATACTGGAGATGTTGGTGGTTGTATGTTTACCAAAGGCAGACAATAAGCGAAAACTTGACACGATGAATTGAGTGGTGTGGGTCATAATGAAGATGATAAAAAATTCTTTCACTGACGAATTGATGAAACCAGTAATTTCATTATTGCAAGAACGGGTGATAGTTTACAAAAATAATTACAGTCGAAATATTCTTGAATAAATATTGGGTTAGTGTAGAGGCAATCGATCATCAAATTTATACTTGAATAATCTTTTAATTTAGTCATCAAAGTGAATGAAAGAGCTGAAAACATATTGTAATTGTCGCTATTAATGGGATTTCTATGAAACTTCCATATTAGATGTTTTCCTCCTTTTGGGAGGAATAAAGTTACCGAGTCCACCAGCCGCTTCCGCTTCGGCATGAGTATAAGCAGGTTCTTTCAACTCTCTTAACCTTTTCTTATGGGCTTTACTTCGGATGTGTTTATCTAATGCTTGTTCATCAATGAAGTGGCGCCTAATAATAAAAAAAAGTGAATGTAAAATTTGCCGATAAAAGGAGTAACACTTCAAAAAGTCAAGTGTCTTGTAATGCAACTTACGAACAAGCTTGGCATGGAAACAACCCTTGTCCAGGGAAATCATCATCAGGCTCAGTCGGTATTTGAAATGTTTTTACATGCGTTGCCATTTTCTACAAAGGTTGAAGACACTTTTTATTTAGAGAAAAGGAAAATTTGATGAAAACCTTAGTTGCAAGAAGGTAGCGCCGAAATAATGGAGGGTATCAGATTTTTTTCAAGATGAGACAACTGTTGTTTTTCAATAAGAGCCGAAGGGTCCAAAATTTAACACCAAAATAACGATATAAAAAACACTAAAGATGATTTGTTTGAAATTTTGAGATAAGATGAGTAAACGTGCTCAGGAAAAAAAGTATTTTCTTTTACACATGGAATATTGAAAATATCTTGAATTGTTTATGATAAAAAAACGATCAGATAGCTTTTTAAAGTGTTTTTAAACAATCGCAATCTATTATTGAAATGGTGAGCACTGATTGAATCGCAAGTTTAGATTAAAGTTGAAAGGCATTTTGGTCCAAAAATTTAAATCAATTTCGATTTAGGGTAGATTGACGTTGCCATCTCACGGTAAGAAAAGCTACTCATGGAAAATCAATATTGTACCAGCTGAGTGTATCATTATATGGCTGAAATCGCAAGAGTCTAATTTTATTTTAGTAATATTGTCGTTGATAATTTTTTCCCAGAGCCTTTGGTTTGTGCAATTTTTTCGCAAATGTGCATACAATTTGATTAAAATACAATTTCGTTGAACTATGTGTTATTTACTTCAGTGATTACATGTTGATTGAACTGATTGGATGACAACCAGACCAAGATTTAAGCTTACTGAGAGTGAGCCAAATGTGCCCACCAATCTTATGCTGTCTGCTCGTCGCTGCAGCTCGGGTATTTTTATATCCAACATGTTCAGCTCACGATTTCGCCATCTTCAAAAATTGCACACCGAATCATTCATGCTAGGTTTGAATGCTGTTGCATACCCAGATTTACCAAAGGGAACCATATTTCGTTCAAGCTTACCCGCTACTCCAGTTTCAACTCCTGTTTTTCGAGAAGGCTTTCAACATTTTACCGAACAAACATTGAAAGAGAGACTTTCAAAGAATCGTACTCTCATGCCTCACGATACTCATTCTTTAGACCGCCATAGAATGCATCAGTTTCAACAGCGTCAGCAGCTTGCTTCTCCAAATGATGATAACCCTTATCGTATTGATGAAAGAATGGATACATCTAGTCCACTCCCTTCTAGTTCCATATTGGATGATCCATTGATAGAAGGATGTTCAGATATGAGTGAATCAGAAAGCTTATCATTACCGTCTACTTCCAAACGGAAAGGAACCAAAATGTCGTTTAGTTGATCGGATTGGAAGCCAATGAATCTATATTGATTCATTAATCATCATCCATAGGATCACTCAATTTTAAAAGTTAAACTAAATATTATAACTTGTTGGAAAAATGATGTTCTGTTTGAATGGTTAAGTTGAAATTAAAGTATTGCAATTTAATTTAACCTGTTTAACCTTGCAGTTAATTAAATTTTATTGCTTTATGATAAGTTAACTTGAAATTAACATTTAAAATTAAAATTAAAATTAAAAATAATTGATTCCATGATAAGTTGATAGTTGATAATTTAACGATGCAACAATGACTATGAAGTATAATGAATTTTGTTAAAATTTACAATTTTTTCAGACGAGAGAAGTCGAAAAAATTCAATATTTAAGTTAAACAATCAAAAAAAAAAGTTTTTCAAGAGATGTCACTTTGTTGATGTTTTGGATGCAGATTTGTCCGTTTTAACCCAATCATAATTACCATCTAGAGGTTTTTCATTTTTAAAGTCAAAATTATATTTTGCACATTGCTCGTCTTCAATCTTGGTCATTTCTTTCTTAAGAAATTCAAACGTTTTACGATGATGTTCCAGCAAATTTCCATCAATAAACAAAGCTCTTTTAACTGAATTTAATTTATCATTTCGTCGTCGTCTTCGCCGTCCATTAACCGATATCCTATGATCAATATCTCGAGTTTTGACATTTCTAATGTGTTTATCTAATGCTTGTTGATCAATGAAGTGGCGCCTAAGATTGAGAAACAGTTAACGTTAAACTTGTTGGCAATAAAAAGACCAGGTTAACTAATTAAATAGTCCAGTTTATTGTAATTAAACTTACGAGCAAGCTTGACACGATACAAATCCTTGTCCGGGTAAATCATCATCATCAGGTACAATAGTCATATTTAATGTTGTTGACATTGTTTTTGAAGGTTGGATACACTTTTGATGTTATTAGGCAATAGAAATGATGATCTGTTGAACACCTTTAAGAGATTAAATTGATTGGGACCAGAATTAAAATTACCTAAAAAAGACTGTTAATCAAATTTTTAACAACATTCATCTGTTGAAAACAATTACAGTAGAACCCCTCAAATTGCAATCCTTATAACTATCTTTGCCTATTGAATAAATTAAAATACAAGTCAATTTAAAAACCCAATCTATAGCATTAGCAACCGACAACAAAAACCTAGCAACATATCCAGATAACAGGTTTCGAATCTTATTGAATCAAATCCTGTATTGATACCAGAATCCGTTAATAATTTTTTTTAATTGACATTCAATTTGATTGCTTTTATCCTTTAAATTATTTCTACCATATTCTTATCCACCTTGAGAGATTTTATGATTTAAATCATGCAATTTTGATCCAATAAATATCATTCCGCAATAATTCTCATTGAAATTTATTGAAGGCATAAGGAAAAGTATTTTATTTAAGATCAATTCAGTTGAATTGGATCCCAGCATCAAAGGAACTGAAGCGCTGGGAAAAGTAAGAACTGGGCGTAGAGAAAGAGAGAAAGAGAGGATAAACCAGAGTCTAACAGAGCTAACAGAGTCTGTCTAAAATTTTTACAAGCCTGTACAAGCCATTTTGCACTAGACATCATCGTTTTTTTTCATCTACTGTAAATCTTTATGAAGATTTTTTATTCCTCTTATGTCATTACCTGTTATCCAGTTGTTCCGGTAAACCACCAATCGACATAAGGAAAGTGACAGTTTGAAAGTGAAGCTTGAAGGCTCGCTGATCCAACTCATTTTGTCTTACAATAAATAGTCAATACTAAGTCACAACCATTTTTAATTTTGTTTTTATTCTCTCTATCTCTCTTCCTCTCTCTCTTTTTCTCTTTCTCCCTTCTTCTTCTTCTTCTTCTTCTTCTCTATTTATCTGTCCATTTAAATTTTTCCCAAGCACATTTGTTTCAGGATAACAAACAAATCATCTTTAGTGTTCTTTTTTTATTGTAATTTTGTTGCAACTAGGATCTCCATTCAAACATCTTTCCTACTCTTGCTTACATAACAATTGTTTCATCTCTTAAAACAAATCTGATACCTTCCATTAATTCACTGCTTTCTTTTGGAAACCAAGGTGTTCATCGAATCATCCTTTTCTCTCAATAGTATATAAAGTGTCTCCAACCTTCAAAAAACAATGGATAAAGATACACTGCAAAAACAAATTGAAAACATGAGAATTCAAGCACAAATGGAGCGATGGCCTCTTTCTAAGTCAATTCAAGCGTAAGTCAACTTTGATTGTTTGTTATCTAAAGCATATTTTTCTGTTACACAAATTTGCATTTGATTGATTCGCACCTACAGATGAACAGGTTACAATGTGTTGATTAACCGTCTATTTACTCCGCTGGATTTGCTCAATCCTGAGTTTGAAAATTGAAATCTCATTGTTTTAAAATAGATTTGATTAGATGTGCATTTAATTTTAATAATTTGCAATTCCTATCCTCTGAAATTAGTTAATAACAACGATTGATTTGTTTCTTTCTTGCCTTGTCTTAATTGGATTAGTATCAGTGCATTCGATTCATCGCAAACTGCTTCAGCTATTCACTTGCATCTTCATCTTTCTATGGCTTCAGTTTCTTTAATGTGTCCAAATCCTTTTACATTCTTCGTAACATTGATTTTAAGCGAATCAAGTTCAACCAATGAAAAAAAGTATTGTGATTTGATCCATACATTAAAATGCTTAGCTTTAACATTGTTCTTCTATTGACTGACAGACATTACCAAATATAATCAACATGTATACATTTGACAATCCATTAGTTGACTGACCAAATAACTGAATTAGCTGGTCATCAATCAAATGCCAATTTGTACAATACTCATCAAGCTGGAACAACTATTTAAAAAAGCCAAATCATTAATCTCTCTTATTACTTTCGTTTAGATTGCGGGATTATATCGAAGAGAATGAGCCAATTGATCCATTGATTCATGCGCCGGACAAGAAAAACAATCCATGGGCTGAAAAAGGAAAATGCAATGTAATGTAACAATCGGTTAAAATCTAACAACTTTTAACTTTGACCAATTTTCACACCAAAACCAACACATCTACCACCACCAACAACTCTGTCTACAACTGCTTCTACTATTACTTCTACGATAATTATAATTATTATTATTAACGACACATTATTAATAATCCATTTTTAACAACCAAAAAAGGACAAACCAAACTATTCAGATTCAATTACCTCCGTTAGGATGTTTCCTTTCAATTCATGTGGAAAGATAACCGATATGCGAAGTACAGTAATTCATCAGATCCATCATTTCTCAACAAAATTAAAAACATCATTTGAATCTTCATTAGACCTCACTTCCTAAGACAAAAGAACCTTCATAAAGACCTTCCTTCACTTTTCATTTTTTTCCTATCTAAATTATGAAATGAGATTGCTTCTAATAAATAAAGGTTAAATAACTGTTAACAAATTTATTTTCACTATTTATTCATGTTCGCACTATTTTACATATTTGTAATTTTTGAGCAGTTGAGTGTTTTAAACTATGATTCCTTTATTACATTTAAAATATCTATCAAGGCACTTGAAGCATTACACTTTGTAAAACATTCGATTGCATTTAATGCCTCATCGGCATAGCGATTCTTGATTTCGCGTATCTGTTCGATGATTAATCCTCCAGTAATGGATTTATACAATTCAATAACATTCAACGTTCCACGATTGTTTGAGCTAGAGTCAAGAAAAAGTTTCTCAACAGGTTTGTTGATTGATTCTTGGACATGAAGTAAAACTGGTAGTGATTTGAGATCTATGACTAGTTCAGAAGATTTTGAATATGAAGAATGTAAATTAGATAGAAATGGTTCCATTTCTGTTAGTATCTGCCAACAGAAACTAAAATTTTTACCAAATTTAAAAGCAGCCTCTTGGAGGAATAAATTTAATCCAGCAACTGTACTAATTGACTGACAAGCATGTCCAGGTAAACTTGCATGCATAAGATAATGCCGTCTCTCCCAATCTTTGATTGGGTTGTCTTTTGCTTTTAAGGTTAATGATTGGATCGGAGTAACTGGTAATTGAACATCAGTTTGCATAATAAATTGTCCTTCAGTAAAATCACTGATACCTTGGGACATCAAAAGATTCACATCAATTGACCGAAGTCGTCCGAGAGAAGCCCAAGCCCGGGCAACATAATAATCTCCAAAAAGTATTGCCAATTTGTTGTTGTAATGAATATTCCAATCTTCAGGTCTTAACCTTGATGTACCAACTCGATGATTTGCAATAGATTTGTGTAGTAAATTTGTCTTATAAATTAATTCAATAATCTCGGTTAAAATTAATTGTTTATGCACAATCTCTTGGTGATCAATAAGAGGTGATTCTGCTTTAGGATCACGTTGATATTCGTGGGTGATTTTAGATATCAACAGGAGTACCAGCTCTCTTATTTGAATGTTAACATTATTATCGTATGCTGCTCTGTAAAATAAAGTAAATATGAAGAAAAAAAGGAGGAAAATTACAATTAATATAAGTAGGACAGAACATGAAATATTAAAACTCACGCAGTTTCCTCTAATAGAGGATGATGTTGATCTCCGTACACTTGCCGTAACTGGTCTATCACTCCATGTCTTGTTTGATTCAGAGCCATCAACGAACTGTGGACGAGCTCCTGACTTCTTTTTATTGAATTTAATACTTTGAACATTGTGAGTAAAATGTTCTAAATTTACTCAAATAAATAATGAGATCGAAAAAAGTTGCACAAAAAACAAAATAATATTGACAAAAATGGATTGAGATCTGACAGTATCTGATCCTTGGTATCGGATATTTTGTTGTTTGGGGCAAGGCTGTTTCTAAGTTGATTCAAAATTATTTTTAATTATCTTTAGTTTTGTTTTTTTGTGCAACTATTTATTTTTAATTTTATTTCTTTTTATTCGATAATTAAGCCACACGTATCTTCAAGTTAGGATATACATTGGTTTGATTCTGGTCGCCCTTAAAGGGTAAGTTCTACTTTTCTTTACCTCTATTCAACTGTAAATCTTACCTTTTTTATGTCTGACATTCTTTATTTTTATACTTTTCTTGCTAGTGTAACTATTTAGTTACATTGATGGCTCCGCAGAGTATTTATGGAAGTCGATCGACCACTTCACTGGCCTCGCATCGATCTAGAGCTACAATAACACACAGTCTACCTGGATCGAGAAAATTAGAACCTAAATGGTGGCAAAGAAAACCACTTATTGAAACTGCATTTTTTACCGATCTCCAAAAGGGTTCTTATATTGCTGCAATATATACTCTGGTAGGTCTTTATTTTTTAATTGATAACTTTTTCAGTCTTAGATATCTTTTTAACAATCTTTTACTTTTTATTATAGGTTGAAAGTATAATTCAAATAGCATTAGCAGTATTTGATACATACTGTTTGTTTGAAGCTGCTCCCGGTTCAAGGCATTTCAGAAGCGTTGGTATCAGTTTTCTCTTTGTTTACAGTGGGAATGAGCACAGTTAGTATCTATTTTTTACTATTTAGTTCGACTGAAAATCAACCTCATAATTGTGAATAAGTTCTCTTAGGAAATACATTCGAAATAGCTAAATCGAATCAGCATAATTTCATAGCAACTTATGAATCTTAAGTAATGTCAATATCTACAAAGCACATCTAAACATTTCTTATCTTTCAGAATTTTTACTTGAAAAGTTGGGAAAGGTAGTCAAGTTAATTTGTCTTTCTCAGTGTTCTACAGTGTTTCGACTATATAACTTATAAATCAGATATGTATATGTTTCATTGAAAATTGATTTAGAGAATTAACCTAATCATTTGTAAATATTCCTAAGAATTCCAAGCTTTTGAAGTTGATTTTCATTCTGACTCCTTTATCAATCTAAGTTTCTAATTTTTTTCTCTTCTCTTACATTTTTTTCTCCTCTTTTCGAAATGCAACACCTTGAAATTATCGATCAAAATCTAAAAACTAAAATTCTTCTAATAAATAACAATGACTATTCATTCTATTCATCACCATGGCCCTCCATTTGTCAAACTCAGTCCGGCGCTCTTTGATAGCATGCTCTTTGCTGTTAATATTAATATCAATCTACCTGTTGATATCTTCAATAATATTGATTCCAGCTCTAAAAAAGGAACAGGAAGCTAAATTTAAAAATTGGCTTAGAGCGATGTCCATTTTCATTATTATACGTACATGTGCAACCATGTTTCAATCGATTGCAAATGATTTGTTTTTCACTTATCATCAAATGATGCTGCTTATTTGGCTTTTTGCATCCGTTTTGAATGTTTTCGCTTTTCTCGTTATTGTTTCCAATTATCAAGAATTAAATACTATTACTCATTTGGAGGATATGGCCAAACTTAAAATGAGTACCATAAGCTCACTCAACGCTTCTCGAACTCTATCTCATCATTCGCTCGACTCATATAGGGGACCTCATTTAACGACCAACCCATCACCCAATACTTCTATCCAGGGTACACCAACAGCCCTCAGAGGTTCTCATGCTTCATCAGAAAGCTATAACCATTATTATCCACAACCATCGCCTCGTCTTGGTAATCCACCTTCTGCTAGTTCCATACCATTGGCCGCTTTCAGCTTGAATCTCAATCCAAACGGGACATTCTCAACGCCAAGATCTGCACAAGGCTCCTTAGGGGGTGGTTCACTCTCTGGTGGACGAGGATCGACACCATCGACAGCACCGATTTGATCTTATTTTAGATCATTATCATCAAAATTATTACCTTTGTCATTATCATGTTCATCACTTTCATCGACATCATCATGCATTTCATCGATAACTATTAACGTTAATCAAAGTTAAGACATAATACGCTTCAATCGCATTCAAAATATATACAAATTCGTCCACCAATGCCTTCACTTTTGTTTCAAATTTACCAATCAATTAGTTTGAATGTGTAAACATAGATCACATTAACGTCAATCAAAAAATTTCTGCATTTTCAACTTTGTTCATTTCTGCCAATTTTTCGATGCCTTGGAACAAACTCGTGTTAACTATAATTTAAATAACTGTGACCTTGGAATTTAAAGTATACCGTCCAAATTGAATCTCTTGACAGCTATCTGTATCTTGATTTTCCAGTTCAGCTGAATTTATCAATTTCATTCCCTCCATTTTTCACATGAGCATACCTAACACACACACACAATCACACTCTTTTTCTTCGTTTGTATATATTTAAAATTTATCTTTGATTTCACAGGCATTTATCTATTATATTTTTATAATCGCAAAGTTAATAATAAAAATATGTCAAATTGTCTAATTACCAAAAAGTTTCATTTTCATCTCATCTTCAAAGTATCCATCAATCCGTCAAATGTCATTTCAGCATTCTAATTATCACAAGATATAAAGCTTGAATTTTATTTAGCTTTTTTCTCATGATTTTATTATTAAGATTCAAATTTTAATAAAAAAAATCAGAACTTCAATTTATGATTTGTAATTCAAACTCGATCCCAGTCAGCAGATTGGTAGGCTTCATTACAAAAGACTCTCAGAATGATCTGATTGGTAGCTTTACTGAACAATGGCCACTTTAAGCTCTTTCTCTCCAACTTTTTATAGAAGTTGAATTTTTGGTCAAGAATCAAATGAATTTATGAATTAAAAAAATTATCAATTTTATGCGGAAATAGAATTAGCGCCATCTTATGGATTTTGATGAAACCTAGGTTCATTAAAGCTTGTACATGATATGCGTCTGGTTGCTAAAAATAATTGCTTCTCTAATTAAATATACTTTATTCCAAATGGTCAATGTATAATATAAATTAATATTTTATTACGAAAATTGCTCTTTTAAATCTGAATTCTTAAAAATCTTTCTCTACTGATTAAAAGTTCATGTTAATCTGTTTGAAACCTTGTTCTGTAACTAAGTGTTTTCCCCTCCTTCATATACTAACAAAATAGGAATAGCTGGCCAATGGAGATGTCTTTAGTCCGTTACATAAAAAATTCTCGTAACACTGAGACTCTCATTGCTGGTGAATTTATGTTCCGTAAAAACAAATGTAGAGATGAAAAGGTTTATTGGAAATGCCGTAAAAGTGGCTGCAATGCCAAAATAACTACACATAATGGTAAAGTTGTGGGCTACTTTTTGAAACATAATCACGTTGATAACAATCATGATGAAATTGTGCGGCTGGAAGGACTCCACTCAAGAAATAGTCAACCTCAGGTGAGATAATTTCATGTCATATTATTGCATTCAATGCATAGAGTCAGTTCAACTCGTTACTACTTATTGAGTGAAATATCTGTGCATCATTTTTTTACATTCTAATATTTTCCTTTTTTGTATCCAACCAGGTTACGCAAGTAGAGAATGTGATACACCAAGAAATAATCACTCCGGAAGAATCTTTTGTCGATTATTCATTTGCTGTTGAAAGTATTGTCACACCTACAAGCGGTAGTAGCATTATTATAGAGTCACAGCGAAGGGTCGATGATCTGAACGGTATTAAAGGTCCAAATGATGACCATTCACCAAGTGAAACAACCGCTGCTGTTGCTGCCATTGAAGACCCTGAAGCAGAGGCTGATGCAGCAACTTCATCTTTGACCATTATGTTTAAAGAATTCAGTGAATCACAGAAAAAAATTGAACAGTTAGTTACTAATCTTGTCTCACCTGGTGAAAGTGATGATCTACAATCAGAGAATATTAGACTGAAGGAACAATTGGAAGAGACTGTCCGTAAGTGTAAATCGGAGTTGGAAGCCAAAGAATTAGCTATACAAGAAAGAAAAAGTCGCGCCGAAGCCATCGAGAAAGAGATGCAAGCTCGTCTTGCTGTAGAAAGATCTATTAAGGAAAAATTAGCCGATGAAAATGCAGAGTTGAAATTAATCGTTGAACATTACGAGAAAAAAATCAAAGAACAAGTCCAAAGAAATTTTTTATTTCAATGAAAATTATCTCTCAGCTTTTTTCCTTTACTGACAATTTGTTACGATGTGATAATAAGTAAATTAACCAAATTGTGTACAAAGACACTTAACAAGCAAAAACTCTGAAAACAGAACTATGATGATGTTATTTAATCGTCATCGCTTCTCCACTCTCTCTATCTCTCTCGCCCCCATGTTCCGACTTATCTTATCATCCTCATCAACAACTCTCCATCAAATTTTTTTTCTTTTTTATTGTGACAACGCGTAATTAAATTTAAAATTGATTTGAGGAAATTTTAACCAAATATGATGGTTACTTTGTAAAATTGATCTATTTGCAATAGTTTATTTTATTTTATTTGCTTTAAGTGTACCTTCATACTTTTTGGATTAAATGAAACTCAAAAAGAGATTCATCCAGTAATCATAACATTATTTAGATGAAAATATAGTTGGTTAAATTATTAAATTACGAAAGAAATTTTGAGTTTGAATTAGAGCTTCGATGGAAAAATTGTTATTACCGATTTTGTTTATTTGGTAAGACAAATACTGAAGACATTAGATGAAATCAGTGGCAAATAAGTAAATAATATTAAAATGATGATGATGAAAAAGAATAAAAAATATCAAAGTCATGCTCACTTATTCGACTCTTGCTTTTTTATTATTTGCTTCCTATATTGATTCAGTCTTTTAATAACTGATCTCATGTGAGTAGCAGGTAATATGCCAAAGTCGAATAAATTGTTTAAATGAAGAATGAAATTTTTGTATAAACCACGATTGAAAATTTCCTGCCAGTACTGGTCAACAAATTTCTCACAAGCTGCAGGAATTTGACAGTCACCAACATATCTGTACAAATATGAGAAGGACAAGTTAATATAAATTAAAACATGATAGCACTGGGAGTTTGTAAACTAATAAGCCAAACACAATGATATAAATACTAACCCATGCTTCATTCCATGAAGATTCCATAACTTCATAACTTCTTTTTCTCCTTCATTCACGTCTGTGAACTCATCAATCATCTGCAATAAAAGAATAGAGTCAGTTACAAATTGAAGTTAATTGAAAACAACTTGAAAGAATTTTGAAACTTAAAACAAAAATAATTACCAATTGAGTTTTTATTCTCATCCATTCCGGATCGATTTCAGCCTCGCTATCTTCATCAATTTCTTGAGGTTTAATTGGAAAACAATCTGTGGATTGGTAATATTGTCTATTATGACCTCTTATATAAGGTCTAATGGAAATAATTCCATCAGGATCGTCTGTTTTAACAAATTGTGGCAGTGAAAGCTTTTTTGGTTTAAGATAAATGAGTTGAGTGACAGGAGACCTCCGAACTGGACCTTTTTTGCTGAATGCATGGCCAATAGTCGGATGAGAAAGGTCATATGGATTACCCGCATAAGAACCATCAAAGTTTTCGTTAACGGTAACATTAATTTTATACCCTTTTGGGTCTGGAATGAGTGAAAAGTTGAACCTCATGTGACAGTTTTTCAAGTGATGCATTAAAGACATAACCACTTTACATTTTAAAGAGCACCATGGGCACTTCAAGTCTTGACTTGATTTTGTTTGTTGTAGCACAACTTCACCATGGAGGAATCTATAAGTTATTTTACCACTGGCTTTGGTATTTTTTTCTATTAAATCCAAGTTGGAAACAGATGAGCTACTGGAGCATGTTTTTAATCCGTTTTTCTTTAGAAGTTGATTTTGTGTTCCTCCATTGTAGAGTAAAGAATTATTTTCATTGTTTGGGCAGCTAAGAGGTAGATTGAGAAGAAGTAATTTCCCAGGATTATCAGTCCACATTAAATGGAATACTAATACAGGGCCTTTTTCAAAAACAACAGCACTGTTATCTTGAGCTCGTGAGACAGATTCCCACGATGAGACTTTATGGTTGTTAACCTGATTGTTGACTTGGCTAGTGTTTGTTTCTTGTGAAGCCTCCACGAGAACGATCTGATATTCTCCGTTGGTCAAAACACATTTATGATTACGATCGATTACTGTTAACTCTCTAGTGAATTCTTCAGAATGAGAAACTTTTCTCTTTTTAAAGGATGGAGTATCACTATCGTCACTTTTAGTTTCTCCATTAACAGATGATTTAGTTGCAGTGATTTTAAAATGGAGAGAGTAATATTTGACTAGTTGCCCATTTGATAAACTAAAAAATTCTTTTGGCACTGTCAAGGTAACTGGAGTGGGCGCTTGATCATTCGGATTGATAGGAATTTCACAGCTGCCAATTGTAACAGAACTAACAGGTGAATGAGGATCATTTCTTTTCTTATGACAGAATTTAACTAAGGACAGTTCCAGGTTAGCTCGCATTTTGTTGTCAAAGTTTTTTGAAAATACTCCAACACAAGCAATAGACAGATTTTGGATTTTTCTGTGAATGAATAAATAAAAAAATACAGGTTAGAGAAAAAGCAAGTTGAACAAACAGAGACTCATTACCTTTCACTACTATTATCATCATCATTTTTCGCAGCTACCCGGACGTAAATAGAATCGACTTTGAAGTTTTTTCTGGCTTTATGAGACCGAGACATTCGATGCTTCATGTAAGAAAGGGTGCGATGGAGAAATATGGGCTAAAGGACAACGACAAAATAGTAACCAAAATAAGTCAAGTGTGATTCAGTTGACAGTAAATTAGAGAAATGACAAGATAAATAGATACAGATTGTATAGAAGAAACAAAGAGGCACGGAGAAATAATTTGAATGCATTTATAAGTAGCTTACCGAGATGAGATGGCGATTCCTAAGATAGCGATAGATCTGTGTTGGTTTTGCAATGGTTGCAAGCGGGCCAATTTGAGAATCTAATAACATGGTGAAACACAGTAAAATACAAGTAATCGTTGTGTTGGAATCAGTATTAAATAAGAACAGATTAAATGTTTGTAGGAAAATTAAATAAAACTTACCATCCATTTTGTTGATACCCCAAAGTATAAAAACCTAAACAAAAGGTTTTTGTAGCGCCCAGTAAGGCTTATTGTACAGGTAAATTTTTTTGCGCCATCTATCTCTAAAGAATGTAACAATTTTGAGTTCTTTTTTCATTCATACAAAAAGCAAAATCTAGGGTCTCTCTAACTTGATAGGATAATGTAATGAGTTAATTTGATCGACCAATCACATAACTCCTATCAGATTCTACTGGATCCAAAGAGTCGAGACGCTTCTTCACCATTATATACTGCTTTAGTTTAGTTTATGGCTTTGTTAACAAAGCCTTTAGCTATTTTTAGCTTAATTAAGCTAAAATGCTTTTTTTATTTTTTTAACCTTTTTATAAAAAATTTTATTGACAATGTTCACAATTTTAATTGTGAACATAGATTTATTACCTTCTGTGGCATCAGCGGATAGTTATGCCCATAGTTTCAAATATTTTTTAAGGTAAGTTTTGTCTAATTTTAAATACCAAAACTAACCCCTATGGTTTCAATTTTTTTGCAGGAACAAAGTGTTATCATCGTGCGCAATGGATAAGTGGCGATAATCTAGAGATGTCCTTATGGCCAAATGGAACTGATCAACACCTCTTAAAATCACCCAAATGTGAGTATAAAAAGGAAATGTAAAAGCCATTGAAGACATTCAGTCTCTTCTCAACTATTTCAAGTCCACCTGATTTTAAACGAATTGTTTGTGTCAATTACTTCCTCTGTTCCAAAATGTCAAAATTATTAAGTTTCCTTCTTCTGTTTATCTATTTTCAGTGTACCCTTCGTTTCCATTTGGAAAAGTCAAAGGGAAAACATGTTATTTCAGCCTCAACAGCTGAAGGGATCAAGAAAAAGTCCGAAGTGGCTGGTTTGATATCTGGTACTTCACTCGGTGTCGCCAAAGCGGCGTTAAAAAAACAATATTTATTGAAAAAGAGATTGTTTTTTTAAAAAAGTGGCTCCAGAAAAACCCGAATTCAAGGTGGTTTGGGTCGAACAGAAAGGGCCAAGCATGCCACAAGAGCCAGCAACTCCTATGGAAATATACAAAAAAGTAACAAAAACAAAGGTAAAAAAACAAATATGTTAAAATTAAGTGTGAAGCCTTATTTCAAAGGCTATTTTAAAGGTAAAAATAGGAAAAATCCTAGGTTAATTGTAATAATAACAACAAACTTGTATTTAAAATTATATTCAATAAAAAATTTTCTTTATTATAAATTTACATTGTTTTCATATTGAATTATTCAAACTGAACCGGTACCGAAAACACGAGCATTTCTATTTACATTGCTTATTTCTATTATTGCTTATTATTATGGCCAAATGGAAATGGTCAACACCTCCTAAAATCACCCAAATGTGAGTATAAAAAGGAAATGTAAATGCCATTGAAGACATTCAGTCTCTTCTAAACTATTTCGAGTCGCTTTTATTTCAACCAATTGTTTGTGTCAATTACTTCCTCTGTTCCAAAATGTCAAAATTAACAAGTTTCCTTATTTTGTGTTTCTATTTTCAGTGTAACTTTGGTTTCCATTTGGAGAAGACAAATAATAACAAACATGTGATCACTGGATCAACAGCTGAAGGAATCAAGCTGAAAAGTCCAAAGTGGCTGGGTTGATATCTGGTACTCCAGTCGGTGTCGCCAAAACAGCATTGAAAAAGCCTATTTGCATTGAAAAGAAGATTGTTTCTTTCAAAAAGATAACTCCTGAAAACCCCAAATACAAAGCGATATGGGTCGAACAGAAAATGCCAATCCTGACTCAAGAGCCAGCAACTCCTATGAAACTGTACAAAAAAAGAAACAAAGGTACAGGTTAAACCAATATGGTTAAATTATGTGTGATGCATTATTTTAAAGGCTATTTTAAGGGCAAAACATTAGGAAAAATTTTAGGTTAACACTACAAACTTGTATTTAAAATTTCATTCAATAAATAATTTTCTTTATTATAAATTTGCATTGTTTTTATCTTATTATATTTTGAGCTGAAACGGTATCAAAAGACGAGCGTTTCTATCTACATTGTTTATTTCTAAATTCGAGCCAGCAACTCCTATAGAATTATACCGTGAAGTAACAAAAACAAATGTTGAAATAACCAATATGTTGAAATTAAGTGTGAAGCCTTATATCAAACGCTATTTCAAAGGTAAAAGTTATTAAGTTTCCTTCTTTTGTGTTTCTGTTTTCAGTGTGCAGTTGGTTTCCATTTGGAAAAGACAAAACGAAAACATGTAATTACTGGATCAGCTGAAGGAATCAAGCAAAATTTCGAAGTGGCTGGTAATATATCTCGTACCTCACTCGGTGTCGCAAAGCGGCATCAAAAAAGCCGATATATATTGAAATAATATAAAAATTATATTCAATAAATAATTTTCTTTATAATAATTTACATTGTTTTTATCTTATTATATTTTGAGCTGAAACGGTATCAAAAAGACGCGCATTTCTATCTACAGTACAGGGTGTAACTCAAGTTCGTGTAGGAGGCAAAAAAATATTGCCCCCTGCGTAGAAACCAATTTCAATTTCCTTTGATTTCTCGTTTTAGAAACTGATTCCCTCTCTTAAGCCCTCCTACCTACACGAACTTTAGTTACAGGGTGGGGAGCTTAAATGCCTAGAAACTTTCTCCCCACCCTGTACTACGTCCAGTCTCCAGTTAGTTTGTATTTTTGTCTGACTGACATCTTACGAGAAATTATCTAACCATGAGTTTAGAACTTTTGTCAGCATGAGATCTTAAGTTAAGTGATAAAATATACATAATTAAAGAGCTTGAGTTTTCTAGTCAAAGTGACCTTGCTATTAAATACGGTGTTACTCAGCAATCTAATTGCATTATTTATTTTCAGGGGATCATGCTCTTTGACATTTCTCAAGTTGAAAGTTTTCACAAAAAGGCAGTTACAGAACATACAAAATCTGGTGAAAATCTATCACAAGATTCAATAGCATGTCAAATTCCTGATGAATTGATCAAGTTCAACGCCCCTCGAAAGGTAAATTTTATTTTTGATTTCTCTGCTTTGAAAGGAGCTTTAAATTGTCTAATTGACTGTGTGTGAGTCTGCTAAACTATTCTGATTTTAAATTATCATTGGAATAAATAACAAAATTAAAAACTTCCAATATGAAAATTGAAAATTGAATTGAAATGATAGCTTCATCTTTGTTAATTTTTTCACATTTGCTAGTCTATTGATAACAATTATTTTCATGGTCAATTGAGAATGAGAATTGAACCTGTCCAAAAAAGCCATTCTGATTCTGAATCGGAGACTGAAATCAATCAATTAATGAACAATGTCACTCGTCGATCTCAAGTTTTTGATCCTGTCCAACTTCAGGTAGCTTTATCTTTTGGTTTAAATGTTGTGTCAAACATTTATGTTGTCATGTATTCCCATTTTTAGGTGTATTCATTCCCTGAAACTGTTGAAAATTATATTTTCAAATTCCAAACTAATTATTTGTTTCAAAAGCATACACAACTTTGTCTTGCTCGATGTTAATGAAAATGCACTTGCTAATCAATCTAACATTAAAATTATAAATACTCAATATTTCATTCTAATTTTTTATTCAGAGTCAAAGTGGTAGCCCCGCAATGAGAGGACACATTCAAAACCGTGGCCAGCCTCGTATGGTATGGATTTTCCCATTTATGATTCAAATAAATTTAAATAAACATTTAAATAATCAATCCAACATTCCGTCAATAGGTAAGTGATTATTATAAAATAAATTTTGTATATTCTGTTAGGTAATACAACTTTTTCAGCTATTACCAAAGATATGAATGACCCGAAGAAGGCTTTACAAGGTGGGAACAATCGAATTGGTGGCTCTTCTCCTCAGCCTCCGCAACGAAATCGCCAATACACCGACCATGAGAGATCGCATTTCGGTCAAGGGCGAGGAGCTATTGCTGGTGGCCAACCTAGAGTTGTACCTAATCGCCAGCAGCGTGATGTTCGTTATTTTGTGGCACTTTACGACTATGATCCATTGACAATGTCTCCAAACCCTGATGCGGCCAATGAAGAGTTACCATTTCGTGAAGGGGACATTATTAAGGTAAAATAAGATCAACACATAATATGATAACAGTAACCGATTAATATATTTTTTCCTCTTTATTTCAATTATTGTACAGATTTTTGGTGACAAAGATCCGGATGGATTTTATCGAGGGGAATTGAATGATCGAATAGGTTTTGTGCCTTGCAATATGGTCTCTGAGGTTCAATATGATGCTGAAACTGGTGCACCAATAAGAGGACAAAATGATAATGATCCTTGGGCTCATTTACATGTAAAGAAAATGATTGCTCTTTATGATTATGATCCACAAGAGCTTTCACCTAATCCAGATGCTGAGGTAGGGTTATATAGTGAAAAAATATGTTATGAAAATTGTTAATTCATGAATATCTTCCAAACGAAACTTGTTTATCAAGAGTATTATGATCATTTCTAGATTTACAAATCATTACAATGGTTACATATTTTAACTGTCAGTTATGCTACAGATTCAATCAAACTCAGAATTAACTTTCAGATTTAAATTTACAGTCACTTAGAACCAGAAAATGCTTGAGTTGATGCTTTAGCTATTGAAAATTTTACTTTAATTATGTTTACTAGCCTGAGATAGTCAATTCTTTAATCATCAGTGAATGAAATTATTTTTTTCCTGCAATGAAGCATGTTCATCGAAGAAAAGGATTTCCATTTCTTTTATAATTTAATTTAATTTCTTCAGTTTGTCTTAGATTTTGTCAATCTAAATCTTATAAGCGTTTTAATAGAAACTGTATTTTACTATAATTTACTTTAATCATTAATCACTTTTCTTTAAAACTATTTTAGCTGTTGTTCATTTTAAATATTTCACATTTTTCAATTTTTTAAGTTCATTTCTTTTTTTTTCTTTGCATTGCATTTGATTTTTATTATTGATCCATTAATAATTGTAGATGGAATTAGCTTTTCATGCCGGTGATCATATTTACGTTTTCGGTGATCTGGATGAAGATGGATTTTATATGGGCGAACTCAACGGTAATCGAGGTCTAGTTCCGTCAAATTTTCTGACTGATGCCATCGACGGGACAACTCGACATGTGAGTCTACGTCAAGGTGGGGGAGCGGAGCATATTAATATAATACATACACAATTACAATTTACCAGTAACACTATCATCTCCAAATTTGCTAATGTGCAATATTTTAACATTTGGATATGCATTGTAATAAGTGTTAATACCATGTGGTCATTAGATGCACTGAAGTCAGCAAGGAAAAACTGGTCTTTTCATTAAATCACATTGCATGAATCAACCACAAAATCACCAAAAGTTATCCTTATTTATGTGTTTATCCATAAATTTTTGTCACAACTATCTTGCTTGAAATTGAATCAACGTTTAATTGTTTTGTGTATTTGTTAATAGCTATGTTTGTCATGAATGTTGCATGTTAGACAAGAGATCCTTTTGTGGAACCATTGAACTGTCACTATTTTAATCTCATAATGATATATTCTTCGTATTAATTGCAGTTAGAAAATTATTTCCGATTATTTAACTCACTTATTTAAGCTTTTAGGGGAAGTCATTTTATGTAAAAATGTAAATCTATTTTGAATTTCATTCGATGGACACTTTTTTTATTTTAATGTTGGAAATCATAAATTTAACCTAATCTGTTCACTTACTATTAAGTCAATTTTTTCAGTATTATTAAGAAGATACACAGAAAACTCCGCTTATTTGGCTTTCTTGGAATGGCCCTAATCCAATAACTCGTCATAAGTGTTTGTATTGTAACTCCATCCTTTCCTGAAAATGTTTTGTTGTCGTCTTTCGCTCTCTCACTCACCTGTATCATGTCTTTAACAATTCAATTTCATCAACTATTTTAATCACCAAACTATATTAATGTCAAATTATAACCCGAAAGTTCTTGTGTCTTGTGCTCTTTTTAATGAGATTTCAATCCAATCCACATTAACTTACCATTTAATGATCTTTTTTTGTTATTAACTCCTTCAGGCTACTCCGAATCAAATAAACAGAGGACCGGTAGGCGACTCTCGAACCTCCCAAACACAACAAAACCAATTACAGGGCCAAACTGGATATCAAACCCATCCTTCAATCAACCAGCAGCAATTGCAGAATCAGCAACCGGGATATTCCCAACAGCATCAACCTCAGCATCAGCATCAGCAGCATCCACATCAGCAACAGCCACAACATCAACTTGCCCACCAACAACATCAGTCCCAGGGCCAAGGTTACGGTCAGCATCAATTTCACGGCCAGCCACAGCAAGCAACTTCTTCCAACCAGAAAGTATTAACCAATGTTATTGGTCAAGGAATGAGGCCACAAGGCAGTTACGGAGCTCAATTGACTCACCAACAACATCCGGGTCATCATCAACAAACAGGACCACAACAAAGGCCTAATAGTTTGGAATTAAGACTGAACCAAGGAGTTCAGGGACATGTTAATCAAATTAGTCAGCAGCAGCAACATCATCAACAACAACACCAACAGCACCAACAGCATCAACAGCAATTATTAAAAAACCAACAGCAACAGTATCAACATTTACCTCAGCAGCAACAAACTAACAATCTTAACCCGATCTCAAATTTACTTAATAGTGGTAAGAAAATGTTAGAAGAAGCTACGACTCCAAGAGTCAGTCACCCACCAAGCTTTGATGGCCATGGTCAGATGATGCAACAACATGAACAAAATCATGTTAATATGAATCAACAAGGTATTAATCGTCCTGGATTGAACCAGCAGCAATCGCAAGCACAATTACAGTACCAACAGGGGCAACAAAACTACGGCCAGCGACAGTTTTCACAACAGCAGCAACTACAACAACAAAATCAACAACAAACAATGAACAATCGGCAACAATTTGGTTACGGAAATAATGTCCCTGGAATGGGCTTAGCTCAAGGTCAACAACAAAATCAAAATCAACAACAACCTCAACAAGGTCCAACTTTATCTGGTGCTCTAGGAGCAGTTAAAAGTATTTTCAAAATTTAATAATTTCAGGATTAAATTTAAGGTTGATCAAAAGACCAAGATATTATATCAATAATCTTGACCAGTTCTCCGAAAATCTTTGGCTGTCAAAGGCTCGGAGCAAAGGAAATGTGTAATTAGATGAATCAGGAGTTGTACATTAGCTTTGTTGTGCCTTAGACTAATTCCGTGGAAAAAAGATCGAACAATTCAAACGAAGTCCATCACAATAGCAATCAATTATAACAAGATTTCACTGGATAGGCAATATTAACAAATTATGGTTGGTAACAAAACTGGTTGGAAAAGGTGATCGTGATATATAATACATCTGAACTTAGTCTCAACCGATTTTGGATAGTTTTTAAACGAGATCTTACCTGCATCGAAACCTGGATTCAGCATAAAAATGATGAAAGAATTGATTGAAAATTAATTTGACTATAAATGTGTAGTCATTGATTCACATTTAATTTCCTTCTCATCTCTTCAATTGTAATCTCACAGATACACACTGAATTATTTCACATTCAATTCATTCAATATATCTATTGATATTTTAAATATCAATAGATATAATTATAAATATGTAAAAAGACATCAAATTGACAGTTTTCAGTTATTATCCATATTTGATCTCATAGATAATCGTACTTTTTTCTTGTTCAATTGAGTCTGGTTGTGCTGATTTTTTTCTTAGGACTATACATTTACTGATTGGCGTTTCATGCTTTAATTGGCACTTTTCATCTCACTGTCAATTAATCGAAGCACATTTAATGTTAGAATTAAATTCGCTAAAACTGCCTAATGTTGATCATGAAATTGATTTGAAACATTTCAACATTATTGTTGAAATTTAATCAAATCATGTTGAAAATTTTCTTTTATTTTTATCAGAACTATGTCAATTTGTGGTTCCAATTGTAGAGTTTAAGGATTAAACCTGATTATTACCTTGTTATCACCATGCGATAATTGACTTGATTAGTTAATATAATCACGTTACTGCTTGAATTAGTGAAAAAAGTCATGTAATGTAACTAAATGAAACAAACTTGAAACACTTCAATTGTTTATCTCACCAAAATCAATCAACGATTAATACATGATTGATTCATGAAATGTAACTGTAATTATGCTAATATCAAATTTTATTTTGTTTGTTCCTTGCATCCATTGATCCATTAAACTAATTCAACTACAATTATTTCAATTTTGCAATTAATACAAAAAATTATTTAATCTAGAAGAGAATGATGATTAATAAAACAAACAAAACAAAAATTTAAGACAATGAAACCTGACTCGATGGAAAAATTTCACATGCACTTGCAAAACCAAAATCTAGGGTCTCTCTAACTTGATAGGATAATGTAATGGGTTAATTTGATCAACCAATCACATAACTCCTATCAGATTCTATTGGATCCAAAGAGTCGAGACGCTTCTTGACCCTTATTAACTACTTTAGTTTAGTTTAGCTTAATTAAGCTAAAATGCTTTTTTTATTTTTTTAACCTTTTTATAAAAATTTTATTAACAATGTTCACAATTTTTTAATTGTGAACATATTTTTCAAGGTAAGTTTTGTCTAATTTTAAATATAAAAACTAACACCTATTTCAATTTTTTGCAGGAACAAAGTTTTGTCCTTGTGCGCAATGGATAAGTGGCTCATAATCTCGAGATTCCCTTATGGGCAATGGAACTGGTCAACACCTCCTAAAATCACCCAAATGTGAGTATAAAAAGGAAATGTAAATGCCATTGAAGACATTCAGTCTCTTCTCAACTATTTCAAGTCCACCTGATTTTGAACGAATTGTTTGTGTCAATTACTTTCTCTGTTCCAAAATGTCGAAGTTATTAAGTTTCATTATTTTGTGTTTTTATTTTCAGTGTACCCTTGGTTTCCATTTGGAGAAAACAAAAGGGAAACATGTAATTTCAGCCTCAACAGCTGAAGGGATCAAGAAAAAGTCCGAAGTGGCTGGTTTAATATCTGGTACTTCACTCGGTGTCGCCAAAGCGGCGTTAAAAAACAATATTTATTGAAAAAGAGATTGTTTTTTTAAAAAAGTGGCTCCAGAAAAACCCAAATTCAAGGTGGTTTGGGTCGAACAGAAAGTGCCAATTCTGACTCAAGAGCCAGCAACTCCTGTGGATTTATACCAAAAAGTAACAGAAACAAAGGTAAAAAAACAAATATGTTAAAATTAAGTGTTAAGCCTTATTTCAAAGGCTATTTTAAAGGTAAAACCTTTGGGAAAATTTTAGGTTAATTGTAATAATACCAACAAACTTGTATTTAAAATTATATTCTATTATTATATTCAATAAAAATTTTTCTTTATTATAAATTTACATTGTTTTCATATTGAATTATTCAAACTGAACCGGTATCAAAAACACGAGCATTTCTATTTACATTGCTTATTTCTATTGCTTATTATTATTAATTTAATTTAATTAATTAAGCAATTAAGCACAATTAAAAAATTGTGAACATTGTTAATAAAATTTTTATAAAAAGGTTAAAAAAATAAAAAAAGCATTTTAGCTTAATTAAGCTAAACTAAACTAAAGTAGTTAATAAGGGTCAAGAAGCGTCTCGACTCTTTGGATCCAATAGAATCTGATAGGAGTTATGTGATTGGTTGATCAAATTAACCCATTACATTATCCTATCAAGTTAGAGAGACCCTAGATTTTGGTTTTGCAAGTGCATGTGAAATTTTTCCATCGAGTCAGGTTTCATTGTCTTAAATTTTTGTTTTGTTTGTTTTATTAATCATCATTCTCTTCTAGATTAAATAATTTTTTGTATTAATTGCAAAATTGAAATAATTGTAGTTGAATTAGTTTAATGGATCAATGGATGCAAGGAACAAACAAAATAAAATTTGATATTAGCATAATTACAGTTACATTTCATGAATCAATCATGTATTAATCGTTGATTGATTTTGGTGAGATAAACAATTGAAGTGTTTCAAGTTTGTTTCATTTAGTTACATTACATGACTTTTTTCACTAATTCAAGCAGTAACGTGATTATATTAACTAATCAAGTCAATTATCGCATGGTGATAACAAGGTAATAATCAGGTTTAATCCTTAAACTCTACAATTGGAACCACAAATTGACATAGTTCTGATAAAAATAAAAGAAAATTTTCAACATGATTTGATTAAATTTCAACAATAATGTTGAAATGTTTCAAATCAATTTCATGATCAACATTAGGCAGTTTTAGCGAATTTAATTCTAACATTAAATGTGCTTCGATTAATTGACAGTGAGATGAAAAGTGCCAATTAAAGCATGAAACGCCAATCAGTAAATGTATAGTCCTAAGAAAAAAATCAGCACAACCAGACTCAATTGAACAAGAAAAAAGTACGATTATCTATGAGATCAAATATGGATAATAACTGAAAACTGTCAATTTGATGTCTTTTTACATATTTATAATTATATCTATTGATATTTAAAATATCAATAGATATATTGAATGAATTGAATGTGAAATAATTCAGTGTGTATCTGTGAGATTACAATTGAAGAGATGAGAAGGAAATTAAATGTGAATCAATGACTACACATTTATAGTCAAATTAATTTTCAATCAATTCTTTCATCATTTTTATGCTGAATCCAGGTTTCGATGCAGGTAAGATCTCGTTTAAAAACTATCCAAAATCGGTTGAGACTAAGTTCAGATGTATTATATATCACGATCACCTTTTCCAACCAGTTTTGTTACCAACCATAATTTGTTAATATTGCCTATCCAGTGAAATCTTGTTATAATTGATTGCTATTGTGATGGACTTCGTTTGAATTGTTCGATCTTTTTTCCACGGAATTAGTCTAAGGCACAACAAAGCTAATGTACAACTCCTGATTCATCTAATTACACATTTCCTTTGCTCCGAGCCTTTGACAGCCAAAGATTTTCGGAGAACTGGTCAAGATTATTGATATAATATCTTGGTCTTTTGATCAACCTTAAATTTAATCCTGAAATTATTAAATTTTGAAAATACTTTTAACTGCTCCTAGAGCACCAGATAAAGTTGGACCTTGTTGAGGTTGTTGTTGATTTTGATTTTGTTGTTGACCTTGAGCTAAGCCCATTCCAGGGACATTATTTCCGTAACCAAATTGTTGCCGATTGTTCATTGTTTGTTGTTGATTTTGTTGTTGTAGTTGCTGCTGTTGTGAAAACTGTCGCTGGCCGTAGTTTTGTTGCCCCTGTTGGTACTGTAATTGTGCTTGCGATTGCTGCTGGTTCAATCCAGGACGATTAATACCTTGTTGATTCATATTAACATGATTTTGTTCATGTTGTTGCATCATCTGACCATGGCCATCAAAGCTTGGTGGGTGACTGACTCTTGGAGTCGTAGCTTCTTCTAACATTTTCTTACCACTATTAAGTAAATTTGAGATCGGGTTAAGATTGTTAGTTTGTTGCTGCTGAGGTAAATGTTGATACTGTTGCTGTTGGTTTTTTAATAATTGCTGTTGATGCTGTTGGTGCTGTTGGTGTTGTTGTTGATGATGTTGCTGCTGCTGACTAATTTGATTAACATGTCCCTGAACTCCTTGGTTCAGTCTTAATTCCAAACTATTAGGCCTTTGTTGTGGTCCTGTTTGTTGATGATGACCCGGATGTTGTTGGTGAGTCAATTGAGCTCCGTAACTGCCTTGTGGCCTCATTCCTTGACCAATAACATTGGTTAATACTTTCTGGTTGGAAGAAGTTGCTTGCTGTGGCTGGCCGTGAAATTGATGCTGACCGTAACCTTGGCCCTGGGACTGATGTTGTTGGTGGGCAAGTTGATGTTGTGGCTGTTGCTGATGTGGATGCTGCTGATGCTGATGCTGCTGAGGTTGATGCTGTTGGGAATATCCCGGTTGCTGATTCTGCAATTGCTGCTGGTTGATTGAAGGATGGGTTTGATATCCAGTTTGACCCTGTAATTGGTTTTGTTGTGTTTGGGATGTTCGAGAGTCGCCTACCGGTCCTCTGTTTATTTGATTCGGAGTAGCCTGAAGGAGTTAATAACAAAAAAAAGATCATTAAATGGTAAGTTAATGTGGATTAGATTGAAATCTCATTAAAAAGAGCACAAGACACAAGAACTTTCGGGTTATAATTTGACATTAATATAGTTTGGTGATTAAAATAGTTAATGAAATTGAATTGTTAAAGACATGATACAGGTGAGTGAGAGAGCGAAAGACGACATTAAAACATTTTCAGGAAAGGATGGAGTTACAATACAAACACTTATGACGAGTTATTGGATTAGGGCCATTCCAAGAAAGCCAAATAAGCGGAGTTTTCTGTGTATCTTCTTAATAATACTGAAAAAATTGACTTAATAGTAAGTGAACAGTTAAGATTAAAGTTTATGATTTCCAACATTAAAATAAAAAAATGTCTATTGAATGAAATTCAAAATAGATTTAAATTTTTGCATAAAATGACTTCCCCTAAAAGCTTAAACAAGTGAATCAAATAATCTAACTCAAATAAATACGAAGAATATATCATTGTGAGATTAAAATATTGATAGTTGACTGGTTCCACAAAAGGATCTCATGTCTAACATGCAACATTCATGGCAAACATAGCTATTAACAAATAGACAAAACAATTAAACGTTGATTCAATTTCAAGCAAGATAGTTGTGACAAAAATTTATGGATAAACACATAAATAAGGATAACTTTTGCTGATTTGGTGATTTTGTGGTTGATTCATGCAATGTGATTTAATGAAAAGACCAGTTTTTCCTTGCTGACTTCAGTGCATCTAATGACCACATGGTATTAACACTTATTACAATGCATATCCAAATGATAAAATATTGCACATTAGCAAATTTGGAGATGATAGTGTTACTGGTAAATTGTAATTGTGTATGTATTATATTAATATGCTCCGCTCCCCCACCTTGACGTAGACTCACATGTCGAGTTGTCCCGTCGATGGCATCAGTCAGAAAATTTGACGGAACTAGACCTCGATTACCGTTGAGTTCGCCCATATAAAATCCATCTTCATCCAGATCACCGAAAACGTAAATATGATCACCGGCATGAAAAGCTAATTCCATCTACAATTATTAATGGATCAATAATAAAAATCAAATGCAATGCAAAGAAAAAAAAGAAATGAACTTAAAAAATTGAAAAATGTGAAATATTTAAAATGAACAACAGCTAAAATAGTTTTAAAGAAAAGTGATAGATGATTAAAGTAAATTATAGTAAAATACAGTTTCTATTAAAACGCTTATAAGATTTAGATCGGCAAAATCTAAGACAAACTGAAGAAATTAAATTAAGGATAAAAACCAAAAGAAATGGAAATCCTTTTCTTCGATGAACATGCTTCATTGCAGGAAAAAAATAATTTCATTCACTGATGATTAAATAATTGACTATCTCAGGCTAGTAAACATAATTAAAGTAAAATTTTCAATAGCTAAAGCATCAACTCAAGCATTTTCTGGTTCTAAGTGACTGTGAATTTAAATCTAAAGTTAATTCTGAGTTTGATTGAATCTGTAACTGACAGTTAAAATATGTAACCATTTGTAATGATTTGTAAATCTAGAAATGTCCATAATACTCTTGATAAACAAGTTTCGTTTTGAAGATATTCATGAATTAACAATTTTCATAACATATTTCTTCACTATATAACCCTACCTCAGCATCTGGATTAGGTGAAAGCTCTTGTGGATCATAATCATAAAGAGCAATCATTTTCTTTACATGTAAATGAGCCCAAGGATCATTATCATTTTGTCCTCTTATTGGTGCACCAGTTTCAGCATCATATTGAACCTCAGAGACCATATTGCAAGGCACAAAACCTATTCGATCATTCAATTCACCACGATAAAATCCATCTGGATCTTTGTCACCAAAAATCTGTACAATAATTGAAATAAAGAGGAAAAAATATATTAATCGGTTACTGTTATCATATTATGTGTTGATCTTATTTTACCTTAATAATGTCCCCTTCACGAAATGGTAACTCTTCATTGGCCGCATCAGGGTTTGGAGACATTGTCAATGGATCATAGTCGTAAAGTGCCACAAAATAACGAACATCACGCTGCTGGCGATTAGGTACAACTCTAGGTTGGCCACCAGCAATAGCTCCTCGTCCTTGGCCGAAATGCGATCTCTCATGGTCGGTGTATTGGCGATTTCGTTGAGGAGGCTGAGGAGAAGAGCCACCAATTCGATTGTTCCCACCTTGTAAAGCCTTCTTCGGGTCATTCATATCTTTGGTAATAGCTGAAAAAGTTGTATTACCTAACAGAATATACAAAATTTATTTTATAATAATCACTTACCTATTGACGGAATGTTGGATTGATTATTTAAATTTCCTGGTGTATTTTGAAAGTTGGATTGGATTTGATTATGAGGCAACTGCTGCTGTTGCTGGGAGTGAGGCTGATTTACATTCATATTTCGGTTCACTTGATTATGTTGATTTGAAAACTGATTTTGATTAGGATGATTTGACAAATTACGTTGCTGATGAGATGGTTGTTGCCTAAATTGTTGCTGTTGTTGATGATGTTGTTGTTGCTGCTGCTGTGTTTGCTGTTGTTGTTGTGGTTGAAGATGGGACTGCATCTGCATTTGTTGAGACGATGGTTGCTGTTGAGAAGAAATGAATTGTATTAAAATCTCATTTATCAATTGAATTATTAACAAGATCATTTGAATCATAAATGGGAAAATCCATACCATACGAGGCTGGCCACGGTTTTGAATGTGTCCTCTCATTGCGGGGCTACCACTTTGACTCTGAATAAAAAATTAGAATGAAGTATTGAATATTTATGATTTCAAAGTTGGATTGATTATTACATTGTAAGTGCATTTTCATTAACATCGAGCAAGACAAAGTTGTGTATGCTTTTGAAACAAATAATTAGTTTGGAATTTGAAAATTTAATTTTCAACAGTTTCAGGGAATGAATACACCTAAAAATGGGAATACATGACAACATAAATGTTTGACACAACATTTAAACCAAAAGATAAAGCTACCTGAAGTTGGACAGGATCAAAAACTTGAGATCGACGAGTGACATTGTTCATTAATTGATTGATTTCAGTCTCCGATTCAGAATCAGAATGGCTTTTTTGGACAGGTTCAATTCTCATTCTCAATTGACCATGAAAATAATTGTTATCAATAGACTAGCAAATGTGAAAAAATTAACAAAAATGAAGCTATCATTTCAATTCAATTTTCAATTTTCATATTGGAAGTTTTTAATTTTGTTATATATTCCAATGATAATTTAGAAACACATTAGTTTATTAGACTCACACACAGTCAATTAGACAATTTAAAGCTCCTTTCAAAGCAGAGAAAATCAAAAATAAAATTTACCTTTCGAGGGGCGTTGAACTTGATCAATTCATCAGGAATTTGACATGCTATTGAATCTTGCGATAAATTTTCACCAGACTTTGTCCGTACTGTAACTGCCTTTTTGTGAAAACTTTCAACTTGAGAAATGTCAAGAAGAGCATGATCCCCTGGAAATAAATAAAACAAATATGATTTTTAATTACAATCGTAATTGGGAATTTACTATGTCATTATCTAACCTGTTGGACTATCGATTTCTGCTAATTTTTTATGGGCCGAAAAAACGGCATAGCCTGTTACAGCACATCCATTCGAAGTACCGAATTGGTCTAATGTAACTGGAAGCCAAGTTACAAGAAGAGTACCATCCTGAGGTCCAGACTCAATTTGTACATCAACAGGAGGCTCCGGAAGACCTTCAAGAAAAATCAAAGTACAGTTTATTAAAAGACTAATCGACTTAAAAATTTAAGAATTGTAATTCATGAAACATTTCACATGCATTTTTGAAGAAGAAATGAAATGAATTGAACTTACTTTTAGGTTGAGTCCGAAAGTCAACAAAAGTAGTGAGCATTTCAAGTTTTTTAGGATTCTTCTCCTCTGAACACAACAATTTACCGGGTTTAGCACGCACCGAAACTCGATACATAGTATTTGGAGAGAGACCGGTAATCAAGTGTTTGTAAGTGCTGGGTCCAACAGTTTTAACTTCAACAGAATTCACAGCAACCACATGATAAAAGTTACTATTAGAAGGTAACCAACTAATCAAAGCAGACGTCGCAGTAATACTGGTAGCTTTGACGCTACATGGAGCAAATGGTACATCTGAATGGTAAGAAATGAAATTAAGAATTAGTTGACATGCAATCAAGATAAAAATGGGACAATATTACGTTGACAATTTTTGAAAAAAGGTGATTTGAAAAACAATAAACTCAGAAGAAAAAAATCAATAAAAGTTTTATAAAACAAATGCAAAAAAGTCATGATTGTCAATATATGAATGAATATAAAAAAAGCATAAGATTACTGAGCAACTTAAGAAATAAATAAATAAAATCAACATTAAAATGAAATAAGTTAAAAATAACGTTAAAAGGTACAATAATTATAATGAAATTGTGCATTCATTATTACAATGTGTATTATAATTGAAGACCTACTTTTACCAATGACTATTGTACATGCTGCATCCCTAGAAGCTCTTCCTTGAGGTGCGATGGCTCTAACACTGATTCTATGGGGCTGAGAGGGAAAGAGTAGGTTAGATGGTTGAAAATGACGTAAATTTTGTAGTTGACTTTTTCATAAAACCTTTGAGATTAAAATTATTTAATATGAATCATGATTATAAAATTTTGTTCAAACTATCCAAATTATTAATATGATAAACTAGCAAGCAGAAGACTTTTCACTGCCAAAAGAATAGCTAAAACTTGTAGTAAACGTTTGAGTTAGTTGTCCTCATAATCAATATAGTTAATTCTTAGGGTAATAATACAAATCTAGATGATATTTTTAGCTAAATTAGGAGGTCTGTATAAGTAATAACTTAAGCTATTGAATTAAAATTGCCTGGAAGTTTGAATAGCTGGTATGAAAAGCAAATTTTCAATGAATCAACCGGGTCGGATCAGAACTAACAGCTGTACACATCAGTGTTTTAGACTGGAGCCATCGAAAATTGATCTTACAATTGATGAGTCGACACCTTCTACTAAGGCTCTTGTTCGTTCAATACTTGGTATTGTGACTTTTAAAACTCCATCAACATAAATTTGATAATTGTCAATGTAACTTTTCGGGCAATCAGGAGGTAACCAGCTTAACAAAATACTTTTATGCAATTGACGTTCCAAAATTAATCTTTTTGGTGGAGGAACTGTTGAAGGAATAGGGAAAGTTCAATTTATTAATTAAATATACTAATGAAATTAATGACGAAATTTGAATTAAATTATCTTACTTGTGTCTTTTGCAGCATTCGCTTGAGCTCGCTCTGGATCAGAGAGGTCTTCCTCGTCAATTTCAGACGATTCAACAAGCTCTATGTAATCATTCATCCTATGAAAGTCCTCTGTAAGTGAGAAAATTTAAAGGTTTAAGAGATAATATTATAGCTGCAACAAGAATTGTAGCGAAAGGGGGGCAAAATGTAATTCATCTCCAACTCACGAGGGAGGTGTCCCAGGTGTCTCAAAAATCACGAAAATAAATTTGATGTAAATTTGGTAACTCCAATCATTTTCAATATTAAAACAAAAAAAAAATTATTTTCTCAATAAAGATCTTACCGGGTGCAATAAGGTGTTGAAAATTTGAATGGGCCATAACATCGTCTAAAATGGCATCATAAAATTCAGGTGGATAACTGCAGGTTGATTCATCACCATCTCTACCTTCATAGAGAATGGATGTTTGAAATTCAAATAAATCCTCCCCAGTAAGCTTTTCAACAAAATTAGAAGGCACTAAACCTCGCCGTCCATCAAGTAATTCACCAAAATAAAAACCATCATCATCGACATCACCAAAAACAAGAATGAAATCACCAGCAGCTAAGTGTAACTCTGATTCAGGATTTTCATTTGGTGATTGTTTGTAAGGATCATAACTATAGCGAGCAATAAACACGCGGCATCTTCCACGATTGGGAAGCTCAATATAATCAGCAAGATCTTCAGCATATTGAAGTTCTTGATTCTTTATCAAAGCTTGTAGAAGCTGGATATGGTCAATTTCTTCGTCAAAATAAGCATTCGCTGATAACATCAATCGTTTATCCAACATATTACGATCAGAAATGGCTCCTGTAATAATTGATCAAGATTGATTGGGAAAAATAAAATATCATTGTTAGTTGGTTGGTTAAGAGAAAGAGATGAATTGTTTCACTTAATACCATAAAATTGGGTCAATTAATGAATGTTATTTATACTAGGATAGTTTGTTGTTCACTCAAGCTTAAAGTGAAACAAGCATAAATTGCCTGGTTTACAAAGAAAAGTGACAGAAAATAAAAACACTAAATTGGTCAAGTTTAGTGGGTAACAAAAATATTTACCAGAAAAAAGTTGAGAATAAAGTGTTGGTAGTAAGCCAGGATGAGCAATTCCAGTCAAAGTTGGTAGGGATGATGATAAAAATACTGGCGATGATACATTACTTGATGAGATACGTTTAACTTTTTGATCCAGTTCAGCAAGTATTCTATTGTCTTGTTCCAATTTTTCCATCAACTTGTCTAATTCTTGAGGCGATATTGAAGAACCTAATGACATAATCCCATGAGATGAAAAGAAATGAAGAGAGAGAGAGAGAGAAAAAATACACGGATTAATCCAATTTAATATCGAGTGAAATGATTAATATTAATTTGATGACCATGAAAAAGATTATGTATTAACCTGATGGTCTTGAATTTAATTGTGATGAAATTAATTGCAAAGCTTGTTGAGTATCGATTAAAGATGGCATAGATGATGATAGATTTGCTCCTCCTCCATAAGATGTCAATGCTAGGGAACCGATTCGATTTAATGGAATGGTGTTCAGTTCACTAATTGTTGAAACTTGATCAGTGACAGTTGATGAGGTATTGGTAGAAGTTGTTGATGTTGATACCGATCGGGTTGTAATTGTATTCAAAGTTGGTGGAGGTGTTGAAGAGTGGCTTTCCTTTTCAGTGGATGTTGATTTTGATGCAGTAGTTACTAAAGTTGATGAGGGCAATGGTGTTGTATTAACGCTTGTTTTAGGTGTATTTGTTGCAATTTCATGGCTAGTTTCGATGGTTGATGCAGTAATTGTTGTTGATGGTTTCTTCTTAGGTAAACGTTCCTTTTTTTCCAATTCCTCAAGTTCCTTCAGTATTTTGTCATCCTCTTCCAATTTTTTCAACAAAGCATCGACATCTATGGGTTTTCTGTGACCATTACCAGCTGCTAATAGAAAGATAAAAAAGGTGCATTAAATATTTTGTTTAGTGTAAATTCATTATATTCTGTAATGATTATTCAACTTGTTATTATCCAATCAAAGAGATAACATATTGGGAAAAATTTACAAAATAATATCACGATTTTGACTGATAGTGTTAGTTACAGAAGTTAAGTGAGTTGATTAAATAACACTCTTGGTGGCTATCAGAAGAAAGTGGTTTAAATTGTAGATCAACAATTTGCTAATAGCTTTTAGTTAACAGTTTATTAGATAGTTTGAATGTTCGCCTAGGCTTCACTGAACACTTGAAATCTATGACTATTATCCTGGAGCATGGCATCAATCCTTCAATCGTTTGAAACAAAAAGTGCTGCTATCCTATTTATACATTTAACTCTTAAGTAATCAATTATTTGTATAATATTTTCCTTCTGATTGTTGATAACAACCAAAATAGCAATAAATAAAGGATCAAGTTCAATTCTCATTAGAAGCAACATTACACATGCAAAACAGTCATTGATTCAGTTGGATGGAAAAAAATCACGATAAAAAAGCATAAATATGGCAAAAATAACTTGAAACTGTTTCTGTGTCATCTGTGATTACTTTTGACTAGCAAAAGAGTTAAATAAATAGAAACTAAAACAGCTAACCCAAGTACTCTATTTATTTTGGACAAAAATACAAGTTATTACAGCTACAAGGACAAAATTGATCTTACCTTGATCTTCTGGTTTGGTCTTTCCATTTAGATCACTGGCTGTTTGGGTAGAGCTAATGGTTGATGTTGACCCGATTGTTGACTTCGATTGATCACTAAATTTTTTCTCGGCCAAATTGACCTCCATAGATGAATCCATTTCTCATTAGAATGCGTTGAAGATATCAATGGAAGGTTTAAAATGAGTGTAAGAAAGATTAGACAAACAGAACAGGTTATAAATAAGAATAGAATCTATTCATTCACTTCATTATAATAATAATGACCATGATAAATTGTAAAACCTAAATAAACCAGAGTGTTGGTAGCAAGGTACAGTTACCAACATTATAGTTGAATAAAAGAAGTGATATTATTATTAGAAGACTAATAACAATATTGGTCAAGAAAGATGTTGACTAGTGATAACAAGGTATAGCTGAAGATGATGTGTATCAAGATGTCGATGATAATAGTCCAGCATATGATCAAAGATAATAATGATATTGAATGACCAAAGATCAGGATGACTGGTTGAATTGGAAAAAAAGACGATGTAAAAATAAAAGACACAAGGAACAGGAAAATAATAAAATTGGTTAAAGCTTATTTACAATTATCCAAAAAATGCTATATTAATGGTGACAATAAACAATACACTGGAAAACGAGAGAAGCAAAATTTTGGTGGTTATGTGAGTGGGAGAGAGAAGGGGGTGAAAGAGAAAGAGTTACATAAAGAAAGAAAAGAAAGGGACAACCAGAGGTAGACAGTGAGTCTGTGAGAATCATTTCAATGTACAGTCTCCGATAGGTTTCTGTATCTTCTATCGATTAAAAATGTTAGGTTTAGTCTATAAAAGCAAGGAATCTTTATTTCTCTTTCATTTTCAATTCTTGGCGAAATGACTGTTGGCCTTTTTACGTCATTCCTGTTCTCATCATCATTATTATTATCAACAACAGCAACAACCAAAAAACAACTTTAACCCTATTCTATTGATATTCAAAATGTGTGTTCCTATGTTTCTCTCATCTCTTTACCTTTACATAAATATAAATATATTAGACAGTTGATGGAACAAGTTTTACATACAGAATTGATATTTACTAGATGATAGAGGAAGAGAGAGGGAGAGAGATGAACAGTTTATTATTACAATGATGATTTAAGTAATGATAACAACGATAAAGATGTTAAAAAAAGGTACAAAATAAGAAAAAAAGCATAAAAACGCAAATCCAATGTAGGTTGTTGTCACCATTTCTTGTGTAACTTAAACTCTGAGGATTTTGCACTCTGTTGGTTATTATGTTATTATAACTCCTACACGTGAACTTTTATAAACCTTTGCTTTTAAATCTAATTTTGTATTTCCTTTATAATCTTTACATTTCAATTTTAATAATCAATTGTTACTCATAAAGTCTTTGAAATTAATTTGAAAAAATATACAAATAAAGTTGCTTGGACCGAAAATCAAAAATCAAAATGTTTTCCCATCATATGAAACCCATCATAGGTCAAATAAACATTGACAATAAACGATTACTTGAACATCTTATTCACACATTTACAGTCATTATTTAAATTGTCAAGATGACTGGTTAAATCAGATTAAATAAATCTTAAGCAGTTAAGTTTCCTCCAAATTTTGCTCAACAATTGCTACTTTCCTCTTGCATCAACCGGGAAATTTAAGAGTTACCCAAAAAACCAATGTAAATGTTTAACCGCTTTTTTCATTACCATTTTAACCAGTTTTGACATTACCAATTACATTGTATTAAAGTGTTATGAACATGGTTTTTGGAGAAACCAGATTTTAAGGTTTATTGTTGAGACCTGAGTTGATACTTTAACCATAGAGCAATGATGATTTGTGTTTTATTTAATTCTTAAAGGTAATACCTGACTTGATTTGATCTCAAATTGGAATCAAGCTAATGATAATATTGATAAGATCACAACGTTTAATTTTACATATCTTGCAATCAATCATATGAGCAAATGAATTGATACATGACTCCTTGATTTTTCCTCTTCCATCAATAATTTTTCGGGTGAATAAGGTAAACAATCAAAATGAACCAATTGATTAATCTTAAGCTTTTTGCGTCGTTATTGAGTTAGTAATGATAAAAAACACTTCCCACTTCATGTAAACAATCTTAATAATAATCAAGTCATTTAATGTACCAAACAAAATTCCAACTTGTTGATCTCAATGTGCTTTTATATAAAAATCACTTTTTTTTGTGGAAACTGGAAAATAATCCTAAAAATGCAGCTTAATTGCTGAATTAAAGCTTACACATTGAATGGCTGTAGTTCAATGAAATTTAATTGCAATGTTAGTTGCAGATGAAAATGGCAAATCTGTATATTACAAGAATCAATAATTTACCAAATGTCGGATTAATTGATTGGATAAATTTGCAATTGCAATTTGAAGGATTTTTCTGCAGGTTCAGGCTTCAACATTCAAGATTGAATTGAAGTATTGCAATGAAATTTTTATCTCGATAGTTAATATGACCTAAATTATCAAGGCGTCCGGGAAATTTTTAACCCAAACTTGAATGACAATTGCTAATAAGAAATGTTAATAACGATAATTAAAAACATATATCTCAAGTAGATCATTGATCAACGTAAACAAGGAACATTTCTTTTGCCTACTTCACTCGTGATAATCTTTATACCTTACCTTTTTGTTCACTTGTTTTTATTTTTATTATTATTATTAATAAGTGGATCAACAATTTAATCAACAATTTAATCAACAATTTGTTCAACTAAAAGCAAGGTTTAACTTTGCCTACAAAGTATAGATTGTAAACTATTAATAATCGTGGTTGCCTTCTTGATCCTTCAACCATCATCATCTTTATTCCCTTTTCAATATGACAGCACAAAATGAGGCAAAAAATTCACTTTCTTTCACTCCTTTACTTCCCATTAATTTGAGAATCGCAATCAAGATAATCAGTTTAATCAATTCAACGATAATCTACTCTTTTTGCCGATGTTAAACACTTGAAAATGTGGTTAAAAACAATACCTAGACAAGGTTAATCATTTTAAAAATAGCTTGACATAAAGTATGCAACCATTGCTTGCTAGGCTTATGTTGAACCATTACCCAGCAAGAAGACTCTTGAAAGAGCGCGCTTTGATAAGGCAATAGATAAGAAAGAAAGGGAAATCAGAGGAGGTGGAGGTGAAGGTGGATGATTGAGAAGATAAGTCTTTCTTTTTCTTTTCTCTCTTCCCGGGATTGGAACCTTGACAACCAGTGTCAATAATCATCTTCGAGTATTTCGATATATAAATGGATTCGTTGCCTTCCGTCCATAACTTGAGTTGAGCTACCAAACAAAGTAACATTGTGCTAACATTTACCATTAACTCTTCCTTTACTTTTGCCTTTGTGTTTATCAATTTTAACAAATTCACTTATTAATCATCATCATGAAGCTATTCATATTTACTATTTGTGTTGCTGGTTTTGCAGCGGTTGTACTCACTGGTAAGTTACCATTTGTTTTCACTAATTTTAACTGTGTTTACCTGTTATACATTTGTATAAACTCTGTTTCTTTTTGTTTTATCTGTAGCACCAACCGACCATTCCCATACCCACAGTCATGCCGAATCAACCAATGAAACTGCTCATTCTGCCGGTCATGCACATTCCCATGAACACCATAATCACACCGATGAAGGATCCCATTCTGGCCATCATGAAATTAGTTTCCACCATGGCCATGATCACGGCCATGATCATCATCATCATAATTCACATGCTAATCATTCTCATGAGAGTGATCATTACGAAAATGATGGACACACTGCACACAAGCCTGGTGATAATGTTCACTCTCTTGATCTTCACATCAAATGTCATGGAGAGTACTCACCATCTACTGCATGTGCCAATGGAACCAATTCATCTGATATTTTCTGGTTTGACATGACTCGAAATGTTTGCAACAAATACGAAGTTGGTAAGTGCCCATCAGCTGGAAGTAAAAACGTATTCTCCTGCATGGATGATTGTTTGAAATGTATCACTGATGGTAACGCCATTCAAGGAGCAGAACCTACTATAGCTGTCCGAGCTGCACCTGCAACTGTTTCTGCAAGCACACCAAGCACACCTGCAACATTAGCTCCAAGCACTGCTAAAGCAGTTAAACCAAGCTCAACTACTAGCGCCCCAAGTTCAACAACCACTGCTGCTGCTGCAAGTACAACTGCTGCCGCTAGTACAGCCGCCGCTTCAGTTGCTACTTCTGCCGCTACTACTGCCTAAATTGATTAGCAATCTTCATCTTCAATTGTAGGTTTTGGTTCTAGTTTCGAATGTAATTTAACGCATTCAAAATAACGTTCCTTTTCATGTCAGCTATAATTTATTTTCCAAAAGTTCTGACTTTTCCCCATCATTAATCTGTAATAGATCAACACATTCAAGCATGCTCTGAAAAAAGTTTATCAATAAATTTTGAAAATTAAAAATTTTCGCCAAAAACTAAATGTAAACCCAATTATTTGCAAAATCTTGATTACCGCGTTGTTTAAGAAGAAATGATTTTCTTATCTCCCATGATCAATATCATGGATGGAAAAAATACCCTATATCAAAAGTTTAGTTTGGTTAATTGTTGAGTGGCTTTTACTCAATTAGCTGAGCAAAAAACGAGGGAATTACCTTATACTTTCTAATATAAATCAGGAGGGGTTTTATAAGACCAAAAGATATTAATTTCACTTTTAAATGCATATTTACTTCCAACGGTCTATTAAAGTTGAATTATTGATGTTATTGAAGTTTTTACATCGAGAGGTGCTGAGGTAAGATTCATACTTATTCATACTCAGTATTATTTTCAGTCATTTTCATTCCCCTCGCCCTCTTTAACAAATTTTATAAACTCCTTTTCGCACTACGTACTCATATGTTGTATGCTAGTACAAAATTTCATAACAATCGGCTGTTTGGTTTAGCCCAAATCGTTAAAAGGATTTTTTCGCTCAGATCAACTCAGTTAATAACATTTTTATAGCATATTAAATTTGCATTTATTTATTCATCCAAAGCTTACAAATAATTGAAGTATGAATTGAAATCGAACTGAATATTATTGGTTATTCGGAGAAACTGAAGCTCTAGAAAGCCAATACAAGCATATCGGAAGTTGGATTTTCTCCAAACTTCTGTTTCAGCCGATGAGACTGCATTTTCAGGTTCAGATTTCGAAATGTTTGATAGATAATACAAAAATTTTAAAAAGTAATTTTAAATAATAAATTTCAATCAGAATAAGATTATTTTACAATATTGGTGAATGACTTTGGTTTTGAGAGAATTTTCAGAAATGATAGATGATTATGATGCTCCGTTTGATTATATTTCAATATCGTTATGAATTTCGAATAGCTTAAAGTTTAAAATGAAAAAGAAAGGCAGAGACAGTTCAGCGTTATTGAGATTAAGTTATTGCTCGGTAGTTTGAAAATCTTTAGGCACATCATAAGGCACATTGACGTACTCGATTGAAGATTTGATCAATTTCTTGAACCTAAAAGATCAAATGACTTATTTTTCAAGGATAAATGAATGTTAAATTTTGAATGGTTAAATACCAATTGCTTATAAGAAATGACTAAACAGATATTTTCTTATGACTTAGCTAAGTTGAGAACATGAAGAATCGTTTCATCAACCGTTTGATTGTTCAATAATGATTTGATTGCATCATCATCAATTACTACAGTAAAGAGAAGCTTTGAGTTTTCTCTGAGTCTATCAGGAAAATTAAATTCTTTAGGGTCAACTGGCTGGTGTCCACATCGTTTTATAACAGAATCCAAAATTTCATCAATGGGTCTATCCGGCCAACCGAAACTTTCCAGTGTAGATTCATCAACTAATAAGCTTAACACCTCTTTTATTGAGTCAACGAGCTCAGTTTCTGTTAATACTTTACTCGGACCTGGTTCTGATTCATCGTTGTATGGTATGGTTGAACTTGAGCTGGACGTATTTGAAGCGGCCTCATCTTTATCATCAATCGCTACTTTGCCCAACATGTCTTTATGCCGTTTCCTCATATGACGCATGAGGCAATCTCTCCGTAAGAACTCTTTTCCACATTCAGTACATGATCTAGGTTTTTCTTTGGTATGTGTTAAAAGATGTAACTTGAGAGATGGCTTGATTGCAAATCTAATAAAGAGATTGATAAAATGACAACATAAAATTAGTAATTAATTTGATTGCAACATTAATTTTCTCACCTTTTATTGCACTTTGGACACACGTGAGGCTTTTCACCAGTGTGAAGGATATTATGTCTCCTGAGGTCTTCTTTGCGTGTAAATTTTTTGTCACATTGGTCACACTCAAAAGGCTTTTTCCTCTCATGAACATAGCGTTGGTGCATTTGAAGACGACCTTTGCGATTGAAAATTTTACCACACTGTTCACATTTGAACCCGTCTTTACCAGTATGATGAAAAAGATGAGCTTTCAATCCTCCAGCTTGAATAAATTCTTTGTCACAATAAGGACACTTGTGGGGTCGTATTCCTGTGTGTACTCTCATGTGTCGATTAAGTGTTCCTTTGAGTGAAAACGCGGCAGGACATTCAGCACAAGTGTAAGGCTTCTCCCCGGTATGTATTCGCATGTGTTTACCCAAGGCACCACTAGATGGGAAAGCTTTCGGACATAATTCACACTTAAAAGGTTTCTCACCAGTATGCATTCGTTCGTGAATCGTCAACAAAGAAGCACCATGAAACATTTTGCCACAAAATGAACATTTGTAATTCTTTTTTCGAGTAACTTCTCCGGCATGGACCCTTAAATGTTCCCTTAAATTATCTTTACGGGTATAAACTTTACCACAAACTTCACAAGGATGAGCAGGCGGAGGTTGACCAGAGCAAGGAGTAAGTTGAAGATGACGATCAAGGTGATATTTTCTGGTAAAATTTTTGTCACATACATCACAATGCCAGTTCTTCTCTTCGTGGAGATATACTTCATGCAAAACTAAACCATTTTCATCATCGAACTCTAAATCGCATTGTGAACATTTGAATGTTTCATTTTTAGATTCATCTACACTTTTTGAGCTTTGTGGATCATTACCCTGCTCATCTTGAGATTTACTTTTTCCTTTCTTAGTTTTTTTCGTAGATCTATTGCCTGATCTAGTTTTAACCCCCTCTCTGGTTTAATGAATAGAAATGAACGAATAAAATAGGAAAAACGAAATGAAAGAACCAAAGACACAAAAAAATCAAAAAATCAAAAAAAGTATAAGTTGATTTACCTTGCATTAGATTTTCTTCGAGAACCTGCCATAACTAATCAAATAAGAAACAAGATGAAAATAAAATAATGATGAAACTGAAAATAAAATGAGCAAAGATTATCTGATGATTGTCAATGCAATCAATCAGACTAAATATCATTTTTGAAAGTAAACAGTATTGAATCGAGAGAGATCCACCGATACTGTTAGTGAGAATAGCACAGACTTTATTTTCACTCACTGTCATATGTTTTCTCATGTTTCAAAGTTTTGATATCAAAGATAATTGAAAATTAGACTAGATTATAAGATGAAATGGACACAGCGATTTCCATCAAATATAGCAAAAAAACAAGTAACGATTGATTAGTTCCAACATTAGACAACATTGGTTGCAAGGATTAGAAATCTTAAATTTTAATTTTACAAATTTATCTGCAATACAATCTAGCATGTGGCTATATTGTTATAATTGGTGAAATAACTAATAAAATAAATAATTAGGAAAATTTTTACAGGTAGTTGAATAAGATGATCACAGTAAGCTTAACCCTTTCACAGCAGATCAAGAAATATGGAATAGCCTGGTGCTTTTGGGAATGTATGGCTTGAAATTGAAACAAATAGTGAATATTCCAATCGCATGAGACTCTGAAGTTTATTTCGACCAGACAAAGTTGAACTATTAAAAAAAAATAGAAAAAAGGCAGAATTAGGTATTCAATATGTCAAAATTCAACAAGTTTCATTCAACTTGACAAAACATGACTTAAAATTTGGTCTCTATCAGATAAAGGTAACTCCAAAACTATGTAACAAACCTTCTATGGCACTAAGTTATCAGTTATTTATAACTAATTTTGATTGAGAAAATGATGGATGTGCGTGTAGATAAATTCCAAGCAATCATTCCTTGGTAACATTTTAGTAAAAATTAAATTTACTTGTTTTGACGACGTGAGTTGATTACTTTCACAGGCAAGTACGGCTAGATAGCTGATAACTCGAAACTGGAACGGTGAAAAGAAAATCGAGAGTCATTAAATAAACGAATATAAGTTTTCATGTAATTCTTACCATTGTAATTGCTTCGTTTATAACAAAATTAGTAGAACCGATAAATTTTGAGGTTTCCTTTCCCAGCATGTTCTTTGTATAATAATTTACACCTTTTATAGATCTAATGATTTCTAAAGATTCTGAGAGTAAAAGAACGAAATTTCATTATTTGAAGATTAATAGTTCACACCAAAATAACTAAAACAAGCTACTTACCTTCAATGATAATAAAATTAAGGATAAATAAAGTCAAAATTGAAGTCAAGGTAAAAACAAGTAATATCTTGAGTTGGAGACTCTGCAACAAAAGAAAACCAATCAATTATTCGGGTTTATTGAATATTTATGTTTGAAAAAATGAAACTAATCCAGAAATCATTAGTAATGGAGAAAAATTAGTTATACTAACCATTGGGTGAATAAAATTACAAACCAAACAAATAATGCCAAACATTATCACATTATATAAAGAAAGGAGACTATTTTTGAAGGAACTTGTCTTGAAAAGTTTAATTTGAATAAAATTGGAATGACTGTAAACATGGGCTTCAATCTGGAAACATTTTAAGCTTTCAAATTTTCGGCAAACATGGTAGTTTTTGGCAATATCGTCCATATTTTGTTTGTCCATTTTAATTAGCAATCAAAAAATAAACATAGATTTTTAGCAGCGAGATACCGGTAAAAATGAGTGTAAATAGAGACAAAGCTATTTTAACAGCTTGGAAGAGACTTAACAGAACCAGAGGTTCAAATACAATTTTCAATTTGAGAGCTCGAATAAATCAACATAAATTATACCTGCCAGTTGTGTTAACAATTTCACCGAATAGTAGTATGCTTATTAAAATCAACTGTTGTGAAATTGAAAGGTAAATCAACATTGTTATTGAATGCATTATCCTCCTTTGCAGTTGAATAAATTTTTATCTGTCTGATGTGGGTGTCTCGACCATTTTGATGGTTTGAAAGAATCGCTATTTGAACCAGGAAGGCTCTAATCCCTTGACCGTTGTTAGCGTGTCGACAGTCGATATGTATCCATCCAGTAGGCTCTTGTAGTTCCATTACCTCGACCTCTTGTAAATCATGAAAATGGCTTCCCGTCCTAATTGAAATTCTGGATGGTGTATAAGACTCATCCAACTTGAAGTCAGCATATATACAAATATCTTCAATGCATGTTTTCTTTTTAAATTGGACGTTGACCAGATGAGGCTGTGGACCATCCGATTGCCAATAGCTTTCCAAATTATCATCTCTCAATTGATCAACGCCAAAACCTGCCTTGCAGGAGGATAAAGACCAAACGCCTTGGCTTCCAACCTCACGAACTTGACTTCTACGTTTCTTCAAAACTGGATCAGTTTCTCCTTTGCTTGCGCTTTTACCAGAATTCATGTCTTTCACTAGTTAAATAATACAAATGACCACAATACAAAAAAGGCAGTATTTGAGACAAAACACTAAAAAGTTTGGACGAGGATTCGATGATTTTGGACTTTAATTTAGCTTTCAAATGAATACATTTTTCCAGTAAAATTCACTATTTTTGACTCATTTATAGCTCTCAAGAAGGCGCCAGCTACCGTAAACAATTTTTTTTGTTGCTACATTTAACTCTTTACTATTCAAATATTTATGTAAATCTTGAATAACTATCTCAGTCGATCATGTCGTGCCCTGCAATGCTCCAAGATCGTAACTGTTTAGATACTCTCCTTTACTGAGCAATTTCTAGATTACCGATATCCTCAATTCTGTAACAAGATGAAAGAAACAACAAGCAAGGCTCGAATTTTGTGAATATTCAAATTGAGTTGTTGAAACAAATTGCTTCCACATGCACTTGATTAAAACAGCTATTCTTGTTTTAAATGTGATTCAAATTTTAACACCTGCATTTTTCCAGGTTGGTCTGCATAAGGTTTCAGTCAAACATAAAACACATACGCAAAGAAATGAAATATTAGAGGGCTCAATAACTAGCAAGTTGATTGGAAAGAAAATAATTATGACTGAATGGAATAAATTATAAGACAATTTGCTATCTTTTCATCTGCTATCCAAGCAAATTTATTTTCAAATTAGTTAAATACAATTTGTATACTCTAAAAAAGTTGAAAATGATATCATCAGCTATCAAGATCTGTATAATTTTTATAATGGAACAATTTGTTTAACTAGATCTTGATGGCTGATTAGCTTTAATTTCTTGAATACAGTTGTCACCATTTTAATGTTTCGACCATTGTTGAAATTAATAACCTTTTCTTTTTCTCTTTTTTGCTCTATTTAAATGTATTTCTCCTCTTTTCAATCAGTTGATTTAGTTTGCATTTCAATTCCATCTCGGATTCCACAGCGAATATGACTTTCAGAGTTATTTAATTTACAGGAAAGCTCTTCACTTGCTATGGATAAAATTTGTTTCCCGATAGATTGATAAAGTTGACCTTCTGGCAGAAAAATCGGCGTTAATTCTCTAATAGTGATCCCAATTCTCCGTGAAATTATGTGTTCTCGTTTAATTGCATGATACCATTTATATCTAGCATCACCATAGAGAACCAGTAAACTTCTTGCAGGTAAAGATATTTCAATTTCAACATTATAATTAGAATGATCAAAGTTATTTTCATCATAATCACTCTGTTCATCAATATCTTTGTGTGAGCATTCAACTGGACTTAATGTTAGTCGTGTTTCTGAGATCAAATTTACTGTAACTAATCTTTCTCCCCAAAGCCAATCATCATCTGTAAATAAAGAAAAAAAAGAGAAAATTAGCAAATCATTGAGGATAAATTTTTTAATTATATTGAGATATTCAAAAACAAATAGAACTTATTTGAATTGAGCTTAAAGCTCAGTAGAAAAAAAGAGCGGGGTTTTATAATTAGAAATGCTGTAACTAATAAATATCTTTTTCAACTAAATTTTTATTGATAATCTCTCAAGACTTTATGTGTTAATAATTTATAATAAAGGATGACATTTGACTTGAGAATAAGCTAAATGTTAGTTTGAAAAAAAACTTATTTCGCTTACTAAGCGAATTTTGTTGAATGTACTTTGGTAGCTTAGGATATAAAATGAAAACAAAAGTTAGAGAAAATTTTGATTAAATCTCAATATTTTTAAAAAAAATTAGTTTTGGCATCAGGAAAAGGTAGGAATAGAAAAATAGTTGAACTGACCCAAGTGCGGATCAATTGCTGAGCCCCTTTCAGGAACATACTCCAAATTACAAAGTTCAACGGGAATAAAATTTTCTAAAACCTTGGCAGATTTTTGGACATGACGAAATAATTTATGACCATAATCAGGCAGTCCATTAAACCCGTTCAATTTAACTTTTTGTTTACGAAAATTAACTTTAGGCCCATAATCTTGTTTACGACGGCCAGATTGAGAAGATACCCAAGGTGATGGTGTGGCAGGATCATCAATCAGAGACACAATTAACTTCTCCTCATCTTCACCAATAACATTTTTAATAACAGTTATGCCTTGAATAGGAATAAATTTTGGCAGTTGATTACTTTTAGTAGAAAACTCAAAACTGCCAGTAATAGAAGTTTCCATTGAGCTGTGTTGGAGATGGTATGATTCATCATCAAGATGTGTTTGAAGATCATCCTTTAACCAAGCTTTAGACCCACATTGAGAACAATAAGTATAAACAATCTTAGTTTGTTGGTTTGCATTTTTGATGAAATTGCTCCTCTTCACAGTTAGATTTTCACAAATGAGACACGTCCGAATGCCTTTGCAACCACAAGGTCTATCGCCGAAAGAGTTCACATCTTTAGAGAATTTTTCGTCACATTTATCATTACTCATTTTTGACTCAGGATAGGCTTTTATAAGTTAATAAAAATATCAAAAAATGAGAAAAACGTATCAGTTGAGGAAACGCGAAAATATAGTTTGCAGAGTGAAATGCAGATGTGGTAATGAATCTTGTGTATGATGCAATGTGAGGTGGATGGATGTTGATGTGCGAGTAACACTATCCCGAAGCTAGATAGCGAAAAGAGTTTTAGATTTCTCGAAAAAAATTGTGATCACAGTGGAAGATGGTGAAAATGAATCAGTAATTGTCCTTTGGCTATGTTTTGATGCTCGAGTGTTTCAACTCTCCGTTATTTGTAGAAAAATGGTTTTTTAAATTTTACGCGAAAATTATCTCAGTAAGCTTCAACTTGTAGATTGTCGACGATATCACACATGAGAAAGTCCAATTGAGTCAACAAAGCAACTTGATCAATTTGTTCATCATTATCATTTAAGAGATTGTCTTCAGAGTCTTTATCACTAGTTGAATCATCAATAAGGTCAGCCATGTCAATCGAAGGTTCAACAATATCAGGTATAGAGTTAATACTAGTGTTGAGCATCTCAATAACTTCTTCAATTTGTGTTTCAAGCTTACTGATCATATCTGAACGCTGTTTCTTTTGACGATCTAATTTAACACGGATGGTTTCTCTAGCCTGATGGGGTCTCATCTCATTAAGAAGGTGGTGCATCTGAATAAATAACATCTCAATGTCGGAACATTTCTCTTTTCGTTTGGGTGATTCCGGGCACTTAATTAAAGCATCCAAAAGATCTAACATACTAGCCATAAGGCTTACATTCATCTTCTTGATCTCACGCCGGTAGTCATATTCTTTGGGGTACAAGCGTTTAATATCCTGATCTTCCAATGTACGGATTATTGGCTCATCAACTTTGATTTCAACAGCAAACATAGAATAACTTCCATCGGTAATCGGTTTTGGTGGTTCGGGATTAAGGCCTTTAGATATATTATCATCAGAGTACCATTGTATTAGTAATGTTGGTGGCAACGGATAAGACGAGGATATGGTTGGTGCTGCCGGTGGAGCTTGATTTGTCATATTACCCGCACAAAACGGGTGATCTAAGGTGAGTCGGCCAACTTAGGGGACAGGGAGATATAAATTTATTTATTAAGCTATTAAAAAAAGAAACAATTCAAACATCACTAAAGAATGATGATGACTTCATACCGATTGAAGAACCACACATTGAAACTTATGTTAGATTCAAGATTTCAATTTGGGAGTCAAGACTCAACCAACCAACCATTCCACGCATGCCCACCCCATACAGATGAGCCAAAATGCGAGGTAAATATGAAAATTCATTTTAATTTAAATCCAATGAAACTAAATTAGCTATTTTTGATTGCCATAATCATAATCATTGTTTCAATTATTATTCCCTTTAAAAATAATTTTGAATTGTGATGATGATTAACTTCAATAAAACAAACCAAGCACAAAAACTTAAAACATATGTTCCTCTCTCTCTTTCAACCTTCGCCACTAGGGCTTTTTCAATATAACTTAATGCATTACAAATGTATCTTTCCAATCAAAAGCAGGTAACCCTAGCGGTAAATGTAAACGTGAAATATTGTACTTTTAACTACGCTTATTTTACCCATGATATTTATATGTTTATTATGATTATTTTTTATACTGAATTTAACTAAACCATTTGTACCCTGACATCTCTATGTCCCATGGGAGACATATATACTCCGAACTTTTCTCTAACATTATCAATAAAGTTTGACTTCAACTTTCAACTTTGCCTCTTCAATCCCTTGTGCTGCCCTCTCTCCTTCTTACTCTTCACTCGAAACCGAGAGGTTTTAGAATAGTAAGATCCCTCCCCTTTCTCTCTTACTTTTCACTTTTGGTTCATCTCCATAGAAAAGTAAGTTAAATCTTCCTCTTTTGACTGTTAACAGTTGTGAACGGTCACATTTGGCGCAGTCGACAGGATCTCTTCTCCTGTTTTTCATCAGACGTATCTCTTGTCTCCATCTATCAGCCGACTTTTCCAGCCTAATTGTCCTTTGGTGGAACAGAACCCCCCTAAAACCAGTTTGCCGACCCAGCTTCCTCCGTTCTTTGATAACTCCTCAAGTTCAAGCTGTTGAAACTCCCGCTGGTCCTTCTGCTCCATCTAGTGGTCTAATTTAACCTGGTAACATTTAACTTTAGCCGAGAACAAAATGGCATATGATCATATGGATACTAACCTCTCTGATCAAATATCCACAGATCCAGATGCCCAAAGAGACAACCTCGACTCGAACCCAATCACAAATCCAAATCAACCAACCCATCCACCCTTGGGTAACCAACCAAATGGTCGTCTACCAACATTAATCCGTAATCCATACCTCCCGCCTACACCAGCAGTTCGATTCCAAGACCAAAATAGGAACCGTTTATCCACTACATCACAACTAGACACGACTATCGACCAACCAACGCAGTACATAACCTTACCACAGAAGAAGGTTCTCAAATGTTACACGGGCGAACCATCTGGCATCCGCATCCAAGCTTGGTTAGTCCTGTACGAAAGACATATCAACACCAACGATCCATACACCCTTATCAGAGACTTAGTCTACAGCCTAGACAAAGAAGCTCTAAGTTGGTACGCCGAGGAAATCGCATCTGAAGAGCATGTTGATTGGAACGCTGTCAAATCTTTAATGATCACTCGCTTCGGTTCTGAATTTAAGGACCCACTTCTCGAAGCTCAACGTATCCGTCTTGAGCGTACAGAGACAGTGACTGAGTATTATCGCCGCAAGATAAAACTCCTCCGTGAAGCAAAATTGGCTGAACATCAAGTCATCTCTCAACTAACTTCTGGTTTACCCTTTGCTTGGACTCTCCATATGAGCTCTGGACGCCCTCGTACACTCTCTGATTGGCTCGAAATAGCCACTGAAACCGAAATGCGTTACAAACAAAAGGAAAAATTCCTAACAAAGCAACAACCAAAGAAACCCGCTGCTAAAACATTGGTCGCCGCACCTCCACATAACAATAGCCGCCCTCGTCAATCTGCTGAACGCCGTCCTCCAGTCTGTAGGTACTGTGAAAGACTTGGTAAAAAGGAAAACCATTGGCATCGTGAATGTCCTAATCGTTCTCAAACCAGTCAACCTCGACCATCGACCCACACTGCCGAGGAAGAACTCCATCCAGATGACCACGGAGACGTATGTTTCGCTAAAAACATATCCCCAATACTGAAATTCATCGATATCCCGCTAACAATCGAAGGTATTTCCGTCGAAGCCTTCATTGACACCGGTAGTACAATCAGTATAATGAGTCTAAAGACATGTAGAAGACTCAACCTTCCTATCAACAATAAACAACAGATAACCATCAACCAATTAGAAGGTTCAACAAAGAGTGTTGGATACACTCTCGCCTCAACTACCATCCACAAAACAACCAAGACGATCAAGTATCACATAATCTCCAACTTCCGCTATCCAATCTTAATCGGTCTCAACACCAGTATCGAATTCGGTCTTCACCTTAACCTAGAAGATAAGACTGTCAGTATTCGATCTCCAGAGACTCAAGAATTAGTAACCCTGTTAGGAGAGACACATGAGAAAGATCAACTTGCCGCTCTCATCGAAAAACATAAATCTGCCTTCGCCCAAAATGAAACAGACATTGGCCGCATCACTGTTGCCAAACATCGGATAACCACTATAAACCATCCTCCAATTCAACTTAGAGCCTATCGTCGTCCTCAAGCCGAACTTGATGAAATAAGTCGTCAAGTCAAGGAATACAAAGAAAAAGGATTGGTTCGTGATAGTGAAAGTCCTTGGGCCTTCCCAGTCACATGTGTACCAAAGAAAGATGGTGGTACACGACTTTGCATAGATTTCCGTCGTCTCAATGCCCTCACCATAGATGACAAGATGCCGCTGCCACGGATCAATGATGTCATTGATCGTCTTCAAGGTAGTAAGTACTTCTCGACACTTGACGTCAAATGGGGATATTGGCATATTGAGATGGACCCAGAAAGCATCGAGAAAACTGCTTTCGTAACTCATGAAGGACACTATGAATGGCTCGTCATGCCATTTGGTCTTAAAAACGCCCCAGCAACTTTTCAAAGAATTCTCCAAAGAGTACTTGGTTCTCTACTCTACAACGGCGCAATAAATTACTTAGACGACATCATCATTTACAGCAAAACCTTCTCTGAACATCTTCAACTCTTAGAGAAGATCTTCACTCTTTGCAAGGATAACAACATCAAACTGAAGCTGTCTAAGTGCAACTTCGCGCAAAATGAAGTTGACTATCTTGGATACATCATCAGTGAAGAAGGGGTTAGACCATCCAAACAAAAGGTCAAAGCTGTTGAACATTTCCCTGTTCCAAGTAATGTCAAGGAAGTTCGTCAATTCTTAGGACTTGCAAACTATTACCGTCGCTTCATAGACAAGTTCTCAACCATCTCTAAACCATTAACCAGACTCCTTTGTAAAAACATCGCTTTCCACTGGAAGGATGAACATCAAACCGCTTTTCAAATCCTCAAAAACAAGTTAATCAATGAACCAGTTCTCGCTATTTACAACAAAGATGAACCGTGTACCCTTTACACTGACGCTTCAAAGATTGGTATTGGAGCTACGCTAGTTCAAACCGACAAACATGGTCTTGAACATCCCATTGCTTATTTTTCCAAAGCACTCAACGAACACCAAGGCAACTATACCGCATTCGAACTTGAATGCCTTGCAGTTGTAGAAGCTGTTGATCACTTCGAAGCTTATCTCAGCCTCCCATTCAAAGTCATCACCGATCATAGTGCATTGAAATGGCTCCTCACACTCAAGAAACCCAAAGGGAGACTCTATCGCTGGAGTATCAAGCTCTCTACTCGATCCTATGAGCTATTTCATCGAGCTGGCGTCTCTCAACAACACGTTGATGCCTTATCAAGAGCCCCAGTTACTTTCCTCATCGATGCTGATGAAATCAAGCAACATCAAGCTACCACTGACTTCTCTCATATTCAACAATCTTTCAAAGTGGATGGCATTGTCACCGTGAAAACCCGTGGTTCCACTCGAGCTATCATTCCACCATCACTCCGTAATAAAGTCTTGCAGCATTTTCACGACGATTACAGTCACCCTGGGAAAAACAAGACTGTGAAACTTATTACTCGTTTCTATTGGTGGCCCTATATGATCTCAGACATCAAAGCTTATGTCGATTCATGCCGTTCATGCCAGCTTGTCAAGCAAACCCATCGTCCAAGTATTGGTCAAATGATCCTCCCTTCAGTTGATCTCGAACCTGGTGATCTCGTCGGCCTCGATACTATAGTCATGGGACCTGCAGCTGGTAGTACTCGACATAAATACATCCAAGTCTTCATAGACCACTTTTCACGTTATGTTTGGGCCTTTCCCACAACCACCAACACATCAGCATCCGTAGTAACCCTCTTAGACAAATTGATTCAATCTGGTATTCGCATCAAAGCTATTCTAACTGACTGTCACAAGAACTTCCAAAGTACAGTCTTGAAACAAGCTTTTAAACGACACAACATAAAGCACATCTTCAGTACTCCATATCATCCACAGACCAACGGTATTGTCGAACGTATCAATGGAACTTTGATGGTCAAAGTAAGAGCTGCTTTACAAGATCATCCTCATCGTAAATGGACAACACTCTTACCCAAGATTGTCACTGACTACAACAATACTCCGCATGATATCACTGGTTATGCCCCTGCATATCTCTTCTTTGGAACCGATCCAACTCCGACTTTCTCCGGTGAAACCAACAATCTCCAAGAAGCACGAGAATTAGCCAGGACCAGGACACGTACGGAACAAGAAAGAAGGAAACAAAGACATGACGCTAAGCATCCCGTCGCAAACTTTGAGATTGGATCCAAAGTACTCAAGGAAGTACCATTCAACCATCCATCCAAGACTAAAGTCACAGCTAAGTATACAGGTCCATACTATGTCATCAAAAAGATCACGGACGTAACATACATCATCTCGGAATCACTTTCAGGAACACCAATTCAAGCTCATTCATCCCAGCTCAAGCAGTTTGTTGATAGACAACAAACTCAAATTACAGTGGGCGAATGTGATGATGATTAACTTCAATAAAACAAACCAAGCACAAAAACTTAAAACATATGTTCCTCTCTCTCTTTCAACCTTCGCCACTAGGGCTTTTTCAATATAACTTAATGCATTACAAATGTATCTTTCCAATCAAAAGCAGGTAACCCTAGCGGTAAATGTAAACGTGAAATATTGTACTTTTAACTACGCTTATTTTACCCATGATATTTATATGTTTATTATGATTATTTTTTATACTGAATTTAACTAAACCATTTGTACCCTGACATCTCTATGTCCCATGGGAGACATATATACTCCGAACTTTTCTCTAACATTATCAATAAAGTTTGACTTCAACTTTCAACTTTGCCTCTTCAATCCCTTGTGCTGCCCTCTCTCCTTCTTACTCTTCACTCGAAACCGAGAGGTTTTAGAATAGTAAGATCCCTCCCCTTTCTCTCTTACTTTTCACTTTTGGTTCATCTCCATAGAAAAGTAAGTTAAATCTTCCTCTTTTGACTGTTAACAGTTGTGAACGGTCACACTATTTCTATCATTTTTAACTTTCTATCTAATATATATTTTTCTTTCCCTTCTTCTTGCTTTCGGTTGTTTTCATTCTTAAGTATGCGCGAAAGATTAGTTAGATTTCACTGATTATTAATCATGAAACATTTGATCTGGCGCGAATTGAACTTTTACCTAGCAATCAAGGGATTTTTGAGAATATTTAGTGTCATTAAATGTTATTTTACTCTAAATAAAATGAGATAAATCTTAAGTTCAGTTGAAAGTGAACATTATTTTGCTAAAATTAATAATTTAGATTTATTCCATACTGAAGTTGACAATTTATGAATAGATTTTCGTTTTGTCAAAGATTTGCATTCTGATATAGAGAAAGTTCAATTTTTGCATTAATAATGGTTAACTTGAAACAACATTTAAAGTTAGTTCAGTAATATCAAATTGACAAAAAGATCTTGAGAGTTGATGGTTTAGCGACTTTGGGAAAATATTATTTTTTTTCAACTGTCTAAATGATTTGCTTTTTTTTAATCAACAGGTCATTCATTTAATGATTTGTCAGACTATTTTTGGATGAAGGTGAGATGAGTAAATGTTGAATGGGTTAGAAATGTGATCAGGTTTTTCAGACAAAACCAATAGCATTCTAGAAAAACAAGACATGTTGATCAGATAGTGAGGTGAAAATTTAATTCGCCAGTGATACACCGGCACAAGAAAAAAAAGAAAGAGAAAAGTAAGAAAGCAAATTCTAGAAGAGAAAAAGAACTAACAAAAAAGAGTTGAAAGAATAAATATTCATTTCGAAAAAATGAAGACGAAATGAGATAGAAGATGAAGATTTACATGTAGAATACACTGCAAGAATATTATCTCCTCATTCTTCAATCTTCAATTTTTTATGTAACAAGCTAATTTTTACCGTTGGCAATGGGAATTGCGGAAGAAATAAGTTCTTTTAACTCTTCGGTCGAAACAGTTGGTTTGTTTGCTGATGTTGATGTGCTGGTTTGTTTTGGCTGGTTTGGTGTTCTTTTATACATGATAAATTACTGATTTTTAATGGTTTTATTATCGATATCATCCATGCAACAGAAAGAATTGTGAAGAAATTGTAAAGTCTGAGTGTAGCGTTTATAAAGCGCAATCAACGGTTGATGGTTGTGAGTGAACTGGAGCAATCCATTAATTGGACGCTATATCTTCTGCAAAATATAAATACGAAAATGAAAATTAGAAAAAAAACCAAGTCAGAAGAGCGCGAAATGAAATCTAAAGAAAAAATACAAACCTGATTTTTCGGACTCTTTTCTTCGTCTCTCTTCGTAGACTTTTTCGTCTCTAGGTTTGGCGCCTCCAAAAATGGCGTCTCGGTCTTTAGTCTCTGCTAAATCATTGACTGGGGTAGGTTTGGTACGAGGCAAAAGTTTTAATTTAGGCCGATTGGCAATTTCCTCTTCAGTTGGTTCTTTGAACTCTTCGAAAACTGGTGCTGGTTTACGTTCTCGGTTGTTGAAATTACGATTACCCCCGTATCGGTTTCCAAAATTATTTTTACCACGCTCTTCGAAGCTTCTACCCCTAAATCCACGGTCATTATAATTTCTATCATTATAACCCCCACGCCTATTATTATCAAAACCGCCTCTTCCTTCTTCTCTGTCATTGAAGAAGTTGCCGCGATTTTGTGGTACAAAACCACCGGTGCCTCTACCTCGATTGTTCATGTTCCCCTGCGATCCCCTGTTGCGATCGAAACCTAAGACAAGTAAAATAAATAATTATGTACTTGTAATACTTGAATAGAAAATTACAAGAACGGGATAGAAAATAAATACCTCCTCTCTGATTTCGGTTTTGATCTTTACGTTTATTATCACATGGATGTATACGCAAAACTCGACCACAGTATTCCTGAAAATTTAAAAAAAAATATAAGTATACAAAGAGATGGAAAATTTTTCATTGGTTACTGACCGCACCATCGAGTTCGAGAGATTTTTTTAATGATTCTACATCATGAAATTCAACGAAGCCATAGCCTGTTTGTATGAAAGTATAGTAAAAATTAAAGTTAGATTATATATTTAATGAAATTTAACATGCTATTTACTATACCTTTGAAAATATCAGTTTCTTTGTCACGAACCAGACGAGCAGTGCTAATCTGAGGTTGAAAAAGCATAATTAGAGTTAGAATAAGTTTTAAAATCTTCACAGAAGACTATACCTTTAAACTTTTAAAGATAACGTCAATATCGCCTTGTACAGTATTGGGAGGCAAATTTCCGACATAAATTTGGTATGGTGGTTCAAATCGTGATGGTTGATCAGCATAAGGAGCAACATAGGAATCTGATTCTTGAAATCTTCCGCCAGATCCTCCTCGGTCTCTACCACCCCTGTAAAGTAACAGGAAAAAAAAGTAATGAGTAAAATGTGTGCGATTCAATTTACAAGACAAACAGCATGTCAATGTGCTTAGTGTTTCAGGATGTGTTTAGAGTAAACCCAGAAGAAAGAGATAGAGAGAAAAGGGGAGAGATGATATGGAACAGAGTGGGGAGGGAGATAAAGAGAGGGAGAAGGGGATCTAGAGAATGAAGTGAAAGAGTCAGAGGAAAAGGAAAGCAGAAAGAGAGAATGAGAAAGAAAATAGAAAGAAGGAGAAAGAAAAGATACGCACAGAGAATGAACATAGGTGGTTAGTATGGAATGATAGTAAAAAACAGAATTAAAAGAGACTAACGAAAGAACGTAAACGTAAAATGATGAGAGATACCGAGTAACAATGATTGGGGATGGAAAAAATGAAACAAATTGAAGATGGAATAAAGGAAAAGAAAGCAAGGTTTATGAAGAGAGGGAGGGAGAGACTGTGGGAGAGGGACTAGTATAAGGATTGGCATTTAAACCAGTGGGAAACCTAGTTTTGATTCTTAATGCCCGGTTAAGACAATTATAATAAACTAACTTACCTGGAGAATCCTTCAGAAAAACCGCGAACACCGGAAGTAGCCATAATCAAAATAACAAGTTAAATCGATGTTGTATTCAGTTAACTTAGTATGGTTTTCACTTTTCAATTTCAACCAAATTGTCTTTAGTTCAGAAAGAGTGAGTTTGAGTGTGGTCACGTGGTTACCTTAGGGACTGATCAATAATAAAAATACTTAGGAATAATGATTCATTCAGAGCTTACCTTTAGATATAAGGTAAGAATAAACGAGAACCCGTCAGCTGATTAAGATAATCCGATTTAGTTAGATTGATTAAGATTAGCTTTGTTTAGATAATTCCAAGTCAGTCTAAGATGATTAGTTCAGGATTAAACAGATTTTATTGAACTGCCGTAAATGATGTCAGCTGTTAGCGCTGATGCTTTATCCAAGCTAGCTGAGTCTTTGAAAGGGAAAAGTGAGCTGACGGGATCTCGTTAAGGGAACAGGTTATATGTACACAAATCTGTGTATCTTTAACTATTAAGTTAACCGTACACATAATGATGTTGAATGGAAAGATTCAAATAATAGTTTAATAATTGATTAAAAGTTAATTTTTTGATCAATTTTTATTAAATCCCACTCAAAGAATGCATACATTAATGTACCTTAACGCCAGAGGGATGAGTTTAACGTATTGACTTCATTTAACAATGCCTGCTTAAACAATACACTTAATAAGTTCAATCATTATTTGAAAATTAATTCTTAGCTCAGTGGTTAGAGTGTAGCGAAATCAAAGGTTATGGTCAGGGTTCGATTCTAGTTTTGATAAATTTTTTGTTTCTAGAAACTTGAACGAGTGCAATTTTTTTACCGCAAAATTTGAAACAGATATCTGTTAGAATGATTTGAGATCAGTTTAATCCATTATTAAATTTTCATTTAAATCCTTTCTTCAATTCATCAACATCATTAAAATGCTCAAAAATTCTTGTTCTAACTTCAGATTAAGGCTTTTCGTTTCATTAAACGAAAAATTTAGTTATTATTGGTGGTATCAGATACAGATATCGGATAGTATCTTTGTGTACATATAACCTCAACCCTCGTTAAGTTTTACCCTTTTTAATTTTAATAGAAAGTAATTAAAAAATTGTCACTGATTTTCTCAAAGAATGTCGGAGTTGTCTTAATTGTTGAGACAAATAAATATTATTGAATTAATGATCAATCCATTAGAAAATTGGTTAACGGTCCCCTATGCTCTGTGCTCTGTTTACATTTTTATTTTTTCCGTCAAATGAACTGCTGTTTATTGCTCGTCAAGATTACCTTATAGTTAATTGATTGTTTATTGTTGCCTTTTTATTTCTAGTTGAAAATTAACAACAAATAATGAACACTATCAAAAGTAAATTCAATCCAACTAGTTTATCCTCTCATTGTCTCAAGGTTAGTATATTTTTTACTCGTCTAAATTGTCCAATTCTGTAATATTCATGTTCATCTGATTGATTGTAACATTTATCTTATAATTTATCCCTCTTCACTATATTTCCCTATCTAAATTGAATACTTTTTTACATTTTTTGTTTCCATTTTGTTTCGTTTTATCAAAGTTGACAACCTTGATACAATGCAATTCAATGTTTTCATCTTTTAAACCCTTTTTTAATCTTTTATTTTTAATATCCTTTCACTTAAATTAATTCATTCTTCTTCTGTTCTTTTATTTCTCTCAACAGCGAAATCGATTATTAAGAGCTTCGTCTTATTTGATTAACAAATGTCCTTACTCATCAACGCTATCTTCACCGTTGGACGATCAGTTGTTGGCTTCTCAAAAATTATGTGCTAATCATTTAACATTTCTCACTGGTAAAAGATTATATTCCCAATCTTCAGGTGAAGGTAAAGATGGTCAACTTAGTTGTCCCAAATGCGGCAATCCTTGTACTCAAGTGGAAACCTTTGTTTGTAAGTTTTTGTTTTCTTTTTAAATAATTGCGTCACTAGTTCAATATCAAGATCTGAGAGCTTATTTTCAACAAGTTTAACTGGAAGTAACAAGTAGAGGTCAGTCTTGTGTGCATTTAAATAGAACAGTGCGATCTCTTATTTGTTTTACCATAATGACCTCAATCTTGTTTTTACGTCTCATTAACTCTCACTTTCAAGGATTCAAAATCATTATCGCGATTCCTACAGGCATTCGTTTTTAAAAAATTCTTCTTTTCTCTTTCAGCCTCAACTCGATTTGTAAAATGTGAAAAATGTCATCACTTTTTCGTGGTTCTATCAGATGTGGATTCGAAAAAAACTATTCAAGAGGCGCGTTCTCCTAAAAGCAATTCAGAAAACAATAATTCAGCAAGAAGACCTCCTCCACCTCCTCCTAAGAAGGTTAATTGACTCACTAAATTTATTTAACTCTGATAATTTTCTAATATTTTTTTTATTCTAATTTTAGATCTATGAATATTTAAACAGGCATGTGATCGGACAGGAACAAGCTAAGAAAGTGTTGTCAGTAGCTGTCTACAATCACTATAAAAGAATATATAATAACATCCCTTTGAGTTCAAACAATCGTCAAAAAACAGGAGCACCAGAAGGAACAATTATAGAGACTCATTCCAATGGTTTGTGTTCTATATTTCTTCATGCTTATAGTCAAGAAAATTAATATTCTTATAATAATTTATGATATTTTACACCAGAAGAACTTGATTTATTCATGCTATTCTTTTTTCAGATTTATTGAATATTTCTGGATTAGGACATAGCAGTAACGCGCTTGGAGTTAGCAATTTCGCCCATCATTCAACTTTCCCTGCTGGCGAATCCAATGCGGAAGGATTCAACACTGACTCCAGGTCATCTAATCGTGGATCTGATATACTTGATTCTAAAACTCATGAACTAAAATTAGAGAAGTCCAACATTCTCTTGCTTGGACCTACAGGAAGTGGTAAAACTCTTTTAGCGCAAACAATAGCAAAATGTTTAGAAGTTCCCTTCGCCATTTGTGATTGTACTACTCTAACTCAAGCTGGATATGTTGGAGAAGATATTGAATCAGTTATAGCTAAACTTCTTCAAGACGCAAATTTTAACGTTGAACGTGCTCAACAGGGTATCGTTTTTTTAGATGAGGTTGATAAAATTGGCGCTGTTCCCGGTATTCATCAGCTTAGAGACGTTGGTGGAGAAGGTGTTCAACAAGGAATGCTTAAAATGTTAGAAGGAACATTAGTCACCTTTCCTGAACGAAATGCTCGTAAACTTCGAGGTGATGGTATTACTGTGGATACGACTAACATATTATTCGTTGCCTCTGGAGCTTTCAATGGATTAGATAGAGTAGTTAGTCGTCGTAAAAATCAGAAATACCTTGGTTTTGGTGCAACTGTTAACGAATCGTTAGGCCGTCGAGCTGTTTCAGCGGCTGATGTTGCTAACAATTATGCTTCTAACTCTACTGCAGAAGATTTAGCTGAAAAGGATAATCTGCTTCGATGTGTTGAAGCTCGTGATTTGATAGAGTTTGGTATGATTCCCGAGTTTGTTGGTCGTTTTCCAGTTGTTGTTCCGTTTCATAGTTTGACAGATGCCATGTTGGTTGATATATTGACAAAGCCACAAAATGCTCTTGTGCCTCAATATCAGATGCTTTTCTCAATGGACAAAGTAGAGCTGACATTTCATGAGAATGCCTTGAAAAAGATAGCTAAATTTGCAATGGAGAGGAAAACAGGAGCCCGTGGATTAAGAGCAATTATGGTTTGTTAATTCTCTCAATTCCTATTCAGCTATTATTAGTATAATATTATTATATTATTAATATAACTTGCTTATAATCAGAATCTTTAAGCTAATGTTCTGTTTATTTTTTTCATCAGGAAAATCTTTTACTCGACGCTATGTTTGAGATTCCAGGATCCAATATTTCAGCGGTTTATATTGATGAAGACGTCGTGGTGGGCAACAGTAAACCAAAATATATGTACTCGACTAGTACAGAACAAAGTGAAAACGAATCTTTTGATGAGAGAAATTATGACGAAAGATATAAATATCAATCATGTAAATAAGTTAATTACTTTTGTTTTTTTTGTGTAAAAAATTTTATTCACTTAAACTTGTTTAACAAATAAAAGCCTATCAGATGCGTATAACATTTTTCTCAATCCGCTAATATTTACGGTAAACGCGACTTGTAGTACATAATAATTGTGTATCATAATTTGCAAACAACCCTCTGATTGACAGTGAGATCGATCAAGTACGTAATTCCCCAGTCATATTATTACGATTAATTATTTCAATCTCTTGACCACTACCCATTTGCAGAAAATCATCTATAGTTGACCTACTGAACTACTGTAATTGCAATCCAAAACAATTTGACTCAAATCTGGTTCAGTTAACTTAACGAAAGTAATGAAAAAAAATAATCCGCCAATATAATCGCAAATTATTTGAATTATCTGTTTTACAATTAGCTGAAATTCATGGACCATGTAAATCAGTTCAAAATCTTCATCTGGTAAATTGATAAATCCATATATTATAACATCTCCCGTTTCATCGTAATTTGCCATAATTTATATAATTAAATTTTAAATCCAACGAATAATCTCTTGTCCAAATGAAAGATACCTTGGACATTGCCCTTAGCATTCTTGAAAAGCTAGGCATATTTCAATCAAACTTTCATGTGAAAAATTATTAACGAAAACCTGCTTTCCTCAAACTTACTGTCAGGAGCGAGAGACAGACTTGTCCAGTTTCTTTGATATTTACAATATTACAAGATTTACACTGTAAATTTTACAGTTAAAATGTACATCAACATTTTCTTGAGTTATGCTGTCAACTTGGCTGATTATTTAAATTGACAGCGGGAAAAAGTTGTCAAGTCAAATTGCGGTTGGTATGATGAATAAAAGAGATTGATATTTTAATTTATTTATTCTACACCTTTAAAGCATGAGAAATATCCAGAATCATTATCAATTTCAAGTTTCACAACTCAAGTATGCAGAAGAAAAAACAGTTTTTTGCTCCGTTAATATTAGGATACTAATAAACGAGGGACTAAGGAGTAAATGCTAATGATTCGTCGATGGAAACAAACCAAGAGTTGATATGGTTGTGTTTGATGCGTGGTGTGCTTGTGTTTGTGAGCTGGAGTTATTAAGGAGATAACAATGAATGTTTAGATGCTACACATTGAGTTGTTAAAGTGCCCCGATATAATACATTATGAGGATAAATCATCCCAGTTCAAAAGAGAAAGAAGGAAGATAAAGAAAAAAAGCAAGATAATACAAAAAAAGATTCATCGGAAGAGATAAACTTTTTGGGTAAAGATACAATCAATCGGCAAAGATGGAAATGGGTCAAAAAACTGAGATACAAGGGAATCCAAATTCGGACAAAAAAGAGGACATCACACAAAAGATGAAGTGACGACTGAAGGGAAGGAGGAGAGTAAAAGAAGAAAGGATATTAGTTTTGTTTTGTTTTAAAGAATATCAATGGATTTTAAATATTTATGTATATATATGTATAGATCATAATAGAAAAAACATTCGTTAAAAAAAGCCATTTAAACCTCCAGAAGGTGGTCCATTACGGGCATTTCTATGATGATAATGATTAGTAGGAGAGGAAAGTGAAATGGGTGCTGCGTTGATGGACGCAACTGATGCTGATGTTGATGCTGTTGCTGCCGCTGCCGCTGCCGTTGCCGCTGAGGATGTTGACGATGCTGATGCAGATGGTGCAGACCAAGATGACTTTGATGGTCCACTTCTTGGTATTTGAGGATGGTGAGAGTGAGATGAGGTGAAAGAAGAGAGAGGTGGTGGATGAGGTCCATTTAACCCGGATGTGATAGGACTTTCACAGTCCATGGCGGATGAGCAAGTTATTTGTCTTGTGGCAACACCACTGGCGATCAAAGGTCCACTTGAAGAGTTAATATTATTGGCAGCATTATTGGAAGCTGTAGATGATGTCAAGTGACCATAAGAGCCACCAGGTTCGGTGTAACTATTCTGATAGTGCTGGGCATTCACAATCTGCCTATTACTACTACTACTACTACTACTATTAATATTATTATTACTACTACTATTTATATTACTAAGGTTACTACTGCTATTACTACTATTACCCTGATTTTGATTAGAATGTAAATGTTGGTTGTGATGAGTATGAGTGTTGAGGTGTGATGAAGATGGTGGTTGATGGCCCTGATGAAGATGTTGTGGTTGTTGAGTTGAAACATTCCCTGATGTTGGTGTTTGATGAGACGAAGGTAAAGATGATTGCGAAGCGAGTCCCTGAAGGTGTGGATGAGGATGAGGATGACGTTTTTTACTCTCGTTTGCATGATTATGATAAATCAAAGGTTCATTTATACATGGTTGTTGGCCAGATAAACAAGAACTGGCTTGAGTAGAAACATTTAACAATGATTGATCGGCTAGAGGACTTATACTGTGACAGGTTGTATTGGTGCTTCCATCATTGGTTCGACGAAAAAAACTATGTTGGAGAGCATGATGTGGTGTTATACGAGTCTTAGGATTGTAATCCAACATCCTTAATATGAGATCTTTGAATTTTAGGTAATCAGAAACAGAATGACCCGGTTCACCTAAACGTCTGCCACCAGGACCACCAGTTTCTACTCCTAGGATGTCATGAAGTTTTCTTGATCCAGAAGGCATGTATTTTTTACCTCCCGGATGTTTACCCTCTCGTGTTTCTTTGAGTACATACTCCCCATCTGGAGTTTTGTCAAAAAATTTGGTTGATTTAGGTGTTTGGTCGAGAAGATGTTTCGGAGGTATGCCAAGTACCTCCACGATTTTATTTATCTGGTCAAATTCGTTTGCTCCACTGAATAGAGGTTCACCGGTATGCATTTCAATTAATATACAACCAAGCGACCACATGTCTATTGCCATGTCGTATCCAATACCAAGTAGAACTTCGGGAGAACGGTAAAATCGGCTTTGAATATATTGATAAATTCTGTTGCCGAGTTGACAGGAGCTTCCGAAATCAACTATTTTGATGGCACTTCGCTTGGGGCTACAGAGAAGAATATTCTCCGGTTTTAGATCACAATGAATGACTGATATTTCAGGATGGGTGAGGAACATCAGAGCTGTACAGATTTGCTGAGCAAATTTACGGGTTAAATTTAGGGATACACCACGGAAATTTGTGTTCCGAAGAAGATCGTACAAATTGTATGATAACAATTCAAAGACTAGGCAAAGATGGTTACGCCACATAAAGTGACCTTTCAACTGAACAATCTTCTCTTTACCGGCAGAATAGATTGACCCACTTGTATCAAAGTTATTCATCATCTCCAACAGTTTAACCTCAATTTGTGCCTGATTGAGAAACGGTTTCTTATTTTTAATAATTTTAATGGCAACATGGCATTGTTCTTTGATATCATAGGCTTTGACTACTTGTCCAAATGATCCTTTGTTAATTAATGAATCAATTTCATACCGATCGGAAAACCTTTCTCCAGGTCGAACAATATAATCATGGTTCTCATCATCATGACCATCATTGTGTAATTTTCTTTCCTTTTTATGACTTGCATTATCATCTTCGCCTTGGGTTTGTTGAGCACGTCGTTTCTTTTTCGCATAATACACTTCGTTTATCCTTTTATATGTTTTAATCAAATCCACACTTAATTTACGTAACGGAGCTGAAGCTGGATCACGGAATTTGAAATTTAACAGTTTAGATGAGTGATTGGAAAGTGATGAAACAATATCGTTACAATTTAAAGAGCCACTACCAGACTGTCCAGAGCTGGCTGAAGTTGCAGCAGCAAGGGCAACCAATTGATCCTGAGTAACAAGTCTACCATACATGCCGGTGACTGTTAATAGTTGATTATGATTCCTTGGTTATGTCTATCAACCAACTGAACATTTGAAAACCTTAAAAATATGGTAATTCATCTAAAAGAAAAAAAAGTAAATTACAGATGAAAACCAAAACATACACAACACTGCTCAGTTAAAAGACAGACAGAAAGAAAGAAAGGCAAAAATTTTTGTTATTGATGAAAAATTTAAAGACAGTGACACCTAGGTGACAAAAAAATAACTGGAAGTGGATGAGTTTTAATTTAAAAAATCATCAAAACAATCATGAAATAATTTTCAGATTTTTTCTCACCAATCAACAATTATCAAGATGAAATGCTTACAAATAAACCCATTAAAAACTTGAACTCATTAGATGGATTTGGATTTTTTAACGAAACCATTTTGAATTCAGGAAACACTCAGATTAATTGTTAGTCATCTGCTCATTACATATGAATTTATTGACATTTGTAATCTAAAGATAAGATGATTTGTTGAATTTCTATGGCAATTTGAGAAAAAAATGTAAACAAAAGACAGAAACTATCTAGTTTGATGATAAAAGCTCTATTAATTAATCATATGAACTATAGGTTATTAGTAGAAGTAGATTGATGACTAATTTGTTAGTTTTAATAGGAATGATTCCGATTGTAAACAGCTTGAAAATATGTTGATGGTTTCCAGAAATGAAAAGAAATAGGAAAGAGGATATCATTGTCGGTCTGATAAAGCCAAAAAGAGATGGGGGTGAAAGAGATAGAGAGAAAGAGATAGAAAGAGAAAGAGAGAGGAAAAACAAACAAAAAATAAATACAAGATAGAATGGGAATGAAAATAAGAAAGAAACAGGACGATGAACATCAAAAGTAAACAGGGATGAATGGCTGGAAAATATAGCAAAATATTGGTTAAAATTAAAACAATGCAGATTAATAACAGAAATAATAAATGAAGCTAATCTATTGATGAAGAAAAAATTGAAACAAAAGCGAAATGAAAGGAAGAAATAAAGAGCAAGGTTTATTTAATAAGATGAAGGAAGGATAGAGGCAAAGGGAGAAGAAATATATCAAGGATTGGTATTTAAAACGCTTGGAAACTCAATTTCAATCTCTACTGTCTGGTTAAGACAATTATGGTAAATTAACTTACCTAAAGAATCCACAAAGAAGGTCATAAACACCGAAACAAAAACGATAAACATAATAACAAGATGAAATAAATACCGAAAACCAGTCGATTCAGTTATAAGTCGCTGATTGTTCGGCTCATGGTTGGTAGTCGACCTCAAATCAACTCAAGGATTGGCCAGTTTGATTAAATCGTACATTTTAAATCTGATTGAATGATTCTATTGTATGATGATTGGGATGAAATTTAGGAGTTAAATTATCAATTTAAAAAAATAATTACCCTTGCCATCAAAATTGAATCATTATTCACCAAAATCGGCTGAGCCGTTGATTCAGTTTACTTTCGACTGATAGTCAGACGCGGCTTTTTCTTGCTTTAATAATGCGCTTTGAGTATAATTAATCAGTAGGGATATGCTTAAATTGAATTTATCAAGGTAATTTTGAGAATTGCAAGGCTAGTCTTTTTTAATTTAGATACACAAATTGTCGTAAATATGATCATATGGTTTATTTAGGGACGGATCAATAATAAACAGAATTTGAAAACGAATTACTTTTCTCAGAATTTCTATAGAATGTAAAGAATGAAATTTACTTGGAATCGTAGCTCATCTGTTCATTTTGTTAAGCTCTCCAGTTAAATTGTTTTTCATAATCAATTGACTTTATCTCTGGATAAACTGCTCTTTGTATTGATTGTGTTCATCACTGAAATAAATGAATATAAAAATAATGGAAATGGGTATTGGAAAAACTCGTTACCTTTCATTAATTTGTTGTTGATACGTTTTCTGTGGTTGATGAACAACAGATTGCAAGCTTTTGGCGAACTTAAGTAAAGTAATTCATCCTTCTTCAATTTGATAAATTGTATCTACTAAATACGATAATAAGATCTTATACTGCATTGCTCATCAATCTGGCAGTCCATGAATGAAAAGCGGGAAAACTTTTCTAGTGGAATAAATCTGACCTAAAGCTCATCATGAGTAAGGTTTTTACAATTATCAGTATTTTATCAGTTTTAGTTTGACTGAAATTATTTTATAATTTTTTAATTTCTAGTTTTGATTTCAATTTTTTTGTCGATGGCTTCGTTAACCAACAACCAACTATGAGACTTATAAGACTCTATTTAAATAGTGATGCTCAAAGTTGATTTAAGAAGCTATTATGTTTCCATTCTGTACCTTATCTATTTGCTCGGCAATTAATAGCTCAACTGTATTATAATAAACTAATAAAAGTTGGATAATTAAATAATGACAGATGAAAGAAATGAAGAGAAAATTGTAACGGGTTAAAACTCGAGGAATTTGTCTCTTTTTGTTAATTGAGTTAGAACGTGAGTAAAATTACAAGTCATAACGAACGAAAATTAAGTTGATTGTATTAATTACTTTTTATTCAAACCACCTTTTGTTCAAATTTGTTGATTGATTTGCATTAATTTTTTTACTGATACAGTTACATTTAAAGAGGTTTTATTAGCTTTTTTAAAGACTTATTTACATAGATCTCTTACGATGGTAATAAGACTTTTTTCCTCTTTTAAGCAATAATCTTGTTTCATATTTCAATTCTCAGTTTTTAAAGTACTAATTACAAAATTTGTCGAAATCTTTTACAAATTTATAAATCACACTAATTCACTCAGAGAAAATTTTTGTTAAACGACTAATCAGTTCGTTTTGTCTAACCAAAATTAAGTCTGTCGAAGCTTCACATAACAATTTACATTTTCCATCAAACATTTCCTTGTTCCAGGAACTAATAAGTAATCTAATTTAGCCTACGAGCTTTTCTCTTAGTAATGATCACCATCACCATTGTAGTTATAGTAAATGATACAGGGAGCAACAATATTGCTTCGAGTACAAAATATAAATACAGTAATAGCACAAGTTTGCCGTGAAATAGTTAAGTCCTGGTAATTACAAAAAATGACAGTAGAATCTCACTAAGATAGACGGCAGCGAAGAGAGAAAACAAATCACAAAGTATAACGAAACTGGTACAAATGATGATGAAAAAGAATAGCAACGTCTCCTTTGGATTAACAAGTTGATTATCGTTAACTAAGTACTTTTAATTGGATTCTGATTTAAGGAACGCTTTAAAAGATTCGTATGCTAACCAGGATAACGCAGTAGATGGAATTGAATAAATAACACGAGCTTGTAAGCCATTAAAATAACCTTTGATACCGCAGCACTGATATATTGTTCCGATGGCATGAAAGAAACCATTTATACGAGCTTGTTTGGAGACTTTTAATGTTCTCGGGTCTTGTGTGTTGAGAAGAGTTTTGCACACATCCAGTGGTGTTGTTATTGCACTAGCAACGGCACCTCCAATGGCTCCACTTGCCATATGAGTAGTCGGATTATATTGTCTATTTGGATTCAATAATTCTTGAGAATATTCATAAGCCACAAGGTGAACACAGTGAAAAGGTATGTTCATGGAAAGCTGAGTAGTGTAACTCCGATAAAATGCTTTTATTCCTTCATTCTTACAGATCGATATAAAACACGGGAATGCTCGACTATGTTGACTATTGTATATTTGAAGCCTCTGTTTGATTGTTTCTGCCGGATTCATCCATGCATCATGAAAGATTGTTGCTAAGCATCCAGCGGCAACTGGAATTGAGAGATAGAGAAAAACAGATTAAATGAAAGAAATAATATAACTGTGTACGCTGAAAAAATAGTCAGATGTAAATTATCAGATTGGTTCTGCTGGTAAATGTCAATGGAAGAGTGAAATAAATCACGTAAAACTTTTATTATAGAGTTTACCTTGATCGATAGCTTATTTTTATCATGAAATAAGCAAATCTTGTGAAAGATGAATAAATTTGTAAAATAAAAAACACGGAAAAGATAAAGCAACGATCTCACTAAACGATGAACATATGATATTTACTTTTGGACCTGAAGAATAAATCCTTGAAAAGGAAGGCGATTCCAAGGATTAGAACCAATTGAATACACAAGATAGAAGAAAAAGATTGACAAAATCAAATTACTTTGAGCTACGGGACTTTGTCCTCCAGTTTCTGTACCACTAATAGATCTTTTTACTTTTTCGTAAATTGAAAAATAAAATGCATGAGCTGGTCCAGCTCCAATGAGCGTCACGGAAACTCCTCGAAATGGCCGTTTTATACCCTCATGTCGGACAATTTTATATAAAGCTTCAGGCACTGATTTATAAGTTGCTTTAGGACTTGGATAAAGACTTTGCATCCGAGTCTAGAATGAAAAAGAGACAGAGATCAGTTTACATCATGATATATGGAGGTCAAGAGTAGGAAAAGAATAGTAAACATGACGAAGTGAAAGTTATCAGCTTACCTTGACTGAATCAACTGGAAACATGACACAATGTTCAACTATACCAGCAAGAGCACCAGCGGCCATGTGAATATGGAAACTGTAATGACTAGGAAGAGATTCATACACATTCTCTTCATCATTAAAAATTGGTAAATTAGAGGATTCTAAATTCATCTTAGGATGACCCAATCGATTGTCATAAGCGAGTATAGCAAAGTAACAAGCAACAAACGACCAGGTCGATTAATATTAAACCAAAAAGAATAAATAAAACAAACAAATTGAAAAATAATGATTCTATTTTCACCGCAAACATATGATAAATGCATGGTTTGTTTCTGGTGACATCTGTTAACTATACTGTTACATAATAACCCGCTTTCAGATTCAAACAACCTTATTCAACATTTTATTCAATTAAAGTAATAATTCATTCTGTTCAGTAAGACTTTTTAGATATTTATTCATTGATAACACATTAAATTCAGCAATTTAATAATGTGTAATTACAATTTTAACATCAACTCAATTCATACTTATCAAAACTATAGTCCGGCAGATGAAATCCACAAAATCTATTCTAATGTACAATTTTAATTCAAAAATCAAAAACTCTATACTATTGATATTTATTTATTAATTTCTTTGGAAGTAGACATTAAAGCTCAACAAATACAACTGCGAATTGATTAAATTAAGATATTCAAAGTGTTATGATAGATGTTTATGTGATAAATCTATTCATTGGCCAACGTTAAATTGATACAACATTTCGTTAATATGTTTCTTCTTTATCTAACTCAACCTCTTTAATAAATTTTAAAGAATAATTTATCGGAATCGGGTTTATATAAATGAACTTGACTTATTGTAATTAAGTTGTCATAAAAAAATTCAAAATGACTACAAAAAGCCGGCAGGTAAATATTCATTTCAAAATAACCGCGGTTATTGGCTATTTCTTCCAATCCAAACAAATGTAAATCCTGGTTCAGGTTGCTGTGTTTACCTTTAGTGTTTACCTGTTTTGTTATTTATTTTATCTAATTTACTCATTGTTAACGACATTATCAATTTAATCAACAATGCCACGTGAGGGAGTTTCTGGTGATTCAGGACCAACTTTTGTTGGTATAAGATTTTGTCAAGAATGTAACAACATGTTGTACCCAAAAGAGGACCGTGAAAACAAAGTGCTTCTGTATGCTTGTAGAAATTGTGATTACAAACAGATTGCCGAGAACAATTGTGTTTATGTGAACAAAATTACTCATGACATTGATGAACTATCTCGTATTGTACCCGAAGTCGTACATGACCCCACTTTACCCCGTACCAAAGATCACCCATGCCCTAAATGCCACCACAAGGAAGCTGTCTTTTTCCAGGGTCAATCCAGAAGAGCTGAAGACGACATGAAACTCTATTATGTTTGCACGGATTCCAAATGTGCTCACAAGTGGACTGAGTGAAATTACTTTTGTCAATGCATATTTTTTTTATTCTGAACAATCATCATCATTGGTAACAGATGAAATAATGACCAATCAGTCTTATGTAAAAAAATTTCTAACCAAAAATATAATACATGTGAAATAAACATGTTATTACAAAATTAATGAGAATTCAATTTTTTTGCGTTCCCATTTAATCAATTGAAAAAGGTATAAGGCGTCTAGTTAAATTGGTTAAGTAAATTTTGATCAAGAATCACGGCGCCAAGTATAATAAAGTAGACTTTTATCGGTCAAAGCAATGTAAGCTGGTGTAGAAGAGTTAACTGGATTGACTTGAGCAATATCAAATACTGAACCGATTCCACCAACTTTTTGAATGCATTCTCCAACCTCGGTATCCCACGCAATGAATCCTCCAATATCTTGATCACCAGCAATAACAAGACAACGGTCTTGCTTTGTAGGGTGGTTAAAAATTCGTGCCTTTAAAGATTGGTCTGCTCTAGCACCACCATTTAACGTCAAAACTGGTTTAATGTCGATTAAAGCTTCTTCCAAGATATTAGAGTTGAGGCTTAAATTAAATATCTATATAGATAATAAAATTTAAAAGATTCGATTAGTTTTATAGTCAGTTCATAAGTTAGGGAATGAATTACTTACAGTATGATTAACAAAATTTTGTTTAGGTTTGGCAGGTCGGTTACTAACTAAAAAATTGGCTGTTTTACGCTCATAATGAGAAGACATGAAAACACCCTGGATGGGAAATAATTGCGATTCATAGTTTCCATTCCTTATGAAATGAAACTCGCTTCCTTTTAAGCGCGTCGAGCTGATGCCAGAGAACATGTCATTATAGATATATTTTAAAGAAATGCAAGGCGTTCTATCAGAAACAGGAATTTGAGCAATGGTTCTACCAACAACCCGCATATCGAACTCGAAAACTTTTCCACTCTTCAAACCAACATAAAAATACTGAGGTTTCTTATCATTCCAACAACAGCTCCAGGCAGCATCTTCAAAGGGAAAAGTCATCACCGGTGATGAGCTGAAAATATTAGTTATTTTAACGGTTTTATCGTGTGATGCCGTTAAAACCATAGCGTCATAAGGATGAAAAGCAACATCTCGAATTACATCTTGATGGAGAGGAATAAATTCGTTTTGATGAAGATCAGCTGAACCAATGTTTCGCAGACCATAAGGAGGAAATAGTAGTGACTCTTTTTTTTGTGGAATCATGATCACACCCAACATATCGGAAACAGTGAGAACTCTTGTATCACATCTATTATCAAAATCTAATCGTTTGCTCAGTACAAGGGGCTGAGATTTGGATCGAACGATAATATTTTGCATAGAAGCAGCTGCGATCCGTTCCGTTTCTGATGACAATAGTCTTTCGTATTCCCTTTTTTCTTCTTCATACAGTTGTTTAGTTGCTTCAAAATCATCTTTCAAATTACGAAGCTCCTGGTTAACTCTCTCCACTTGTTTCTCTTCCGCTATGCGTTCCATTCGTGCTTTCTCAGTTTCATGTTTATATTTGGTAACTAATGTTGGATCAGCCCGCAAAACTGAATATGGGGCAATAAATCTGAGATCACTAGATTTGGCTTTGGCTTTACACGTTGGACATTTTGTACCACCATCAGTTTTGCCTTCAGTAAACCATCGGGTGATACATTGATCACCAAATAGATGACCGCATTTCAAAATTACAGCTTTATGAGATTGAGTAGTGTATGGGTCAAGGCATACAGAACAAACGCTATCTTCCAGAATGGACTCTTTCAAATTTTCCCAATATTCTTTCAGAGGTTCCAAATCAGTTTGAACTGCTCTTGAAACAGTTTTGTCACGATCAAATCTATAAATGCGATTACAGTTTGAGCAAGCATAAGTTTGAGTTGTATTGTGAGGATCATATGTTTTGTATAGCAGGCAGTTACATATTTGGCAGAAACCATCTGAAGAAAAGGCTGGACTAGAATCACTAGAAATATCATCAGGAGACATCACTGCCTCAAGATTTTAAAAATGATACAAGATAAGAAACGAATGTTGATAAACTGGTCAAAAGATGAAAAACTTAAAAAAATATAATGGTGTTGGTTACAAAGCATTTGAATAGTTCTTGATAAAACATTAAGTTAAAAACAAACAGTAAATAAGATATATGTAACTTCAGCTGTTAAGTTTATTCAACCAATAAGATTTAGTTATGCATTCACGTGGAAAACTTATTTTCAAAATTATTACAAACATCTATTTAAGAGCTTAATTACGTTATAAATACACATTTGATTCGGGATATTAATTATTTTCTCATGGATCAACACAACTGTATCTAAATAAATACTGACCCTGAGCAGATAGAAGGTAAAGATACAGATAGGATCCCTGTAATCCTCTAACTCAGATTTTAAACTTTTAAAAATGTATATTGATATTCAATCTTAATTACATTCTAAATCTTAAGTTGTTTAGATTTTTGAAGCAATAACTTTATTCTGAGACTAAAGCTTGATGCTAAAGAATAGCATAGAGTATCGTTTTTCTAAGCTCATAAGAGTATAGCTTCGCGAACCCAGAAAAGTTTAACTCAAAGTGAATCAAATATCATGAGCAACGAGTTAACGAAAATTAAAATCCATTTAATTAGTAAGAAATTTAAATTTGACAATAAACTCTATTCATTTAATAATAATAGACCAGAAAATCATATTTTTAGTGTGTAACAACGATGTAAGACAGTTAATAAAAGGCCGATATCCGAAACTTGATCCGAATTGATTGCATTGATTGATTCATTCCTTATCCAAAGCTTCTTTAATACAATCCTAGAAAAAATGAAATTGAAAGAAAAGATGAAAATTAATGAAGTGAAAACATATTACAACCACAATCAAATTAAATGAGCAATAACACACCTGAAAAGTTTTCTTGGCGTCTGAAGCAGGGGAGTTGGATTTGAAACATGATCGAGCCTAGAAAGTAGAGTCAATATTAAATGTTTAGCATTAAACCAATGAGTAAAACAAAACGATTGAAATGGAGTAAAACTAGTCAAAAACTTACCTCATTAAATTTAGGTTCATGTGACTTAATATCAGAGCAAACCTTTTCCACATCACTTGGAGTCTCCAGCGGGATCATCGATCGACATTTTTCCATAGCTTTAACTTGATCCGGTGGAAGGGATTTAGCCTAAGCCGAAAGACAACAAAAAGACTTTATCAATCCATGGATCTTAAAGAATCATATCTCAACAAGAAGATATACCGAGCAATCGTCCAGAATCTTCTTGCGACCAAAAAAAGTTCCATCATCAATTGATTCTTTTAAATCCTTGCATAAATTTTCTAATGTATGCGTGTGTGGTGGACCATCAGGATCAGCAAGGGTTGAAGATAAACAAAGCATAAAAAAACAAAAAGATAGGGTAAAAGTATCCATTGGCGCTATCTTCAAACAGGTACAGCAATCGTTGAATTTTGTGTTTCAAATTTATTGATATGAATAAGGAGTCCGTTTGAAATTGATTTTTATACAGTTTTTAAACGGACTGCTGTTTAAACAAAAATTAAAATAAGATTATTAAAGATAATTCAAACTCCACAGATGATAATTATTAATAAATAGCCATTTCAAGTTACAATTACTAGGAAAGCTTTTACATTTAAGTCTGTAGTTATTTTGGTGAAAGTGACAATTTAAACTTATAATTTTAAGCATTTCTGTATTCATTTCTTTTTGTATTTCCATTCAATATTTAATCTGTATTAATATTTATTCTGTATTTAATACAACTTTACCTGACTTCAACGAAATGAAAATTACCAAAGACATAATTAAATAGCAGCTAAATCAATAAAATTGCAATCGTAGACTCAATGCATCAGACCTGTCCTTTTTAATGTAAAATTAATATATAATTATCAGTATTGAGAGTAGACGTTTCCCTGATTGTCAATTCGGTCACCATATTCAATTGAAAGCATTTCACTTTTGATATATTTGATTGTTACTTCTAACTCATGCTTAATCGAACAATGATTAAAATGGAAATTTCAACTTTTTCAATTGATTAGCGATAATGACGTTTCCTTTGATAATCAATTGTATAATTGACAGGAAAACACACGACGATTATCGTAAGATGATTCCAATTAAGCTGCTAATCAAACAATAGAGACTTGATTAGACTGGTTTGATTAAGAAATATATATCTCAAGTGGCTTTTGTTGAATATAATCATTTATATCATTTTCAATGATAATTGGATACTGGATGCAATCACAATTGAAACTAAAAAATGAAAATGAAATTATGAAAGATTAGAAAGTGAATTATGTCAAATGATTCAGAGACAATTTAATTTTTTTTTTAAATTGTTGCCTTGCAGGTTTGCAGTCTGAACTGGCGAGTTGTCAAGGCAAATAACATATGTATTGATGATGTTTTGATTTGCTGATTTAATATTGATAATTAAGGTAGGATATCCCAAGGATAAGAGTAAGCAAAAATTACGATAGATTGATGATAATCACAGTGTTACCATGAACCATGTTCAAGGATAACAACCTTATTTAGCCGGGAATAGAGTTGAAACAATCAGGTTGTTTAAGCCAATCAACTGTGTTATAAATGATAATCAACAACATCATTTGATATAAACAGTAACTGTTGTTGTTAAATGTTAATTAAAAATCTAACTGGAAACTTGTTTACTGTGACAGATTAATGTTGTCGAGTTACAGCTTAAGGTAAAAGATTTAAGATTATGTCTTGAATTTTCTGGTTATTTCTAGACTTTATCCTTTATTAGCTGAAATTTGGGTTATTGAATAAATTGTTGATTAAAAGGGATAAAGTTTAATGGTTAATCGAGATAATTGTTGAGGTGAGAAATGAAGAAATGTGTATTTAAGTTGTTTACAGTATTATCTTCACGTGAACAGTAATACAGATTGCTCGTGATTCCTCTATTTTAATATGTGATGTCCTATTGAATTACCTTTACATCGATCAACTGGAAATCTGTTTAATTAATTAACAGTTCAATGTTTAATCACTGGTTTGAACTAAAATTTTCCGTTGACAAGCCATAAGGTTTGTTAGTGATTAGACAAATAGACGGATTGAATTAGACTCTAGATTTACATTTACATTTCGTTACCAAAGCTAAACATGTTTCAAGATCATGATCATGAATTGGGCTTTTTTACCTTCAAGAATTGTTAACTGACGGAAAAGATGAATCCAGTGAGATGGTGATGGAAAAAAGAGTTGTTCAGTTGAAAAGTGATTGAAAATTCCAAGTGGAGTTTAATTGGAAAAAAAACATTATTTAAAAGAGTAATTGATTGAACACTTACGGCCATTATAATACAAATTAGAGGAGAGCAGCAACAATAATGGTAATAAGCATCTAATTGATTATGAAATGGTTTAATTTGCTCTCCGATCATCGATCATCACTTGAAAACATGAAAGTAAAAAGGTAATCCCTGAAAAAGATTGAGCGTGATGATAATAAGCTCGAAGGTCGTTTTGATGACGATTACGATGATTTGCAGGAGGGCGGAATCAGGCAAGTGTTGAGGTTATTATGGTTGAGTGAGCAATCGTACACCAATAATAATGTTAATTGTAAAAGTCTGGAAGATGTTGGAAAATACCTTGTTGCTCAAAAGATGATGGAATTGATAGTTGAAATTGAATTAACCAATCAGAGAGATGCTGTGTGATGTAACTTATTACAGGAAATATCAGAATTTACCTTTGATACTGTGACATCACAAAATTGAATGATTAGTTAATTGTAAACAACTCTGCGTTGTTTTGGTTAGAGAGATTGCGTGAGTAAAAAACTCTCGGCTAATAAAGACGAGTCGAAGAAGAGTTTAGATGTTAGTTTAAAGGTAAACACCAATCTAACCTGAGCTAATCAACACACATTTACAAATCAATCTTAACCAACAATTTAATCTTTCCTTTTCATTCTAAATCAGTGATCTAGTTAAAAATGCTTTTCAATGCTATGGAACTGGTCCATGAAAATAGCATCTCAGCTATTTCATTGCTTCAAAATAGGTAAGTGTTGATTGTTTTGTCTTTAGCCTTTTGCCATTTAGTCATCTTGAATGGTTTGTTTATTTTTTTGAACTCATTGCTCACTTATGCTTAATCCTTGTCTCTTTTGTTTTCACAGGTTTGATCAATCTTCCAACTTGATGTTTCTCATTTCAACCTTGTTTGATCCTCGTTATGCTTTCCTATTTTACGCACCGCTTCTCTATTCAATTGATCGTTACACTGGACGTAAGTTGATGTGGGTTGCAGCTATATCTGAATGGTCTAACCAGATTTTGAAGTGGATATTACACGGTGAAAGACCATACTGGTGGATCCATGAAACCTCCGTGTATAATAAAACTAGTTTACCCGATGTTCAACAATTTTTCATCACATGTGAAACTGGACCAGGCAGTCCTTCTGGCCATGCAATGGTTACAGCCTCTGTTTGGTACATTCTCATTGAATCTTTCCTCCGCAAACGATCCGTTGACGCTAGTAAAAATAGCTTAGCCAATCGACTCGCTTGGTCTTTTTATACAATCATTTTGGCTGTGGTTTCACTTTCACGGGTTTACATTGCAGCTCATTTTCCTCACCAATGTTTCCTTGGAGGTATCATTGGTGTAGCTGTGGCCATGATTATCAGTAATTTAGATACTGATTCACTTTCTCGTCGAGGTTACGTCCTGGGTGGTGTTGGTTTGTTTGCTTCTGCTATCATGACATATGTTTCTCTTCGAGCTATTGGTGTTGATCCAATGTGGTCGGTTGATAGAGCACTCAAATGGTGTGTCAAACGTGAATACGTCCATCTTGATACAACTCCTTTCTTCTCGGTAATGCGTTATGTTGGCTTCTTTATTGGCATGGGTCTAGGATTAACATCTTCTTGGTCCAAATCTGCGTCCAAAGTTACATTCACGACTCCAATGAAAATCGTTTCAGCTATTCTGGCTTTAGGAGTCTGCAAAGCATCTGAATACATAAAGATTCCAATGGTTAATCTTGTCTTCTTTTATGGAGCTGCCTTAGTCATTAACATGATTCTTCCATACATATTTGTTGCCATTATCCCTTACCTTGTTAGTAAACTGTCATTCACTAGCAAAGCTAAGTCCACCTAATTACATTCATCCAAAAGGTGTCGTAGTTGTTAAGGTTCAAGTAATCAGTTACTAAAATGTACAAAAGGAGATAATGATGAACATGATAATGTCCACATTCTAGCAAGCGATTACTAGAACCTTATTAACTGTAACATCCTTTAGCAATGTGTATATATTCATGTATTGTTATCATATATTTACCAACATGTTATTATTTATCAACTTCATCAATTCATTGAAAGCTTATCCATCAAAACCATGTAAATATATTTTCTTTGGAAATGTAATAACCTTCAGTTACAAGAAAACATCTATGAAGATGTGAAAAAAATAAGCTAATTGTGAAGGACAAAATCAATCTGTTACCTTACTTGTGAATAATATATAAATAAATGTATACTTTGAGACTTTAACATGTAAGCTTGTGTACAACTGATTATTTCAGGTTTCAAGTTGAAACTACCTACGACTTGGGCATTTTCTAAACTTTTTCCGAGCAAATTTACTAACAAGTTGCATTCGGTGTAACATGCTTAATCAAGCTGATTAAATAATTACTAAGTAGTTTGACTAACATTTCCAGCTAATTTCACAAAATAATGTTTGTTGATGAACAATCACAATTGTTTGATATCATTAAGCAAAAGAAACCTGTTAACTGTCATGGTTAAATACTGGAAATTGAGTTATTTTTAGATAGCAAACAAACCTTGGAAAACTCGATTGGTATTGAATCCGTTAAATCACATGGAAAAACAATGATGATCGTAATCATAATTAAAATTTATATAATTACCAATCACAAGAAAATGGATGCAAGTCGTTAGATTAAAATTAAACCTTCGAAGTTTGAACTATCAATATTAGTATTTTGATCCTGATATTACTCAATCTATCCGATTCATACAAAGGCGGTAATTTTGTAAATTAAATTATTCATACAGGGTCCGCCACAAAACATGTCAGCCTGTATTTTTTGAATAACTTTTTTATTTTTTCGTCAATCAAGCTCATTCTCACAGAAAATAATCTTGAATAAAGGGGAAACAAAGATATGGACCGGTCAAATTTTTCAGGTATCGCAGGTCAAAATGGCGCCTGCGCAAAAAAAAGTCATTTTCAGACCCAATGTTATTCAATGAGGCTTTCATAGACAGATTTCTGAGATACTATGCACATTTTTCAGTCCAGAATAACTCCATAGGGCTTTTCTTGCCCCTGGCACCGATTGAGTAGCAGAATAATACTGCTCCATCACATCAATGCTTTATTTTTCAATTTGCTCGAATTCGCGCATGATGAAGTGTCCTATTCAATCGGCTATAAATTGCTTTTATCAGAACGTAATGACAAAATTATTTCAGAACATTGGCAAGTGACTAACAAAGTTTGTAAAACAGTGCAAAAAACTTAAAAATATCTGTACAGTCGAAAAAGATAGAACAAAAACCCGTACGACGCCCGAAAATTGTACCTTCATTTCGCGCAGGCGCAATTTTGACCTGCGATACCCGAAAAATTTGACCGGTCCATATCTTTGTTTCCCCTTTATTCAAGATTATTTTCTGTGAGAATGAGCTTGATTGACGAAAAAATAAAAAAGTTATTCAAAAAATACAGGCTGTATTGTGGCGGACCCTGTATTTACCAGTTTAAAATGTAAATGGTTCAGCTATATTGAACTGATTGTCGTTATACAATGTAATATAAACACTGTAAGCTGAAGGCTGATCGAAGACAACCGAGACTTTGAATGCAATTGGTGTATCATCTTCAAATTTATTGTATTAATATTAATATTAAAGGTTGTCATAAGAGGTAAAAAGTTGCAACTGCGAACGCCTTTAGTACAGTTATTGAACCAGATTTTTTTCATCAATCTCATTTTCTTGGTGTAAATTTTGATGGCCAACCAGATACTTATTTTAAGAAATGAAATTTTCATCTTCTGTAAAACAAACCACTTCGATTTTCGGTTACACCTGGCACTTCGAGTGACAGTAAGAGTTAAAGAGCTGACAACTTGTGAGACTTCTACTTATCTGGTGTATCTAGCTTTATCTTATTTGGCTATAATACATATTTATTATTTGCTAAATGTCAGAGAAAATTCAATCGATTTCCTGTACAAACAAATATCCTGTCAACACATAATAAGATTTGTGTTTGAATAACAATTTTTATAAATAAAACATTAATCTGATACAAATCTTTTTTGCATGAACTTGAATGAAAAAAAAACAACTGAAATCAATTTGTATTTCTAGATATTGTAGTCCATTATAAGATTGTAGGTGCTATTGTTGAGGCTCAAACTATTGATAAATTGAAAAACAAGTGTTCAATCTTAGATTTGCACCAACCATTTTTATCGACGAAAAATAAGTTGTAGCTCTACAACTCTTACCTCTTACCGTCACTCGAAGCGCCAGGTTTTACAATAGGTTGTATTGAAAATCGAAGTGATCTGTTTTAAAGAAAACGAAAATCTTATTTTCCAAGTTAAGTAAGTTTCAAAGTGAATTTTCTGGTTGGAATCAACAGGAATGAAATCCTGCGTAAATAGCAAAAGGACTAATCTCACGAAGTGACATTTTGAGCATAATGACTGCAGATGATATCAATTACAATTAGTTAGTCAACTCTTTTTGTTCATTTCTAGTTAGCCTTTTATCTCAAAATGCTCCACTTTGATTGTTAATTTAATCTGCGTGAATTTTATTAAATTAACATGCATAAAATTGCGAAAATAACGAACAAATGGCAGTACAAGGAAATCGATTAGAATCTATAAAAACGAAGATTCTTTTTGAGTAAACTTGATTGACTTAATCAACATTTTTATGGTAATAATAATAATGCTCTATATAATGTGTCCATATATTTATGCATAATGTTAATTTATATTCATATTTACATGATTTGTTTTTCTCAGTCTAGACTTTTCCAACCAAATGATAATCGATCTTTTAAATGGTTGTTTTTCAATTTTTCAGTTTTCAATGCAAAATAATATCGTCTCTTGCATTATTTATGAAAAGCAAGTCTTAATTTTTGTCCTGGTTTTCAGATTCTTGGTTCAACTTCTTTGTAAAGCTGAGAAATGTCATCAAACGGATCGAAAGAAAGCGGAAAATGAGATTTTTCAGGTTGTAACAAATCAGTTAGGAAACAAATTGTTCCAGCCCAGCCTTCAAACATACTGTAAGGAGAATCAGGAGTGCGAGATCTGAGACGAAATTCATCGGTGAATAAAAACTCTTGGAATTGATTTGCTCGATGAAGATACTTTGGTTTACCTGAAAATACAACAAAAACAGAAAATGGTTAGTTTAAGAATTCATAATTAGTATGCAAAACTTTAAATAGATAAAAGTAAAGAACGGAAAGTTCATGCCCATTCCAGAACTAAAAAATACCAATACAACATTTAGTATGCTAGATGACATCATTTTGCAAAGATAGTGATAGCAAAGCAGAATGAAAATGAATGAATATTTTTCTCATTTGTATAATTTGACTGAAAAATAACGTGTGCAAAGAATATTGACAAATCAACAATTATTTGCATCATTATTAGTTGTACCTAACCTAACCGGGGATGAGTATTTTTTAGAAGTCGAGATCAAGACCTATTTCAACCAACTCCAAAAAATTGGTATTGGCTTGAATTTACTTTTCTTGTTTTTGTAAACTAAAATTAAGCCTCAAAGCTAGAAATTTAAGAGATGAAACACATTTGCTCATATAACTATCCTGGCAATTTAATGCCTGATGATTGATGATTATCGAAACAGTTCCATTTAAATATGTAGTTTTATGTATAAGGTGGTTAAAATGCGTACCAGTCAAACGATAGAGAACAAGAAAAACTAAAGCATTCCCAGCGACTCCATGGCAGATACCGGGACCTTTACGAAGTAAACCTTTATTCCAGACAAGCTCTCCACATTTGATACAACAATCAAGATATTTATCCTCTTTCCAGATTAGATATGCTCTAGCCATCAACCAAATCACTCCTGGAGCTCCATGACACCAATGAACTAATTCATCCTCCTCTGATCGAATGGTAATTCCTTTGGTAGGCTCAACTAATGAGTAACAGGAATGAAAAGAAGGATGAATAAAAAACATCAATATTAATAGTGATTAAATTTGAGGGAAAATGTGATTCCAGACAATAAATTAGAAATTTCATAAAGGCAAAAGGTTCCATACTGAGTTCATCAAGGGCGCAAGGAAAATTTCCTGAATCTGTTTGGAGGGACAAAAGATAATCCACTGATCTTTTAACATCTCTTTCCAGATCTAATTTAGGATTGAAAATTCCTGGAACTGCAAGTAAAGCTTGAAGAATTCCAGCGAGTCCATGAGCTGCTCCTAAATAATCAGTACCATAATAACAATACATCAAAGGGCAAATATTTTTTAGTCCTTTTCGCACCGAATATTCACGACCTGGAAAGACCAAAAACAAATGATAGAAAACAGGAAGCTCATTTATAAACATTGGTAATCATATATTAACTCAATTCAGATAACAATAAATCATCATCATTATCACCACCATGATGGTTATTATAACTAAGTTATGTGATAAATAATATTTCCTCTTCGCACTTTTTGATAAAAAAACAATTTCTAACCACTAGATAATAGTTGCTAATTGTTTTAGGCTGTTGCTAGAATTAATAACACGAAATGTCCATAAAATTGGCAATAAAGTTGATGATCAACAAGTTCCATTCTGTACCTGATTTGATTGATGAGAGAGCCAATGCAAGAAGAACTCCTTCAGGTATCACTTTATTGTCTTTAAAGGATTTATTAAGAATTGTAGCACCACAAATGTAACCAGCTCGTCCAACTAAAAGTTCATCAGACCCTTTAGTTAAATAATGGATAGGTAAACACTTGGAGGAAATTTGACTATATTTGTTAATATAAAAATCTCTGTTAACTGTATCATTAATGTTGTGATAGATAAGTGAAGCGGCCACAAAAGTTCCTGCAAAGCCAAGAAGATACGCAACAGATGAGAGGCGATCGTTTTTTTCCAATGAATTGGCATAGTCGATGGTGGGTCCAAGATATCTTAATGCTTGTTTGGTGAAAAAATCTCTTTCCATAGAATTGAATAAATCACCAGTGGCTGATGCTAAGTAGTTAAACATGTAAGCTATCCCAGAAATACCAACATACAGTCCACCATCACAATCAGCTTCTTCACTGGTACACTTTTGCTTCTCAACAATCAGGTTAACCAAATGAATTATACGTTTCTTGATTAAACAGCTATCAATAATAACATTAGATTGAAGATTTGTATTCTTAGGACCGTCCATACTAACGGTGTTACTATTGTCAGTATCCAAAGGAGAGTCTATCGGTGCCAATGTAGATGAATGGATTGTCTTTGTTACATTAGTATCCGATGCGAACCCTGAATGTGGCTGTGTTATTGATCCTGTATCAGTCTTTTGATTTTCATTGTTTACAGATGTTAAAACAGAATCCTCAGAAATGGATGCTGTTGATATTGCTGTTGCTGTTGTTGTTTCCACAGCTGTTGGTGTATTTGTGTTGCTTCGGAGAGAAGCGTTAAAGTCACATGTGCCTTCGCCATAATTCACATTATCGCAGTAGTCCGGTAGATTGTTGATAAAATATCTAACACGACGATGACCAGCAGACATCACAAACTTGGAATTGTCACAGTCAGAAACAAAAAAAAGACAAAAAAAGGCAAAAAAGATCGAAGAGCAATTTGGAAAGAAAGCAAAAAAACTGTTAACAGAGAGCTATATTTCAAATCCCATAGCATTGAGTCTGAGTTTTGCACTCTTTTCCCTTTTTCTCACTCTCCTTCCCGATCTCCCTATTCCTCTCTTCCTCTCTTTCTTCAGTTCTCTTTGAATTAATTAGCAATCACAACAATTCCAATTCTTTGTTTTATAACAATTAATGTTTGTATTCGATTCAAGAACCCAGGCAATTATGGAATTGTGACTGTTTACCGATCAAAACAGGTTGATCAGAAATGGAGACTTGAGATACCGAAAGTCAGATGCTTCATAAGTGTCAGTTATATTTTGACCAATAATCGATCAACGATAATTTCAATCATTTCAACCATCATGCTTACTTTTTAAATCTTCAACTTGATGTTTAACTCACAACAATACCGGTGAATAACAATTTCAAACAGTTTGTGGGTCAATTTTATTGTTAAGTGTAAAACTTTTTTGATTAATTTTCTATGCATTTTGCCTTGAACTATTTAAAATGAGTTTCGGTGTAGTTGTACTCATCAATTGTCACAAGCTCTTTCTTAGCTCATTGTCTTTACCAATGGTTAATCATTCAATTGTATTAACATCAATATTTATCAATAAGTGATTGACTCTTGACACTCTTGATAGTGACTAACTTCAAACAAACAATATCCCATTCTTGGGTCAGGGGCAGACATCTTTTCAATTGTTGTCTGGCACTTTAATTCCTGCTATACAAATGAATTGGTAAAAGCAGTTATTATTTATTCTTCCGCAGACCTGACAATTAAAACACTTTGTAAAGCTAAGTTTCATTTAAGGCTCAATTTTTGTGATAAATCGATCCATTTAACTAGAATCAGTTGCACCACTGTATTTGGTTTATTATGATGAGAAGAGAGAAAAGACTATTGACCCGTTTATTAACCTTAATCAACAATTTTGATCAGATTCTTCATCCAGGATAACTAATTAATAAACACGTTTCCAACAAATGAACAGAGCATTGTTTACTATTATTAAATGCTAACAGCTCTTTCAGCATGATTTGATTTTAGATTGCACTTTAATTTGAACCTTCAAGTGCCCATTTTAGTCAATCAGTCATTAATCAATAACTGATCCTCCGTTAAATCATCGTGATAACATCATTGAAAATAAAATGAAAAAATCTATCAATATTTAGGCTAATTTTAAAGGTGTCTTTTATTTACAATTATGATAACCATGTTTGGCATTGAATAGCTCAATCTTTTTGAAAATTAATTTGTATTAATAAATTTTGTCAATTTTCAGTTCAATTTACAATTAATTTTGGCGCTGCTTTCACTAGAGACACCTGATGGATTGATACATTGTTTGGACTCACAAATTGGGAGCCAATAACATTCAACTTGTTCATTTGAGTCTGTTTTGGATTTTAAAAAAATATCTAGCTTCTCTTGTGTTTAAATTGTTTGAATTTCTGACTATTAATTATCATCATGTACAATGGAATCGGTTTACAAACCCCTCGAGGTAGTGGTACCAATGGATATGTCACCAGAAATTTAGCTCACATCCATAAACAAAAGGACAAAGTTGGTCACAAAACTGAAGAGGAAGATCCTAAAAAATACGATGATCTTTTACCAAAACCTATTAACCCAGAGATATTGGACCATCAGCGTAAAAGGAAAATTGAGCTGAAATGCGTTGAACTCGAAACTCAGATGGAAGACGAAGGGTTAGTATTGATATAAGCAATTAAGTTATTTCAAACCACACATTGTGCAAGTTCGTGGTTTCAACCTTTTCTATCTTGTGCTATTTCAGTCAGTTGAAGGTGTGAAGTCTCTTGCTATCATTTGTCAGATTTCACTAACAGTTTGATTGATAGAATGTTTTCGTTCTTCTTAAATAAATTATAACAATTTTTCTTTTTCTTTTTCAGATGCACTCAGGAAGAAATCGACAAGGCAGTTGCAAGGTTACGGGAAAAATTGAAAGCAAGAGAAGCCAAGGAAGCGAAAAAAAGATAGTCAAGATGCATCACATTTATAACACTCACAACACGAAGTAAATTTATTATTACTGATTTATAAAGCTTAATCGGTTCAAAAAATTTCATCCAATAAATATTTTTCGTTGTAGAATTGTGTTTATTTCTCTAATCATCTTGTTCAAGTCATTAACTTAGATACAAAATACGTCGAAAATTGCAGTTTTTTAGTTTCATAAAAATTGTCTTAAAATAGTACTGGAACTATTTAATCTGTATAAATCAGTTTAAAAGCGTGTAACAATTATTCAAATTTAATCCCTTGAGAAAGCGGCAGTTCGCGACTGTAATTGATTGTACAAGTTGAACGACGCATATATTGCTTCCATGAATCACTTCCTGATTCCCTTCCACCGCCAGTTGCCTGAAAATGTTAGAACATGAAAATATTCATTGTTAATATTCATATTCAATTCTTATCTACTAAGCTTTAAAAGGTTTCAGTTATCAAGAAACAATTAAGTTCATTACATGTACATTAAACCATAGCACTTGGAAACTGTTTCTTTTTAACTGAAACCCTGCTAAGTTAATAATTAAGGTTATAAATCAAATTGTATTTACCTTTTCACCGCCAAATGCGCCTCCAATTTCAGCTCCACTTGTTGGTATATTAACATTGACAATGCCACAATCTGACCCTTTTGGTCCAATCCATCGGAAAACATTATTCAACGTTTGAGTGAACAATGAACTTGATAATCCCTGATCTACTTCGTTATTAATTGTCACTGCGTTTTCAAATGTTTCGAAAGGTAATACATAGACAATTGGTGCAAAAGTTTCCCTTTGAACAATTGGAGATTTATGGTCAATGTTGGTTACAATGGTTGGTTCTACATAATAACCACCATCTAGATTAATCGTTTTACCTCCAGTAACAATAGTACCACCTAACCGTTTTATTTCATTGATTGTGTCGTTAAATACACTCAAAGCTGATTCTGAATGAAGCGGCCCACACAAAGTACTCGGATCCAAAGGTGAACCAATACGAACTTGTGAATAAGCTTTAACCAATCGATCTAAAACTCTGTCAACAATTGTTTGGTGAACAATTAACCTACGAGTTGTTGTACATCTCTGTCCAGCTGTTCCTACACAAGCAAATAATGCTGATCGAACCAACATTTCTATATCAGCATCTTCACAAGCAATGATAGCATTATTGCCACCCAATTCCAGTAGTGATCGTCCAAAGCGTTTTTGAACATTCAACGCCACTTCCATACCAACCGAAGTGCTTCCGGTAAATGATATTAAAGGTAACCTTTTATCCCTCGCCATAGCATCTCCAACTTGCCAATCACCACAAACAAGTGAACATATAGCACCTGCAATGGAATGTGATTTAATATGTGTTCTGTGAATGTTAACAGCTCTGCTTACCTGGTAAACCGTTTTGTGTCAAAACAGATTGAACAATTTTGATAACAGCTATACTGGATAATGGTGTTGTTGGAGCTGATTTCCAGACCATTGAATTACCGCAGACCATTGAAATGGCATTGTTCCAGCCATAAACAGCGACAGGAAAATTGAAGGCTGTTATTATACCAATAGCACCCAATGGATTCCAAGTTTCTAACAACATATGGCCAGGCCTTTCGGAAGGTATAATTTTACCTTCAAACATTCTCGATAAACCAACAGCATAATCACAGATGTCTATATATTCTTGAACTTCGCCTTCTCCTTCAGCCAATATTTTACCCATTTCAAGGGAAACCAACCGACCTAAGTCACTTTTTTTCTCTCGCAAAGCATTTCCAATCAAACGAACTATCTCACCACGCTTAGGAGCTGGAATCTCAGACCAAGTACTCCAGGAGTCGTATGTTGATTTGACAGCATTCTCATAATCGTTTATATCACCTGTCACCACTGAAGCAATGGGGCGACCATTAGCAGGACATATTGAGTTGACAATCTGTAATGGACGAAGTACAAGACAATCATCTCACAGTTTGATTTAGGATAAATTTCAATATACTCAGACCTTTCCATGACCAGACCATTCGCCGTTAAAAACTCCTAAATTCTGTTCCTCTAGTCCTAAATTTTTGAGAAAGCTATACTTTGGATCTGATATGAGATATGAAATGCTATTGGAGACGATAAAGATGCAATAATAAGATAGTTATTGATAATGAAATAAAACGTTAATAAACATATTTTTATCAAATCAGATTTTTGCAAAACTTACCTTCTATATGAATTGTTGAATTTAAATTTCAATAATGATCTTGACACTACTTGGAAAATCATTATTCACAATGCTTTGGATAGACTTACAAATTTTCAAAAAGGATTTGGATATTTTTTTCGCCTTTGGTTTTCTGAGTCTGATAGAGTCAAGATAGCTGAAATTAATCTTTGTTTGTCAAGCGTTTCTCTGATAAAGTGATCAGCTCTATCAGTTTTATAACTATGAGGGATCTCAAGTTATTAATTGCTTGCCAATTGCAACCAACACTGGTCTTATTTTGATTAAATCTAGAGCTAATGCTTCTATAAGTATGATAGTAAATTGATTGCGGTCCATTCAAATCATATTATATTGTCTTCTAGCCGGAAAATAATGAAATAACAATTTATCACAGAAGAACGGTTTAATTTTTGTGAAAAAATCATGAAATGCTTCACATAAATTATATTTAAAATCGTATAAAAAGATTTACATTTTACTTTTACAAAAATAAGATAAATGATAATAAACAAGATCTTGAAATTCAAATGGAGCTCTCATCTGAAAAGCGATGTTTCACCTTGATGTCTTGATAGAAACTAATCAAGTCTGAGATGATAGTTCTAAAAGCTTGATTAAACACTCATTTTTACAATATATACTCTATTTGATCCATCACTCGAGCAAATCGTATTCTTCTCGATGCTTTCTTCGACGCACAACCGCTGCACAGGTTGTTATAATGATCGTTAGTATAATTACACATAAAATAATAGCCATAATCTCGTTAGCACGATAACCATTTGGACAAAGACCACATTTCTCCTGCCAATCCGGTAAGATAAATTCATCAAGATTACTGAGGAATTCTTTAATTCCACAAAAGTCTGAAGTTTTGTTGCAATAGATTGGTACAAGATGAGTCGGTTCAATAGTATAATCAGTATTCCAATAGACAAGGCGCACAAAATCTTCTCCTAGAATCTCGTGCAATTCAATGACTAAAGTTGCTCCTTCTGGTATTATTTTGGATTCTGAAACACCGAGACCACAAAGAACTGATGACAATAAAAGTTCTGCGCTTGAAAAGAGATGTAACTTGGGTTTGTTGATTTTGAAAGTTTCATTGACATCGGATAAATTTTCTGAAATAATGGCTTTTAGTTGCTTGAAAAATCCAGTGATACGGATTGAAAGAATATCTGACGAACAAGCCTCAAGCTGTTCAAACTGTTGATCAATTTTGCTCAAATTGAGATAGATTTCCCGGGTGTAATAATCAGGTAAGGGATAACCATGGTTTTTAGCATATTCAAGATACTTAAAGAGTATAGTTAAATTGGTAAGCGACTGGAAAGCTGTAGAGTTTGTTTTTTCAACCAGGTACTTGATTGTTTCTTTATAATTGGCTTTTATGTTCTTCATTGCTGGATGGTTGTCAATCGATTTATTCCACTGCTCAATAAATGGACAATCACAATCAGAATCCAAGGCCTGAGAAGGTAAAAAAACAATGGTTAATAAATTTTAAATAATGATTTGAGCTATTGAAACTTACACAGGGATATTCTTGCGGACTAGAATGAATTGGAATTGGCAGATAATTTGTACTATTGTCATATATCCATTGGCCTTCAGCCTTTGCAAGACCATGAAGAACCAAGAGACCACTTTCAAGTGCCACATCTACATCAGAGGATTCAGCTTTGAATTCTAGTGGGTTATTGGATAAAAATGAGTTATAACGGGATCTCAGAGCTTCACCCAATTGGTACATTTTTTGGCGGCCATTTGAGGTGAGATGACCTTCTGGCTCATTAGAGTTCTCGAACGAGCCAATGTTCGGAAAAATAGAAGAATGGCTTAACTCTCCGTGTTTATGAAGCACAATCACTTGATTTAAGGTTGAAGATTTAGCAGGTGAATTGTTTGTGCTATCCATAGCAACATTGTTAACCAGAGATAGAAGAAAACAAATGTTATGAAAAATAAACCAATGTGGTAGATTAATGAGTTGTCTTTTAATTATTTCCATTACTAATTGAACAATTAATTATCACAGATGTATAAAACAGTATTCAAATTTAAATAGATTTAAGTTAATTGTTAATTGCAACTGAACGATGTAAAACACCCAAGTGTGAGAAAAAGTAGTCATCAAACTGACAGAGGAGCAAAGGAGGGAAAATGAAAATGAAAACGTAAATGAAGCAAAAGACAAAAAAGCAATGATGCGCTCTCACAATGAACCAATTATCTTATCAATAAAAACGAAAGCTGGAATTTAAATACAGAGATAAATAGACACAAAAAGACAGCACAGATTATGGAGTGAACATTTGGACAAGTAAAGTAGTCGTCGATAGAGGGGAATCTCTCCAACACACACCAGCTGGATTACAATGAATCATCCACCTTAGTCACCGAGCTTGACCCCATGAGCTTATTTGTTTTCAGATTATAAATACAGGAAAATTAACATGTTTGTCTGGAAGGAAAAAAAGTTCACTATCCTCAAGGCCTTGAGCCAGAAATTTTGTATTCTGAATCGAAGCCTTCTGTGAGGTAATTAACCGCAATATATTTTAAATTTTTAATCTTGTGGCGAGGTAGGTTAGCCCCTGAGTTACCAATTATGATTTTAGTTATTACAGTATCTTTTTAGTTGATCAAATCAAATAAACATTGCCAGTTAACTAATTTAACAGGGTATTCTTAATTGTCATCCAATTGGATCCTAAGCTTTTATTTAAGCTTTAAATACTGCTATTTTTTGGCTAACTGAGAATTATTCACATCTGTCTGATAATGTACGATAAACCTACTGAATAAGCTTCCACTGAGCCCTTCAAATATTATCACGGAAATCAAGGAAACTATCTGAATGAAAAAAGTTTATGAAATTTGCCTACAAAATAATCGTACAAAATTGGTCTCAGTTTCCTCTTAAATGATTTTGCTAAAAAGCCAAGAAAAAAAGGCTTCATAATCTTGGATTGAATAAGAGACTGAGTTTGTAACTCAACTAAATATAGTTTCTGTGCAAGAAGATGACGATTAAGATGAAAACAGAGAGGGAGAGTGGAGAAGAAGAAAGTTAGATTCACTCAATGTGTGTAAATTTAGTTGAACACTACTTGAGACTAACGTCTATCAAGTTAATTATAATTCTCCTTCATTTTCATATTTTTCATTTTTTCTTCTCCATACAACCTAATAATCCTTTATCTACAAGTGAACAAACTGGAACAAAAATTGTGTTCAATAATTGGAAAGAAGCAATTGTAGTCTAAAAACGACAACCAAAGGCTATTTTCAACATTTTCGTCAAATTCCAAGACTACTCATAATAATAAATATCTAAAGGTAAGTCAATATTTTCTTAACTTCTTTATTACCAGCATCATTTGTTTATCCTAAATTAAGATTCATTGGTAGTTTTGATAATTTCTTTGTTCATAACATTTTTATATTCAACTGCAAATAAAGCGAGAAGAAAGACGTTTCTTTATTTAACAACTTTACTCACAGTTTAATATGTCATAACTTATGAGTCATGAGTTGAAAGCTTATTTTTGAAAAGCTAACAAGTCTTGGAGCCTTAGCTTCTTCCCTTTTGTTTCAAATATTTTTAAGTGCTAAAAATTTTGTATATTTTGTGATCCAATTGTTCTAGTCTCTCAACAATCATCGACATAATTGAACATATTTTCATTTTGTTCATATTTGTTTCTGTGTAAACACGGTGGTTTTGAAATAAAATCAATGACTTACAGTGGTTAGTATTGGGTTAACCTTATTTAAACATATGATGAAAACTCTTGATTCTTCTCCTTCTTTCCTTCATTTGGTTTCTCAATCCAATTAGTAATATGATTTGAAGATTTGTGTTTAGTGTTTGGATCTCTTGTTTAACTCAATGAAAATGGTATACCAAAACAAGTGTAGCTTAATTCTCAGTGAGTGTTACCGTCACATGACTTATTATAATGGTTGACTAATAATAATGGTTGTTGGTGGCTTTGGGTGTATTTTAATTTTGATAACTTCCACACTCTTTACTTTTGGTGCTCCTCAAAGCTTAGTTATAATACATTTTCATTGATTCCATCGTTTCTGGTCTTCATATCAAACAGTTTCTCTGTAGGTCATCTTTTTTTCACCATAACTATATAATCTTAACCCTTTCTCATCTGAACCGTTCTCTTTCTCTTTCATTATTTAGGTTTGCTCAACCTTTGTTGCTTTGATGCAACCCAAGTGATAAAATTAAATGTGTATATAACTGTCAAAGTGGATTCTCAAGTTGAATCAACACGGCGAACAAAACTCTCAAGCCCGTTAAAAAGATTCTCAAAAATAATTTGGACCATAGATCAGGTCCGGAAAGTTTAATATCAAGAGAGCAAATTGGAGGAGGGGGAGGTGGAGGTGGCCGAGGAAGAAGAGATAATTATGGTATAGATTTTCAAAATGACCATACACCATCAGTGGCTTCAAACTCTCCTAATTTAGCTGATTGTGCAGCAATTCAACTTCTTGCTGAAGATGTAGAGGAAAAATTAGAATCACTTCTAAAAACGTTTGTCACTGAAGACAAGCTTCGTCAAGAGGCCAGATTTAATTTGCTCAACAAAAGAAGTGCTTCTTTAACCAATTTAAATGCATTTGATCCCAATGAGGTCGGTAGAGATAGAGTTGATCAAAAATCAACTCAACCTTCCAATATATCTAATCAACCTAATCGTCAATCTACTCAAGGTCGATCTTTGTCCTCTGCCACAGGACGAGCATCTAGTTTCATTGTACAGCGGTCATCATCACCTTCTCCATCACAAGTTATTTATTCCCCTTCATCACCAGGCTCATCAACATCATTTACACCAACTCTTTCTACATCATCTTCACCAAGTAAGAAGTCAAGTGGCTCAAATAACTCTACGACCAATATCACTAAACAGGGTGCTCGCAAGATTGTCAACAAAAGTGAGTTAACAAAACCAACAGCCAACAACAGTTTGAACCAGGAAGTTAGTAAGGTTAAAATTAGAAACAGTGAGCCTAACTCCTCTCCAATGAGAGTGAAAACAAACTCGACATTAACACCAACCTCAGCAAACCAAAGTGAAAATGTTTACGGAAAAGTGAGAGGTACAAATTTACCAACAAGTCATTACTTACATGGACCTGGATCTAGATTAAAACAAGCTCGAAGTCAGGAAGATTTACGGCTATCAAATGAAGTTGAAAGACTTCTATCAGGTTTATCTGATTGGTCTCCAAAGTCAAGATATATTCAGCTAATGGCTGAAAAATCTGGTCTTCTGAATAATAAAAGTGGCCTTAAGAAAACAAATTCCGACCCGTCCCACCGACCTTCTCAGTCTTCATTAACTAAATCAGATACTAACAAAAATCAGCCAAATTTTGCCAAAAATCAATCCAGCAATCGATCAACTATACCATCAGTGCAGAATAATAAAGGCGGACTTGTAATAAGATCAGCAAGTCGAAGTCCTGAAAGGAATTCAGTTAACCAGAAAACTATAAATAGCAATGCAACACCAGATGTAATAAAACAAGTAAGGTCCAAAGGGTTATCTCCATCGCAATCATCTACTCCACAAACAGAATTGTCCAATAATGAAAAAGAAAGCAAAGAAACAAGATCAAGATTATCGAATAACCGATCTCCATCTAATGTCTCTTCCAACCAAAAAGTTGCACCAAAAAGTACTGGTAAAGAGACAAAAAGTATGGAACAGATTCTTGCCGATGCATTGAAATTAACTGAGGATGAGAAAGCTACTTTAATTGCTACACGAGAAAATTCACTGGCTACCAAACTGGCCAAGCAGCGAATCGAGGAATCAAACAAGAGTTCGATCGAATCGAGTTGCGAAAAAGCATCGAAATTACCTGAAAATGATAAGAATTTACCCGCAGTTAAGACTATTGAACATAACGGTTCACAATCATCTCAACGTGGTACAGTCGCGTCAATGAAAGCCGGTGAATCAAGAGAAGAAAAGCCTAAAGATGAAGGTCGTTTTCGCGACTCATTATTTTCATCACCAGTTAACTATGCGAAGAATCGCTTTGCAGCATCAAGAGAAAGCACCAGAAATTCAAGTGAATCTGCCTCTACTGAAGGTAATTCCGCTGAAGCATCCCGACAATCTGTGGTGAATGAAGCGAAACAAGCTTGGGAACGTAAAGCATCGAATCAAAACTTGGATAAACAAGGCCATTTTCGTCATGGATCTAATGCTTTTAGTAATCCATGGTATGCTTCAAAAGGGGAAACTGGAGCAGTTAATGGATCAAACGCGTTAACCAGGCCAGATAAAGTTACAACAACAATCCACCGGACTAATCCTGTTAGACCATTTTTGACTAAAGGATCGGTTGCAGAAAGAGTCTTACTTTTCGAAAGAAGGCCCGAAATGAAAAAAGATGGCAAATCAAACTCAAATGATAGTAAATCGAAGTCTCCTGTTCTTTACAGCACTTGGAAAAATCAAGATAAAACTCAGGTAATTGACATTGGTTCTTATTATTACAATTGTTGCAATAGTTTTTTTTACAAATTTTACTCAATTGAATATTATTCAACTTGGTATTTTGAAGTTATTCAAAACAAGCCAATTTCCAATTTAACATATCATCACAATCTGCTTCAGTAAACTTGGCTTGAATTCAATATCTCTATTTCAGACATAATCTAAATGCTTAGGCGTACAGAATTAAATTCAACATGTTTCGATTTTACTTTACTTTTCTCGGTGAAAAAAGGGAAAATCTAAAACAAAAATTATTGATTCAATGGCACAACCAGTATTTAAATAGGTTTTTCATGTATTATTGCAACACGATTGGAATGTAATGGCTCAAAATCGACACTTACTATTCAAGACATTTCTTAACTATTTTTTATTTCTAAATATCTAGAGTGAAGTGCTTCAAATTGCACAAAACTTTATCCAGCCAACAACGAACCGTCAATCTGCCACGACAATATCTCGTAACTCTTGGGGAACTGGATATGGAATACCAAGATTCTATTTTCCTTCTGGCTTGCCGTACACATCTACCGAAATCGATGCTCGAATCAGGCGTATTGTCGAGGAATTCAATCGTTTACCTGACCGATCATCAACTCGAGAATCATTTGGTAAAATTACCAAAGCGGCCGGACTTCCTTTATATTGGAAACAATCTCTGTTTGATGCTGTCATTGGCGAATCTCGAAAATCTTTAGTTACCTGTGATCAATTTGTAAAATACTTTAAAGAGTAAGTAGTGATTCAAATTTTCCAATAACTCATTGTGATGGCCATTAAAAAATTAACATCGTTGACTTATGAATGATACTTTGGCCAGTATTTATGAAGTCACATTGACTTTATCTGTCTTTCAAAATTAAAATCAAATTTTGATTTTTTATAATCAACCAGATATTACAGTTTGACTTTAGTGTCATATTTTATTGACCATCCCTTAATCAGATTTTCAATTTTTTTAATTATCGGTTGCTGATCATGGATAAATTAGTCTTGTAACTTCCTGTCATGATGATACTTCCAAATTTGTCCGAGTTTATTCTCATGGGAAAAGAAATTATCTTTTGCCGGAAGATTTTGTTCCAATGATGCAAGATGTAATTGAAACTCATCCTGGTTTAGGATTTTTAAAGGAAGCCACTGAATTTCATTCTAGATATGTTCAAACGGTAAGAGATGCTTATGAGAAACAATATTTGAATATTGATAAAATATGCTAACTAACCATTTCATTATTCATTGTGTGCTTTAAACAGGTGATTGCTCGAATATTTTATTGTGTTAATAAATCATGGAGCGGACGAATATCTATTCCTGAACTGAGAAAAAGCAATTTCCTTCTTGTTGTGTCTCTTCTTGAAGAGGAAGATGATATTAACCAGATTACAGACTACTTCTCTTATGAACACTTTTATGTCATTTATTGTAAATTTTGGGAGCTCGATAAAGATCATGATCTTATAATAGACAGAGAAGATCTGATGAGGCATAATGATGCAGGTAAGTTATTATATTAACAATATTTCCACGAAAATCATTACAAATTTTTATTTTTACCCTTTCTTTTCTTCAAGCAATATCATCTCGTATGATTGACAGGATATTTTCAGGTGCCGTAACTCGAGGACCTGTTCGCAGACAGGGTAAAATGACTTATTCTGAGTTTGTGTGGTTCTTGATCTCAGAAGAAGATAAACGTTATCCAAGAGCAATTGAATATTGGTTCAGGTGTATGGATATTGACGGCGATGGTTATCTATCGATGTATGAACTGGAATATTTTTACGAAGAACAAGTCAAAAGAATGGAAGCATTAGGAATTGAAGCTTTACCATTTAACGATTGCCTTTGCCAAGTAAATTAATATTGACTCTGATACAATTGGGAAAGAATCTAATTTATTATTATGAACTATTTTTCAGATGCTTGATATGGTTAGACCAAAAGAATGTGGACGAATTTCCTTGGCTGATCTTAAAAGATGTCGAATGACGCCAATATTTTTTGACACTTTTTTCAATCTTGATAAATATCTTGATCACGAACAAAGGGATCCATTTTCATCCAAAGACAATGATGATGCTATTATTTCTGATTGGGATCGATTTGCTGCTGAGGAATATGAACTTTTAGTTGCAGAAGAAAGTGCTCAACAGTCCCGCATTCATTGAATTGAGATATCAATTAAAACCGCTTTTGGAACAAGCAAAGATTGTAATTCTTGATAATTTATTGTGCATAATTATTAAGAATTGCAAAAGTACTCATTTTTTCTGTTATTTACTCTTTTTTATACTTCCCTAAATCGAAAAGGTTTCTGCTATCAAGCTTCAAGATTAATAACAATTTAATGGAAACTAATCAACACCCTGAGCCCATGTTAAACAGTGAAACTGAATAAAAAACTAGTCAAAATTTTGATACAAAACTTGCTTTTGAATCAAAAAATTTTAACCAAACAATCCACAGTAATGCCAAAATTGAAGAGATTATCTTCAATGCTCATTTTAATGTTAAATAAAGCCAAATAATGTTAAATGTGAAATATAAATGTTCGATAAATGATTTGAAATGTATTGTAATAAAAACAAGTTTAATAAGTTTGAAACAATTTCGTGAAAAAATTGAAAATTTTCTGCATTTTGAATCGATAAAGAATAAAACGAAGTCCATGTTACCCACAGTCAATCCGGAAGTTTTCTGTGGAGTTGCAACTACTAAAAACACATTTGTGATATTTATTCATCTAATTAGTTGAATTAATATTAATATTTATATTAATGATAAACCGGTTAAATGTTTTAATCTAAATCATTCAATTAGAATACAGAAAGGACTGAAGTTTCTTAGTTTTGACTTTGTTTCAACTAATTCAACTGACTCGAAATACGTTATTAAATCAATTTATCAATTTCAATTAATTCTGAAATCCTTGCAACAAATCCCTGTTTGATTGATTTTGATTTGATATATTGAATATTTAATTCCTAATGGTAGTTCTTTCGTGATCATAAACATTTAGATGCATTTGAAAAACAATATACTGTTTCCAGTGAGTAGATTCAGAATTATTATTAATATTTCTGATCAATCAACAAATTGAATAAAAACAATTGAATGTGAACCACAAAAAAATTGAAACTAAGAACTACTTTTGTTTTTTGAATTGCTCTTTTATAGCAGTAGCAATGATCGCGAAACTGAAATCATCGAATTTCCGTCAACATTTGAAGCCTTTTTTGTACAAACTGATTGGTTGGACTGGTGAATCCGATATTGAAACAAGAAAAGCTTTAGCTCGTTTCGATTATTTCAATCAATTGTTTCTCGTTAGTTTAAATGGTGGACTAATGCAAGAATACGATAGACCAATCACCCGAAGAGTATGGATAGCAAACTGGATTGCTCGTATTTCAGTGATATACACAGTCATTCGAATGAGTCTGTTCATATGCTACCAAGGAAATGCTAAGATTGATTTATATTTGGCAAATTTGATTCCTGAAGATGTACAGCCAATGAAAACGGCCTTTTTCATCTTGACAAACATTACCTTTTCTGTCCTTTTTCTGCTCCGTGAATACATTCATTACATCGAACGTGCTGGCTATCTAATATCATTTAGATTTTTCCTTGATATTCGTATTAATGGAGTTTCTTGTGAGCGTACTAATTTGAATAAAAGATGTGGACAATTATTCAATAAAATTTGCCATCTATTGATGATAAATGGAATACGTCTCTTGATTGTCGTCTGTGTTGCTGCATTCTTAGTAATAATTTCACTTCGTTTATATTTTCCGGGCAATTTTGCAACTAAAATGCACGTACTTTTCGTGATTTTACACATTACTATTGAAACTGTTGCACTAATAACAATTTTCTCTCCTTTGATTAATATTGGAGTTTATCTTTGGACTATCGCTGCATTGACCACGGCACGTATGGATAGTATCATTGACCAAATCAAATACTGCCTTGATGGTTCTAATTTAAGTCAAGCTGAACTGAGGAGGATTAATTACCAAGTGATTTATGTTTTAAATGATATTGATAAGTCTTGTCGTAACATGAATTATTTGCTTCTCTACTTGGATGGACTAATTGCAATAGAAGCTGACATTATGCTGTTATTTGCATTAATTTATAAACTGTTTCCAAATGTAATTTCAAAGCTAATCTCATTTGGAGGCATTACGATCCATTTTTTTCTCGTAATTGGCGCTTATTGGGCGTCTAGTTATTATGTTAAAGTAAGTGTCAGTTATATATTGAAATTTTTAATCAATTATTTTTGTATGTCTTCATTTGAAGGTGATAAGCGTACATGGATATTATACGAAACTTATATTGAATACAAGAACGATATGTCCAGCTCGATTCAAGGTACGTTACTTTCTGAAAAGTCGCACTCAAGATTCAATCTATTCATTGTGCAGTTTTTTTAGTTTAAAACACATCCAAACAAACTGATATTTTACTGATGAAAAACATTTGCTCAGGCTTTAGAGATTCAAGATCGAATCAATGGGAACCAAACTGGCATCCTAATTGGTGACTTTGGACTGATTACTCCTGAGTTTGCTCTTATTGTGAGTTTCTTGTGGATTTATATAAATGCTGATATAATTTATTTATTTATCACAGTTTATATTGGAAAACATCAACTTCATCATGCTTTTGACATGCAATATCAACTCTTTGGTTGAAATTTCATAAGTTTTTATCAAAATGGCTTCAAGTACCAGAACATTTTACATAAGCTGCACAACTCAAATTTTTATAAAGGTAATTGATGAACAGCATTTCTTAATGAGACTTCGCTCTTGATTTCCTGTCCATATTGATCAATTAAGATCGATTCAATAGCTTGTGCAATAAACCATTTCACAGTATGACCTTAACATACTGTATTTGTGATATTAATCTATCTAATAGCCATTTGCTTAAATTGCATAAATTAAATCCAAGCGATTGACTATCGTAAGTCTATTGTGTGATTGATTTGCATGTTAAAGATGCAGAAAATCTTTGAATAAGCAGAAAAGTTAAATGATTTGAAATGTATTGTATTAATAATAAAACAAAATTAATAAGTTCCAATCGACTTCCAAAAAGATTTATTGTTTAGTTTAGCAAGTGATTTATAATTAGCACTCTTCCGTGCTCATGAATACTTCGAAAAATTTCACAAAAAAAGAAAAACAAGACTAAACTGCAACGAAAAAGTATTTCAGATCAAACTCCAAGTTAGTGCAGACAGATGAGATTTTCACTGAATTGTTTTCTTTGTGTATTTGAACAAATCTATTTGTTAAAAAAATAAAATTTTGAAGAGTAGTGAAGTGGACAGTAAGTGCAATAATCGAAATGATTGAGAAACTAAAGCCATCGAATTTCCAACAATATTTGAAGCCTTTTTTATACAAACTGATTGGTTGGACTGGTGAATCCGATATTGAAACAAGAGCTTTAACTCGTTTCGATTATTCAAATCAATTATTGCTTGTGAATTTATGTGGTGGACAAAAGCAAGAATACGATAAACCAATAACTCGAAGAGTATGGATAGGAAACTGGATCGCTCGTATTTCATCCATTTACACAGTGATCCGAATGACTCTCTTCATTTACTACCAAGGAAATGCTTAGATTGATTTATACTTGGCTAATTTGATTCCCGAAGATGTACAGCCGATGAAAACTTCCTTTCTTATATTAACTACTATTATTATCTTTTCCATCCTGTTTGCTGTTTGTGAGTACATTCATTACATCGAACGTTCTGGTTATTTTATAGCGTTCAGATGGTTTCTAAACATAAGCATTCATGGAGTTTCTCATGCACCTTTTATGTTGAATAAAAGATACTCACATTTGTGCAGTAAAGTTTGTCATCTATTCATGATAAATGGAATGTGAATCTTGATTTTTATGTGCACTTATACACTATCATTTACATAAATACTGCGTCTAAATTTTCCGTCCACTTATTCAACCATATTGCACATCTTTTTCATTATTTACTTTTCTTTCTCGATGGACTGATTGCAGTTGCAGGTGACCTTTTGTTGCTATTTTCATTGATATTCATCTATTTCCAGATTTTATTTCTAAAATCATGCAACAAGTCCCTGTTTGATTGATTTTGATTTTATATATTGAATATTTAGTTCCTAATGATAGTTCTTTCGTGATCATAAACATTTAGATATATTTGCAAGAAACAAGACTGTTTCCAGTGAGTAGATTCAGAAGTATTTCTGATCAATCTACAAGTTGGATAAAAACAGTTGCATGTGAATCAGAAAAATTGAAGTATGGATCTTCTATTCTAGTTTATTAAATTGTTCTTCATTAGCAATTTATTACTTTAAAATATCCAAAATTTCCCTGCATAATTGTATAAAAATAAATGGTTTGAAATGATTGAGAAACTTAAGCCAACGAATTTCCGTCAATATTTGAAGCCTTTTTTGTTTAAACTGATTGGTTGGACTGGTGAATCCGATATCGAAACAAGAAGAGCTTTGGCTCGTTTCGATTATCTCAATCAATTGTTTCTTGTTAGTTTATGTGGTGGACAAAAGCAAGAATACGATAAACCAATCACTCGAAGAGTATGGATAGCAAACTGGATCGCTCGTATTTCAGTCATTTACACAGTGATTCGAATGAGTCTGTTCATATGCTACCAAGACAATGATCAAATTGATTTATATTTGGCTAATTTCCTTCCTGAAGATGTTCAGCCGATGAAAACAGCATTTCTTGTAATAGCTAATATTGCCTTTTCCATTCTTTTTATGCTCCGTGAATACATTCATTACATTGAACGTTCGGGCTATCTAATATCATTTAGATTTTTCCTTGACATTCGTATTCACGGAGTTTCTTGTGGCCGTTTTAACTTGAATAATAGATGCTCTCAATTATTCAATAAAATTTGCCATCTATTCATGGTAAATGGAATACGTATCATGATTTTTGCATGTATTATCTCCTTTTTGATCACAATCTCACTTCGTTTATATTTTCCGGGCAATTTCGCAACTAAAATGCACGTCTTTTACGCTATTTTACACATTTATATTGAATCTGTTGCACTAATAACACTTACGACTGCTTTAGGCTCTATTGGAATATATCTTTGGACTATCGCTGCATTGATCATGGCACGCATAGATAGTATTATTGACCAAATCAAATATTGTTTAAATAAACCTAATTTAAGAGAAGCTGATCTGATTCAAGTTAATTTCCAGGTGATTCAGGTTTTCAATCATATTGATAAGTCTAGTCGTAACTTGAATTATTTACTTCTCTACTTGGATGGACTGATTGCAATAGAAGCTGACATTATGCTGTTATTTGCATTAATTTATAAACTTTTTCCTGATCTGATTTCAAAGATAATCTCATTTGGAGGCATTGCGATCCATATTTTTCTCGTAATTGGCACTTATTGGGCGTCTAGTTATTATGTTAAAGTAAGTGTCAGTTATATATTGAAATTTACTATCACTTATTTTTGCATGTCATTACTTGAAGGTGCTAAGCATACATGGATATTATACCAAACTTATATTGAATACACGAACGTTATGT